CATCTATTCTTCTAAGCCTGTTTTTTTTTTGTTTTTTTTTTAAATTGTTAAGTCTGCTCGAGTTATTCAAAGTTCGATCTTATTTTAAAGTTGTACTTTGAATTAATTAAGGTTTTTAGTTGAGATAAAAAAGTCAGTGTAACAAGCGGGATTCGAACCCACGACCTTCAGCTAGATGCGCCGCTGCTCTACCACTTGAGCTATCGTGACTTCGATCCACTCGGACACTATCTTCCCATCTCAACCTCACCTTTGAATTTTATCTCAATTTATTCAACTACAGACCTTAATTAATTGAAGGATATTAATTGATCAAGCGGACCACGAAAACTAGTGAATTTAATGATTTTTATTTATTTTTTATTTTTTTAACTATATACGGTTTTCGTCAAAAATCTTTTCGTAGCTCTTGAAATCGTTTTTGGGGAACTCAAAAAGAAAGCGTTGAAATTAGCGTTTCATTTTAATTTTTGTTAAAAAAAAGACCAATCAAAACCTGCTAAATTTTCACCTCATTGGAAAAAGTCAATGTAGAGCTTGGCAAACTTCATAACTACTTCTTCCTTTAATAAGTTTGCTAGCGGTATACTTAAACTACGTATACGGTTAAAATGAAGTATGCCTTCACTAAAGCTCTCCGTGGCCATTTCATTTGTCCCCAAGAATCAAATAGATTACACGACATTTGAAAAAAGGAGGGAAAATTCAAAAGGTGGGGTTGAGAAGGAAAGTTAGTGTCCGAGTGGATCGAAGTCAAGATAGCTCAAGTGGTAGAGCAGCTGCGTATTTAGCCGAAGATCGTGGGTTCGAATCCCGCTCGTGACACTGACTTTTTTATCTCAACTAAAAACCTTAATTAATTGAAAGATATTAATTGGTCAAGCGGACCACGAAAACTAGTGAGTTTTACGTTCACTTAATTTCATGGTAGTTTTTTCGTTCCGATCATTTTGGTAAGCCCAGTCTCGCTGTTTTGCGTTTTGGTCTGTCAGACCTGTTCCGCTCCTTGCCATGTTCAGTAATTGGTCTGTGTATTATTTTGTTGATCATGTACTTTTCCAAATTGCCACTGAAATTGGCGAAAAGTTAAACGAACAAAAAAAATTATCAAACTACAAGTTTATCGACAGGGCAAGATGTTCGCTGAATTATTCGGTACTTTTACGTAATTCGATCCTTCGTTGATTCCTTTATTGTACGTTTTTCCACAAAGCCGAGTAGGTAAAGTCAGCATCTGAACTTTTCAATTATGTTGTGTTTGTTTTTAAATACTGAAAAGTCTCAGTAGTTTTTATTAGTAGATAAGAACTAAGGAAGAAATGGCCCGGACTTTATAATAATTGAAGGTTGTCAGATTTGACAGTTAAATATGAGTCAAACTTCAAGATTATTCTTAATCAACCTGTCGAAAGTGATCCAAAAGGCCAGCAGTTAGCCCGTGCCCTCCTCGGAGGATGATTTGATTTTTGATGAATTTTGATCGCAGGATGATGTTGTACTTGCTCAATGTGAAAGCGGCGGTGCCGAGCGATTTATCCAACCTCGTGAATACCCGGATCCAAGTTGGCAGAAGCCTTTATTAATTAACGAGAAGCTGGGTCAATTAGGATGAAGAATAGAGGCTTCCTTTTTTGTTTGAATTGTTGAACGGCCAGATTTCCCACTCCTAAAAGGTTATTTATCTTCGTAATTGTCCCGTCTGGGGCCAAAAAACTTATTTTATGCTGCAAACAAGAGACAGGTTTTTCCCTTGACCAGTTATTTCGCGATAGGGGAAACCTGTTAAATTTGGCCGGCTCCTCTGTTGTTTCAGCTCTTTCAAATCAGATTTTAACGAACCCAATTATAGCAGATGTATTTAACTGCCAACGTGGTGTCGCTGTGACATAATTTATTCAAACTTCAAATCTTAAGAAGGTGATAAACCTTACTGCGACTTCTATTCTGGTCAAAAGACAACCAAGGGGGGGGGGGTTAAAGATAAAGTATTATTTCATGCTAAACCTGCATTGGGTCATTGTTGGGGTCCGTATTAACTCGCTTCAACGAACGTGGGTGAAGACAGCCCCATAAGTAGCCCAATAGTTCAACACGAGATCACCGTCACCCAGATCGACTTTTAACATTGCAAAAAAAATTCGGAGTTTTTTTTAATGTCTAACATATCCTATAAAAGTCATAGATTTGAGAATTAAAGAAAAAATGTTTTTATTGCTTTCGGCAGTTGGGTGAAAATAGGCTAATTGCAGAACATTAATTTACCTCTTTGAGCCTTGTTAAAACTGGCATGGTATCAAGGGCACCAGGCTTTTGACCGAGTATGGCACTCTGGGCTGCTGTGGAAGCTCAAGAACATCCTACCAGCAACCTATTATCTTATCCTAAAATCCTATCTTAACGATCGTTACTTCCAAGTATCCCAGAGAAATTCATTGTCTCCTATCCATCCTATTCTAGCAGGTGTCCAACAGGGCAGCGTGCTCGCTCCTTTCCTTTATTCAATTTATACCTCCGATCTACCTACGCAACGTAACACCTTCACCTTTGATCATACCGCAATCCTTTCTCCTGATAAAGATCCTGTCACAGTTTCCCGTAATCTTCAAAATCACCTAAACATCCTAGAATGCTGGCTCCGTCAGTGGAGAATCAAGATCAACGAAACCAAATCAACAAACAATATTTACCCTAAACAAGAAAACACTCCCACCACGTCAACAACGTTCCCACACCAAGTGCGAACCATGTTCGATACCTCGGACTCTACCTGGACAAACGGCTGACGTGGAACCCCCATACACGACTTAAGCGTAGACTGTAACGTAAGATTTTTCATGCTTAAACGACTACTCGACAGACGATCAAAACTCACTAACAAACAAAAGAAAACTTTACATTGCCCTCCTGGCCCCCCATTTGGACATACGGACTTGAACTTTACGGGACTGCTAAGCTTTCAGACCTCAATCGAATCCATTCCCTTCAATCCAAAATCCTCAGATCAATAGTCGACGCCCCTTTCTATGTATCCAATCACACCATCAATACCGACCTAAATGTCCCTCTTATTACCGAGCTGGCCCAATCCCGCTACAAAACGTTCCATTCCAAACTACCCCATCTTTACTCATGGGTATTGAGACCCATGAGGGATCTTTAACGTCCGGACTTATCCCCAAGGGGACTTCTCAGACGCCTAGTGTTCTCGAAAGAAGACCACGAAGATTTTACATGCATGGACTTGTCACTTCCCTTGGCCAGCGAGGTAGGTGCTAACCAAGTTCAGAAGTTGCCTAAAAAGGGCACATCTATACATGTGCCTTACAAAAGGCAGTTTTGTGGTTTCCAGCACAGCCTTTTAGCCATGCCTTTCGCCACCCCCGGAGAGATAGAGAAGGCACTCTATCGCCAGCTCCGGTTGGCCGGTACCCTTCAGCTAAGGTACAATTTGTTTACAAACCATGACCACCACGAGTCCAACCTCAATTAGTGGAGCCGCTTGGATACTCCACTCCTATGGTTCAGTATTATTTTTAAGGTTTTCAGTTGAGATAAAAAGTCAATGGCACGAGCGTGATTCGAACCCACGATCTTCGACTTGATGCGCCGCTGCGATTGTGTGGTTGAGATGGGAGGTTGGTGTCCGAGTGGATCGAGGTCACGATAGCTCAAGAGGTAGAGCAGCGGCGTATCAAGCCGAAGATCGTGGGTTCGAATCACACTCGTGCCATTGACTTTTTTATCTCAACTGAAAACTTTAATTAATTGTAAGATACTAATTGGTCAAGCAGACCACGAAACTAGTGAATTATTTTTATCGCCCACCCTGAAGGTCATACAAACTCCCTACCCGTTTCCTGTGGCGTGCGGGTTCAGTAACCCAGGAATCCTCTGCCAAAGCAGAGGGGTGAGAGGGAGGTAAAAGGAAACGGGTAGGAAGGATAAGGGAGGTATTAGGGATATTGCCTCCATCATTGGTTACCCCCAGGCACCAAGGTTGATGGTCGGATTTTGCCTGGGCCCACAGGGAAGATGTCCCTAACCATCCAAACTACCTCATCACCCGAACCCTTTCGTCAAAAACCTGTCATCCACCTCATTACCTCATAATCCAAACAGAAAACTGAAGCGTCGGTGGCCCCTAGACAACCTTAACACTTGACATCAGTCTCCTAGGACGCAGTCCATCTCATTCATCGTATTGATGTACTAACGGCTACCATCACTGGATGATAGCTGTTCATGCTACTGCTATAATTGTTTATATGTAAACATTATAAGTTTTACTTGTTCCATTGTAGAATGCAGTTGTAAAAAAAAAAGTTTAAAAATAAAGGTCTCAAGGGTACGTTTTGATCTTTGAAGGTGGAAGGAAAATCATAACAGACTTTTATATACTGACGATGAAATATTTAAAGAAAAGTTCCGTCCTGATTTTCCCGAAATGAATACTCTTCATCACCGGATATCTTGCTTCTTCTTCCTTTGACGAGGAGGATCTCAAAGGGCCTGGTTTTGTTTACCTCCCTTGAAATAAATAGAACATATTTATTATTTTTAATTTTCATTGTATTTACTAACCAGGTAAATCAGTTCGAAGGTCCACCTTATTCGATTAATTAGGTGAAATGAACGGCTTTCGAATTCAGGAAAAATAATCTTGTCTCTTTGTCATATATCTTGTTTATGATTTGCCAAGCCAATTCAAGCGCTTTTCAAGTATAACAGATTCTTTTCCTTAACTGCGATTTAGAGAGTTTTTCACCGTTAAAATAGCTTTCCACAGAGCCGAGTAATTGAATCAAAACGTTTGATTAAGTAGGTCATTTAAATATTTAATCCGTTACCCCCTGCATCATTCCAATCAGTTCAGCTCCTGTCAGGAGTTAGATTAATCATTCAGATACGTAATGGGATCAAAATATCAATCGATCATATCCTATTTTCTAATTAATCATTCATGTCTATGGACCGAGTCAGTAATGCGTTATTTTTTCCAGGCGCAAATGGCTCCCACCTCCTCTCAGGAAGTTGAGCGGGACCAAAGTAGAAAAGACGGCAACCCCTGAAAGGCCGTCGCTTAAAAAGACACCTTCGGAGAAGAGGTTCAAGGTAAGCAATTTTTTTAAAATTTATTTATATACACTTGTGCCAATTGCTGCGCAAGTAAACTTGATAAAACATCAAACACAAAACAATGGATACATATAAAGGAACAGTATAATATAAGAACAAATGTAAAACAATAAAAGGGGCGTCGGTGGCCGCAACGGTTTAGGCGTTGACACGGCGCTCATCACTGTAAGGTAAAGGTCCCGGGTTCGAATCCAGCGGCCGCTGGATTCGAACCCGACATATTTACAAATGGGCTTTTTTTCAAAAACATCGGCACCCCGAGAGTTCATATAACCTCGTATTTGAAATACCCTCGTTAAAAAATAAAATAAAAAAAGGAACAGTTAAGATGGTTGAGATTTTGGATTGTAGAGATAGAGTGTGTTAGAGGTCGGAATGTTTTGTGGGACCCCAAAGTTCGTAATATAAATAAGTCGTTTGTTTTGTAGTCAGTTTGGATCATTTGTCCAGCAACTTTTTAAGAAGTCGTCTGTTTAGTTCTTGTATTTTGAGTTGTGTGTGGTTCCAAGAGGTCGTTTGTAAATGAATAGCCCAAGATTACGGACTACATGAGCTGGACCGAGGAGGATACTATTGTAGTAGATGGGAGCACCGGTTATTCTGCGAAGGATGGAAGCGACATTATTTTCGTATGTTGTCGTTTTCCACCGCTTTGAACACTGCTCAAGGGATGCGACATGGGTTTGGATAAGATATTTATGAGAAAAAAAAGACGGTGATGATGATGGGTGGTGAAGATCGTTTAAGGAATTGTATGAATGTCTGGTACCCCTGCGGACTACATGAGCTGGACCGAGGAGGGTACAATTGTAGTAGATGGGAGCACCGGTTATTCTGCGAAGGATGAAAGCGACATTATTTTCGTATGTTGTCGTTTTCCACCGCTTTGAACACTGCTCAAGGGATGCGACATGGGTTTGAACGTTTCTGGTTAAGATATTTATGAGAAAAAAAAGACGGTGATGATGATAGGTGGTGAAGATCGTTTAAGGAATTGTAGGAATGTCTGCGTGTATACTGTGAACAGGATGGGCCCTTGTGGTACCCCTGCGATAGCCCGCCGATAAAGAAGGGCCACTGATAACTTGGTGTCTGACGTTTGGTAGGATTTTAGAGGTAGCAGGTAAAAGGGAGGGCTTTCTTAAGCTTCCAGAGCAGCTCCGAGTGCCCGATAGAAGGCTTGCTTCACATCTATCACACCGGAGTAGCACTCGTTTTGCTCAAGAGCGCTATCGGTCTACAACGCCATGGCAATGCTGAACGGTGAAATGAGAACGTCAGGGATAAGGTTGCAGGAATGAAAGATGAGGAGAATTAAGAAGTTTTTCTAAGATTTTGACCATTATAGGCAACGAATTAGATGGTAGTAGTATGGTGGAAGGTTATGAGGTTTTTTGATTTGGAATGAGGGAAAATTTCTATTGGGAGCAAAATATACAATAGAAATATTATCATACAGAGGGATATAATTATAAGAGATTGGCAAACAAAATGATGTATATACTTTGTCATAAAAGGCAAATGCGCGGCATTAGGACTGCCTTTGTCGTTACCGGTGCCGTTTTTCTTTTATCTTGTACAACAGAGGATAGGTGGACCTGGAGGGATTTGAGCCGGTTTTTTAACAAACTTTACAATTTAACTGTATTTTCAACTGATCAACGTCGAAGTTAATTTTTTCGATACTTAAAACGATTTCTGTGCCCTTACTTTCGAACCCGATAATTTTAAGTGAAAGGGGAAAAATTATATTCAGAGGAACGTCTCGGTTCCTTTTAAAAAGCTTTCACGTAAACTTGCTTAATGGCCTCGCAAAGTTTTAACCCAGCGTCTTTTAATTTTTTTAATATTTTTTGAAGGCATTAATGGTTGAAGTTGGCCGTGTTTAAAAATCCCCAAATTCAAGAAGATGAAACTTTCAACCAGAACTGAATTGTATTTATGAAATTCCCATCATATAATCAAGTAACTACGTGCAATTCAGTTGTGTCGTTTATGCGTTGTACAAACGGAAAAAAAAAGAGCTGCTACTTTGTAGATTGAGGATAATTTATGTTTTTACGAGTACAAGAAAAGGTTGTTTGTAAGAAAGGCCATTATTGACATTTCCATTACAATGTAAAGGTCGTGTGAAGCCCCAGGTTGGTGTTCCCTTTCAATTGTTGGACCAAAGAACGATCAAGAGGTTTGTTGGAAGTCGAATCGATCAAATCGGGTACTCCATTTTTATAAATTCATAGTAGAACTGTTGGATCCTTTGTCTTCGACCCCGACACAAAGAATGATTACATTGAGTAAAAATTATATTTAGAAAGCATGTGCCTATTATGACCGTCAAATAAAATCCGGTCAAGTCTTTAGGCTTCGGATGAAGCATCGATTTTCACTTGCGAAATAGTCGCCATAAGAGAGGCGACTGCCTATTAAACTCTACAGAGCCAAAACTGGTATGTGTAATTTTTTCAGATAGTAAAAGTGCATTGGATGCTTTAGTAATACACACTAGCAGCAATGTCAACAATCACTTAATCTGGGAAATTAAAACATTGTTAAAAAATGCTGAAGAGAAGTGTATAAGAGTGGAATTCGTATGGATTCCGGCGCACTGCGGGATCTTAGGCAATGAGAAACTGACGGTAAACCTAGGCAAGTATGCTACAGTTTTCCAGTCTGAAATCATAGCGAGTGAACAGTGTGCCAGAGCAATAAAAAACTAGGAAGATTTACATTCCCGGAAAATGACCATTTTCTCTGACAGCCAGGCAGCACTCAGGGCCTTAGCCTCATGCGAGGCGAAGGAAAACAGTGTTTGGAAATGCATGGAGGCCCTGACGGAAGTCGGTGACATAAATGACCTGACCCTAGCACGGGTCCCTGGACATTCGAGGCATAGAGGCAACGAAAAAGTTGATATGTTGGCCAAAAAGAGAGCCAACATAGACTCTATGGGCCCAGAACCCTACTGCGGCCTAGCAGCCTGCCATAAAAGAGGATACATCTTAAAATGCATTCTTAATGAAGTCCAAAACCTGGCGGAACAGGTATGAGGCACGCAAAGAAATTCATAGGACCATCCGCAAAACTTACAAAAGAATTACTGGAAGGCAACCGTAACCGAACCAGGATTCTGGTTCCCGGGTATATTCCCATATACTTGGTCGTCCTAAAAAGGACAATGAGGATTTTTACGTTTTGATGCTCAAACTGAGAGCTGACGCACCTCCACATACGACTGAATAGTGACGCAGCAGAGGCGGGGGTCCGCAATAAGCATTGAACCTTATGCCGCGCATTCCCTAGGTAGAGAAAAGGATCCACTCCGGCCGCATTCCTGTCAGGACACTGCCACTTAAGAAAGCACATGCACCGGATGGGAGTACAGACAGAAGAAACACTGTGCAGCACATTTAATGTTTCTGTGAAGGTCTATGTAGGTGCAGATTCTTGCAACTAGGAATAACCACAAGCAAGATACTTCATCAAGGAACAGCTGGCAAAGCTGTGGAAGCTGGTTAATAGACTGAAGCTGGCCAGTGAGTTATAATTAACAGAGGAGCACAATACATCTATTTAGGTCGAGGTGCAGTAGGCCTTGTGGCCGCCTTTCTTATCCTTATCCCTAGGTAATGAGAAGGTGGCTTGCGAAGGAGGCTTTATCAAGTGGAAGACGTATATGCATTAGGCTCCCATATTCGGATTTGTAATTGTATATATGGAGGGGGGGTGAAATATACACCCCAAAAAAAGTTTGGTGGTGTACTGCTGGGGTCGTTCACTGTAATTTCCTGAATTATGGTGGAATGCAATAGAAACTGCCACGTCTTTGCCCAACTCTGGCAAACCATAAGGGGCCGATTCTTCTTCACGCCAACTCCAGGCCAACCCTGCCGAAATTTAAGGACTTATGATATGGTACCTTACCGCACCCTCCATATTCGCCCGACCTCTCACCTACAGACTTCCACTTTTTTAAGCGTTTTGATCACTTCTATAAAATTTTTAGAGAACGGTGAAGCCGAAAACGCCTTCCAATACTTTATTGTGAGTAGAAATAAAGATTTTTATGTCAGCGGAATAAAAGCGTTTATTGCAAGTTGGCAAAGATGTATATATTGTGATGGAACTTATGGACTTATTGTCTCAGAAGTGCTATTTCTGAGTTGAGGTTTCGGTGGCTACGGTACAGTCTAGCTGAACTATATATATTAATAATATAATAATAATAAAGAATATTATTTTGTCTGCCATCTATGCTTGTTTGTCTAATGGCATCAAAAACATGTAAAATTGGTTGAGTGTGGGCAGGTAATTTTTTTAACCTCAGGCCAAAAATGATATGGCTAGTTTTTTTCTTCTTTTTTTACGAGGATTCGCAACAGCAGAGGTCATATAAACCCTCAGAGTGCCAGTGGTTTTTTGAAAAAAGCCCATTTGTAAGTATGTCAGGTTCGAATGCAGGGCCGCTGGATTCCAACCAGGTACCTTTACCTCAGAGTGATGAGCTCCGTGCCAACGCCTAAACCCCGTTGCGGCCACCGACGCCTCCTCTGCTAGTCTTTGAATTTCACTTAATAATTGAGATGGAGTTTTGTCACCTACGTGTAAAGGTGCTAAAAGTTGATTTAATTTATCCTCTTAGATTTCGCCGAATCTTGGTCGTATAATTACGTGTTTTTTGGTTTCTCAAGGCCGGGTTGACACCTGAGCGGTAAGCTATATATCGCAGAAACATTAGCTTTTTATCCTAAGATAGGTGAGGTTCATAAGACATGAGCCGGCCTAACACAAAGCCAATGTCCTCACTCTTTGAATTTGCCATCTTCACCCTTCCCAATATCGTACGACACTGAAGGATTAAGGAAGAGACAAGCAGACAGTCTATCTTAGACACAGGTCGCAATCCTACAGGTGTGAACTAATTTTGTCGTTCCTTCACGTTTTTTATAGGCCAGAGCGTTGCGTATCCAGCAAGACAATTATCGTACATCGCTTACCTAAAGATATCTTATCGCTCTGGTGTGAACCCTACCGTATATGTCCGAGAATTCTGTCTGGTTCGATGGTTGATAACAGGTAATTTATTTTAGTTGTTGAGTTTGTAATTTTGGCCAGTGGAATTGGGCTTCAACTTTCTCGAACCAGACCTGTAAATCTGAACTTCAAAGTTTAGTTAGCTTTACACTTACGTGGCTGCGAGTTGCGACGATCTCCTCTGTAGGCGGACTGCCATTTTAGACAAAAATATGTCCAGTCCAGCGGCCGAGATCCGACAAAAGGCGTGAGTCGGGCCATGTTCGTTGTGAAGACGATAAAACGTTTTCTGTAAAAACAAACGTTTCGTGGACGATTGTCCGGGTCACCAATTTGTATTTTTGAACTGTTATTAACGATTGACCTAATTATTAAACTAAATTAGCAAATAGTGATAGTTGTTTAAAAAGGTTGAAAAGAAATGGACTTGACCGAACTCTGTTACTGAGATTTGACTGTTTCTGATCATTTTGATCTGTCCACCCTCACTCCTGTAGACAATCACCTATCTCGCCATCTTCAGTGGTGAATTTCTCTGACTCCATACCTAAGCTAGGAACATAATTTCATGAGCATTCATAATTTTATTCAATTTTCCAAGCAAAAAGATTAAAGATAAGATTAAAAATCTTTGCACACAACAAACCAATTTTAATTTTCAGTCAGCATCAGATTAGATTATTATATTATTTATGTAATTTTTTGTTATTATGCAATGAAAATAAAATTTTTTGGTTTTTGTTAAAAAAAATTGCTCATGGGGTTTTTCTAAAGTAATTTTTGTACTTATTTCAGCATTTATTTGGACGTTTCGGGCTTAACACCCATCTTTAGCTATTTATATTTGTTTTAATTTTAAGTAATCAACTTGCAGAAAAAGTAGACAAAAATTTTTGGGGCATCATGATTTTATAATCACGATGTCTTACCCCACAACCCAACATTTTGGGGCATGATTTGATAATCATGATGTCCTACCCCACAACGAAATTTTTTGGGGCGTTTGATAATCATGGCGTCTTACCCCCTTCACAAAATTTTTTGGGGCACCATAATTTGATAATCATGATGGCTTACCCCACAAAAACGATTTTTGGGGCATCATGATTTGATAATCATGCTTTACCCCACGACGACAATTTTTTGGGCATCATGATTTGATAATCTTGATGTCTTACCCCACCACGACAATTTTGGGGCATCATGATTTGATAATCATGTCTTACCCCACGACGACAATTTTGGGGCATCATAATTTGATGATCATGATGTCTTACCCCACAATAAAAATTGTTGGGTCATCGTGATTTGATAATCTTGATGTCTTACACCACAACAAAAAAATTTGGGGCATCATGATTTGATAATCTTGATGTCTTACCCCACTACGACAATTTTGGGGCATCATGATTTGATGATCTTGATGTCCTACACACAACACAAAATTTTGGGGCATCATGATTTTATAATCTTGATGTCTTACCCCACCACGAAATTTTGGGGCATCATAATTTGATGATCATGATGTCTTACCCCACAATAAAAATTGTTGGGGCATCGTGATTTGATAATCTTGATGTCTTACACCACAACAATATTTTGGGACATCATGATTTGTTAATGTTTCAAAAAAACACCTTTACAAGAAAATATAAATGCTATAAAAACACATAATTGATTGAAACAAATACATTTACTGAAATTTGGTTGATTCTGATCATTTTTGTATACCCATTCACATGTAGACAATCGGACACATTTCGACTTTTCGCCATCTTTAGTGGTGAGTTTGACTGATGTGTTTTTTGTTGTTGTTCACCTTTCGGCATTCTGCCTTCTTCAGTGTTGATTCTGTGCTATTTCTTCTTATTTTTCACTTTTATGTTGTGATGTTTTTCCTTGAATTACATTTGTCCAGATAAAAAGGCAAGATTTTAGGCTGGAGGGGGTTTAGGGGATGGTTTAGAAAAACAGGTTGGATTTATTTCATACCCATCTACCTTCTACAGTTATTTAGGCTGAACCCTTTTTACATTGTGTACAAAAAAAATTTCTTCATTATTTCTTTATTGAACTGTTTTGTAATATTTTATATATGTTGTATTTAAATCATTTAGCAACCGGGAGCAGATCTTACAAAAGTGGCAAACGAGCCTGGAGCTGAAGAGACGACGAGAGAACCTAACGGCGAGGAGGCCGAAGAAGAAGTTGTAGAGCTTCCTCCTCCGATGAAGCCCATCAGCGAGCCCATTCTCGTCCCGGCGGACGAGCCGCAGAACCCAAGGGTAAGTCTAAATCCCATCATGTCAAAATATTTTAAACAATACGAGCAAAAAAAAGAAAAGCGGGTTTGTTGAGAGAAAGAAAAAGGACATCTCGGTATTAACTTGTTACAGTCGTCCACGCTTTCCCTCGAAGGTGCCACATCGGCAGATTTGGCTGAGATTGAACAAATCGTCAAAGAAAGAATGGTGACTATTACCACGAGCATGGCTACAATTCGATTTTGCAGTGTATTTTTGTTTTGTTTTGCTGTTCATGATTTTAGTTTTTTTTCTTTTTTGTAGCTCTGCACAGCACACTATTTAGATAGTTTACATTGTTAACTAGCACAAGATTGAGAGTGTTTCATTAGATTTGTACAACTTCGTTAACATATTGCATGTTGGTTTATATTTTGTGATTGAAAATAGTAACCAAGATATTTTGAGCTACACTTTGTTGTATTAAACATTTAGAAAATATATAATATTATCAAAATTACAAGATAGAATTAGCAATTTCCAGTCTTGAAGGTTTAATATTATTTTTAGAAATGGAAAATTCAATTCAAAAAGTTTAAAAGTGTGTGGTGTTTAGTGACCGTTAATTAATAATTATTTTGGAGATTGTGAGATCACCAGACCTCATCTCATTATCTCCAAATAATTGTTTAAAATATTAAATCCCTCTCTTTACCCTTTCAAGTTTTTAAGCATTAAACATAAAAAGTATAATTGGAATAATATTGAGTATATGTTTATGTGCGCGAATGCTTAATGTAAGAAGCTAAGTTTATATGGTTTCTGCCTTGATTGATGTAAATCGTAAACTCGTTGTCAGCGCACATCCCAATGTGTACTTTTTCATTTGGTCATGTTAGTGTATGGTTTTATTTCTGTCTTGTTTAAGAACTGTTCTTTCAGTCAGCTGCTTTCCAAAAAGAAGTTCATCTAAACAGCATTCTTTATATTTTTTTCTAAACAAATCTGTTTAGTTTTTTCTTTATGTATATCACTTTTGGTCATTTAGAAAGGTATAAATCAATTTACCACACCCTTATGACTAATTTTCTTTAAATAAAAATGTCAAAAATGTTAGGATAATATGTCAATAGTGTCGTCTATAAAAAGAAATTTGCTTTCTTGTTAAAAAAAAAAAATATTGCCTTATATTTAAAAAGCTTGTTTTATTTTTTAGTTGCAATTGCATCGTATGAATTTTTAAATTTTATAATCTAAACAAATGCTCAAGTTCAACGTAATAATTGTACGTTTTTTTTTTTTTTATAAAGGAGCAACATTCTGAAAAGCAGAGTAAACTTGGGACGACAGTCACACCCGATCAGGCGTCGACATCATCAGCAGAAGGGGAAACTGCCATCCAAAAACGAGAATATGTGATAAGAGAGTTGGTCGAGACGGAGAGAGACTATGTCAGGGATCTGAGACTGGTAGCCGAAGGTTATATGCCGTTGATGAGGGATCCGAACTCCGAAGTTCCAATGCCTGAGGATCTCGGTGGTGGAAAAGACAAAATGGTATTCGGCAACTTGGAAGCGATTTACGAATGGCACAGAGAGTACGTATGTTTGTTCAGATCCGTATATTTATATATTAATTGAATTATTTTTTTAGCGTATTTCTCAAAGCACTCGAACAATGCATAGATAATCCTTCAGAACTTGGCCCACTATTTAAAAGATCTGAAAGAAAGCTGTTTATGTATGTTGTATATTGTCAGAACAAGCCAGTTTCTGAATATATTGTTTCTGAATATGACACATATTTTGAGGTAAAATAGTTTCCCTTGTATAATGGTATAAAATACAGAAATCTGTATTGTCGATTTATTGCAGGAACTCAGACAAAAATTAGGACATAAACTTCAACTCTGTGATTTATTAATAAAACCTGTACAAAGGATTACCAAATATCAACTTCTTCTCAAAGATCTGTACAAATACACTGAAAAAGCGAAGCTGATACACGAAACGGAGACCCTGAAGCAAGCACTCCTTGTAATGCAAGTAGTTCCTAAAGCTGCGAATGATATGATGGATGTCGGCCGGTTACAAGGGTTTGACGTAAGTTGTACCTGCTCAGCGTGTCGAAGCGAAAGTTTTAACAAAATCTGCTTTTAGGGCAAAATTACAGCCCAGGGAAAACTGCTTCTGCACGGGCCGTTAATGTGTTCCGAAGGGATTTCGACTGCAAATTTTAAGGGCAAAGATCTAGTTGTTTTCTTGTTTGAGCAAAACATCATATTTAGTGAAGCTGTCGGGAAGAAAACTCAATTTACAAATCCTGTTTATATATACAAAGCACACATACAGGTATGTTTATAAAAATTTCTGCTTAAAATCTTTATAAAGTGTGTTTTTAATTGTCACAGGTTAATAAAATGAGCCTGGATGAAGGATCACCGACGGGGAGAGAGAAGGGAAGCACCTCAGATGAAAATGAGCCATTTGTCGTCAGATCGACAGATCCGAACAAGCCTGGTACTGCTTACACGTGTCTTGCTTCGAGTGTGGAGTCAAGAGCAGAATGGGTCTACCAGCTGAAGAACATCCTGCAAACACAGCGTGACTTTCTTAAAGCCATACAGTCGCCTATTGCATACCAGAAGGAGCTTAATAAGGACCCCCTTTTGTAAGTCCTTAAAAGGGCGAGTTGGGGATTGCTCACTGACTAACAAGGTTCATGATGAAGGAGTAAAACAAAATCATCAAAATCCAACTAACACCACTAAAACAATGGTGTGGAGTTGATGAATAATTTACTTTTATAACAATTAATTGGTGCTTGTATTATTAGGCTATATTAAGTATCGTGTGATTAATGGGGTGGGGGATTAACTTTGCTTACCCTCATCCTCATCAGTATCGTCCCAGAAAAAAAAAAGTTAACAGTTTTTTGACTTAACTGCTGTTTTTATAAGAACCTGTCCTGTCAATCGCACTAACTTCTTTACCTAGAAAGCAAAAGAAAAATCTATATTTAAAAATTTGACAAACCTTTTTTGATATTGAGATTGTTATATAATCGACATATCACAATTTGAGAGATGGACCCCTTCCTCCCCAATTAGATAATGCTTAACGGTGATTATAAATGTGCATGTGCCAAAATTTACGGGTCATCAGCTCATGAAGAGATAATCATTTTCTGACCATCGGGTTTGAATTTATCGCTGTGATTTGAGATGTACGTTGAGGAAGTTGATCTAGTCAATTTTATTTGCCAGGGAAGCTCCCAGGAACATTGTATAGGCATGAATCTGTATATAATTCTAGGCTAGTCTACGTTATACATTTTCATTTTAACTGGCCATTTTCATAGGTAATTAAAGTCCAACATAGTAATTTTATGTTTCAGATACCCAAAAAACAAATGCAAACCTCTTGTAGAATAGAATGATTTTTCCCTGTTTACAGAGAAAATGTTAGATTGCAAAAAAGAAATTGCAACCGTTCTATTTATTCGCGTGTAAATGGAAGAAACTCGGATTTAAATGAATGGCAAGTGTACATTGCATTGTTGTGATAATTCAAAAAATTGTAATATAACGGGTAAAAAAAATGAACAATTTTTTAAAAGATTATATAGTAACTTTTAAGATGAGTTGAGACTGTAAATAAAGTTTACTATTGAACTATGTTAGCAGTGTAAGAAATTTTTATTAATAAACAAATTGGGAACTTTTTTTTATCAATTATGATTTATGTATAAAATATTTTTTACCTTTTAATTTGGGCAAATGTGCTCTCATGTCTTATAAATCTCTATATTTCTATATCCAGATTTGAAGCAAAATTCCACCTTCTTGCCAATCATGATTAACCTAACAAAAAAAAATTAATTAATTGAAATAAACATAACAGAAATTTGTTCTAAGAGAGGTGACTTTTTGATATTTACGCACATAATCTGTTTAAAAATATTGCTGATGTCGAGAGCACATATTGCACATTATACGTTATATTTGTATTTGTAAAGTTGAGGAAGAAAGAAAGTAAAGTGATATAAAGTGTACATATGATGAAAATATATATATATAGATAGCATATATATGTGTGTTTGTACATAAATAAAGGACACATGAAGTTTTGGATAAATTCAGTCTTTTTAACTATTATTCCAATTCCTCAACCATTTCAAAAGTAAATTGTACCAGACAGATACCAAATTAGTCAAAACAAAAATTAATTTCACCTAAACGAGTAGTAATGACACTAATCATTAAAATTTAATATATTAATCCATATTAATTTTGACTAATTGGTGTATGTCTCAAATATTGGTGGAAATAACAACAAAGCCTGGTAAGTCATAAAATAATGTTTTTTTTAATTAATAATAATTAAATTATATTATATTAACTTGGGTGAGATGGAACCATAATAAAAGCCAAACATTGATGTTACTGGTTTCAGCAAATTGCAAATACAGCATGAATTAATGTTAATAGTTCTTAATACAAAAAAGCAATAATTTTATTATACAATACATACTGCAAAGCTGATTGGAAAAAGATAAATTCATTTTTTTTATTAAATTAAAGTACTGGAGTAAAGTGCAGTGTAATAAACCTGTAGCTACCAATATATGATCTTACAGTGTAGTCAGTTCCTTACATCCTGGTCTGCCTATCTTGCATGCTGGTCAGACATTCCAACGGTTTGCCATCGCCACACAAGCCTGCTATTGAAGATCGTTAATGATAGACCAAAGCAGTGACAGGCAGATCAGGAAGAACTGAAAATACACCCCACAACCCTCAACAAGAAATCTCACAATCTGGCATAAAATTGTTTTGAACTATTTAATTATTATGAGCTGAAACTACAAACTTCTTTTCAGTTTATTTAATAATTGTTAAAAAATACGTTTTGTGTTTGTAGTACATACAACAATTTGTTAACTCTGTTTGCCACTAGTTGATAGTTGAATTTGTCCCTGTATTTTTTCATTATCCATGGCGAGGCCTGTTTTTTTCGCTGAATGTTTTAAGTGCACGTATTTAATACAATCCATAGTCGTGTGGATGTTTTATGATCCAGAAAAGTAGGTTTGTCGCAAAGCTTGACTCACCTCATCATAAATGTGACAATTACAATTGTCAGGCCCGATTTGTAACAATAATTCACTTGTAATTTAATCGTTACCTACTGATAATCTTAGCCTGGGTACCTTGCTGAGGTGATCTTTTAAATTTATCTGTGACACACTGAAGATGGCAAAATGCCGAATCTGACAAACCAACCTGGCGAGGATAGGAAGACCAAGATGGATAGGATGAAATTAAAAGTTCATCAAGCCACAGACCACAGGAGGAAATTTCAAAATAATTCTCTTGTTTCATTCAATATCAAAGTAGTAAAGATTATATTTAATTTTAGTCAATAAGTTCACTTCTTTGTGGAATTTTAAGTGAATTTACTCGTACTATTAAGTTGTAACGTTGAACTGCACAAGTTGTATTATATTATTTATGAAACTCAAATCTCAAGTGTTATTTGGTAAATATTCCCAACAATGTAATAAATAATTTTTTCTATTACCAGTTGCAAAGTTAAAATACAAATTTCCAACAAGATCTAATATTAAAATAAAAAGATAAAAATAATTATATATTATTATATTATAATATAATATTAATTAAATTATTTATTTCAAGTATTTATTTGACTGCATATCTCTTTTGTACTTTAGTCACCCATGAGTGTAAAAGTGAGATAAAAGTTTCTCACATTTCAGTTTATAAAATTTTTTGTTCCATCTGACTAGGGCTGCTTCCCCATAGTCGGAAGAACAGACTAAAATTATTATTTCCTTATAAAAAATATTAAAAAGACTGGAATTAGTCGTTTCTCATACAAAATAGTAAATGGACTTGAGTTAGTTATTTCTCGTACAAAATATTAAACAAACACGAATTCATTTCGCATACAAAATACTAAGAGTTGAATTGGTTGTTTCTTAGACAAAACATTCAACCATCTTTAATTAGTCATTTCCCCTACAAAATATTAAACCAACTATGTTCCTTATACAAAACATTAAACAGACTTGAATTAGTCATTTCTCATACAAAATAGTAAATAGACTTGAGTTAGTCATTTCTCGTACAAAATATTAAACAAACGCGAATTCATTTCTCTTACAAAATACTAGGAGTTGAATTGGTCGTTACAAAACATTCAACGATCTTTAATTAGTCATTTCTCATACAAAATATTAAACCAACCATGTTTCTTATACAAAAAAATTAAACAAACTTGAATTAAGGAAGACTAATTCAACTCTTAATGTTTTGTATAAGAAACGACTAATTCAAACCCATTTAATATTTTGTGTGAGAAATGACTAGTCAAGTTCGTTTAATATTTTGTATAAGAAACGACTAATTCAAACCAATTTAATATTTTGTGTGAGAAATGACTAGTCAAATTCGTTTAATGTTTTGTATAAAAAACGACTAATTCAAACCCCATTTAATATTTTGTGTGAGAAATGACTAGTCAAGTTCATTTAATATTTTGTATAAGAAACGACTAATTCAAGTCTGATATTTTGTATGAGAAACGACTAATTCAAGTCTCATACAAAATAGAACGGACTTGAATTAAGTCATTTTTCATACAAAATATCAGACTTGAATTAGTCGTTTCTTATACAAAAATTAAATGAACTTGACCAGTCATTTCTCCACAAAATATTAAATGGGTTTGAATTAGTCGTTTCTTATACAAAATATTAAACGAACTTGACTAGTCATGTCTCACACAAAATATTAAATGGGTTTGAATTAGTCGCTTCTCATACAAAATATCAAACAACCTTGTATTATTAGTTTCTCATACAAAATATTAACAGTTGAATTAGTCAAATTTTATCCAACATATTAAACTAATTTGAATTATTCGTTTCTCAGACAAAATATTAAATGAACTAGTCGGACGTTTCTTATACAAAATATTGAGTTGAATCAGATGAATGATTTTCATGAATGTTTTTAAACAACATATTAAACCAACTTGAATTAGTCGTCTTATTATAAAAAATATTAAACAGATTTAAATTATTCATTTCTCATAAATGAAAACAAACATATCCTGTTTTTTCACAAAATCACCAATTTTCAAATGTTATAAGGGTTTATATACTAGTCATCAGTTACTAACTTTATCAATAATCCATCTATATGCTCTACTCAATTAAAGGAGGTAAAATGTTAACTTAAAGAAACTTAGGTTATGCTTACTAAAAACAAATATTCATTGTGCTAATTTCTTTATTTTTTAATCATGCTTCGTACTTATTAAACTAAAATAATGTACACTTGTTAATGACAAATGAAAATTATAAATTCCACAAAAACACCTATTTGTTTGAAACATTTAAAATGGTAAACAGACAATTCTACCATTTCAGCTGTATTTCGGTGAGAGAACCCAGCCCACCAGAGCCGCATAAGGAAAGTACAAAGGTCGAAGTACTTGAGGTAATGAGCAGGTCAAGGAGTTCCAGCAGCGGAGGCATCTTAGAAGGTTTCCGCAATACTCTGAGGAGAGCCAGGAGCGACTTACCAACACACCGAGCCACTATACACCTCAGGCGTTGGTCGGACGCTAGAGTTGTATGTTTTTTCTTCTCTTAACTATTATTTATTTAATATTAATCACTTTTACTTTTTTCCAGTCGAAATAAAATAAAAGACTCAATAGTTCCTCTAGTCAATGGAGCGTTCCATCTGTGATAAATCAACTGCTATGTACAATTCAACATTTTCAAGTGATGTTTCCACTCTTGTGACAAGACAATTTCAACAATTTTAATTATTTGTACAGTTCAATGTACTAATATGTAACACTATTTATGTAATTATATTGTTTGTATTATTTATATGAAAAATATAAATTTTTTTAAGCTTTGATACCTAACATTTGTTATTGCCAGGATTACAGCTTTGTAAACATTTCAATTTGACCCCAAGGCGCTTTTTTTTTTTTATTTTTTTTTTTTTTGTGTCTGATATAAGGCTAATTGGATGATTAAAAATAAAAAGGCCAATAAGTTTAAAATATAAAGGGTATGAGTAAGTATTTTCTTACCAGCGGTATTTACTGACCACAATCATCATGTTAATTCAGTCATTAATAATCATCAACTTCAGCGATCTTGGTGATATATAATTAAGTCATCATTATACAAAACAAAATGAACACGACCGAAAAATCATACTTACAAAAACATACAATCACTGTTAATTTTCATTTGAACAAGGCTGAAAGAAAAAATATAGAAGGAACGCAGATCATTCAATGCTGGCATAGTCAAAATAAATATTCCTGAAACTTGTCTATCAATTGAAGACGTGTTATCACCAGAACTAAAAAAAAGAAAAAGAAAAAGAAATGAAAAAGTTATAGATACATCTTAAAATTACTTCATTAAAGTTTTAAAAGATTCAGTCATTAATAATCATCAATTAACATCAGCGATCTTGGTGATATATAATTAAGTCATCACTATACAAAACAAAATGCACACAACCGAAAAATCATACTTACAAAAACATACACAATCACTGTTAATTTTCATTTGAACAAGGCTGAAAGAAAAAGTATAGAAGGAACGCAGATCATTCAATGCTGGCATAGTCAAAATAAATATTCCTGAAACTTGTCTATCAATTAAAGACATGTTATCACCAGAACTAAAAAAAAAGAAAAAGAAATGAAAAGGTTATAGATACATCTTAAAATTACTTCATTAAAGTTTTAAAAGATTCAGCCATTAATAATCATCAACTTCAGCGATCTTGGTGATATATAATTTAGTCATCATTATACAAAACAAAATGAACACAACCGAAAAATCATACTTACAAAAACATACGTAATTACTGTTAATTTTCATTTGGACAAGGTTGAAAGAAAAAGTATAGAAGGAACTCAGATCATTCAATGCTGGCAGATTAGTCAAATAAATATTACTGAAACTTGTCTATCAATTGAAGATATGTTATCACCAGAACTAGAAAAAAAAAAAAAAAAAAAAAATGTAAAGGTTATACATACATCTTAAAATTACTTCATTAAAGTTTTAAAAGATTCAGTCATTAATAATCATCAATTAGCTTCAGCGATCTTGGTGATAAATAATTAAGTCATCATTATACAAAAATATACGAACAAAATGAAAAATCATACTTACAAAAACAAGTGCAATGCACTGGCTCATCATATTTGCAACTGGATGAGGCTGAAAGAAAAAGTACACAATTTAACATAATAATACTAAAATATTAAGAAAACTAATTAAAAAACAATAGTAAAAACATTTCAGTTCAAAGGATCATCAAAGCACTTATGCGATCTTGGTGATTTTTTAAATGAGTCATCATATTTGTTGTCGTTGAAAATTGTTTTAACGACTGACTGAAATTATGCTGTTTATAAAATCTAAATTGATACGGTCTTAATTTGTAATACTTTTTTTGGATTTTCAAATCATTCGATTTTCACCATGAAATTTAAGATTAATATATATAATGATATGATAATATAATAACTTGTAATATTGTTTGTTGTGTTATAATTGAGAAATAGGTATAGTTGAACTTCTCGTAAGTGGTCACTTGGGAATGGGATATTGTCGAATAGAAATGATGAAAGTGAGGTGAATAATTCCCTATATGTATGTAGAATTAAGAGGGAACTGCATAGAGCAAAATTAAACACATTAGCCCATTCAGGATGGTGAGCATGGTTCAAGTTATTGCTTCCTCCAGTGCAATCACGCTCACTCCTACTTTTACTCAGTTATTGTTAAATATCTTTTCTGTGATAGAATTTTTTTTTAACACTTTGTATCTGTTTGTCACAACCTGAAGTGTCAAAGGTGTTCAAGAAAGTTGTGAGAGTGAAAATTCCCGAATCCTAAGTTGTTTTTCTTGCTGACACATGCTTATTAACAACTTTTTCCTGGAAAAATCTATAACATCTAAATCTATAACACGAAGAATAATGACAGGGAAAACAAAAATTATTAAAAATCATGAGGGATGTCTGATATCCGGTTATTAGAAGTGTCCATTTGGGGAAGTTTGAATGCATTACTGTAAAAATCTTAAAGGGGGAAAATAAAAGATGGCAATAATAAATTAATAAAAATTATTTTTAACAACTTACCATATTTTCCGACTGTTTCTCTTTTATTCCTTTTACAACAACCTTGTTAGCCTAAAATTATAAATAATGAATTAGATTTTTAGAATAACATAATGTTAAAGTATAAAACAATTTATTGTTTGGACAAATCAGAAGTGGGTAGTGGTAAGAGGGTTCGTCATCATAAATTTTATGGCCTCTTAATTTTCATCATGATTGTGTGAAGGTAAAAAAAAAAGTGTGACAATATTATTTACCTGTATTTTGTGTTGGACAATTTCTCTTGAGACAGAAATCTATAACAAAAAACAATAAATAAACTAATTGTTTATGTTTAGAATAAAATGAGAATTTTTATGTTAAATTCAGAAGTGAGTAGTGGTGAAAAGTTTGTCTTCACAATTATTTAAGAACTTTTTATTTACATCATTATTGTTTTATACAGACAGCACATTTACAATCTATTAACATAGCGAGTGGTAGTTGCTTAATTTGCTGCCAGCTAGCCCATTTAAAATTTTCAGGATGGAACCAAATTTATTGTACTCGTTCATCTTTTTGTTTCTAACACTGGGCTAGTTCTATTTTCCTGTCTATGGACCAGTGAGCGAAGCGAAAAAGCAAATCAGTCAATAACTCAAGAACTGTTGACACAATATTAAAGCCACCCCCTACCACGAAATCGATTTAATTTGAATGGTATGAGTATTTCCTGAAAAACATTCTTATCACATTTTTTAAACTTTTATTTAATGAAATGTGATTTTAATTTATGTAAGTACCTTCCTCCCTTGATTTGTTTAGGTTTTGCTTAATACAATTTCCAGTTAAACTAATTGCAACATATTAAACAGCAACCACTGAATAATAAAGTTTATTATTGTAAAACAAAATAATATAATTAATACCTTCCATATGAGGTTGAGAAAATGGACACAAGAATTCATCACCCATATGGGAAATAAATCTGAAAATGTTAAAATTACTTACAGTTGTTACAATATGTAAAAATGAAATATATTAAAAAAAGAGTTCATATAATTTCAGAAGTGAGTAGTGGTGAAAAATTTGTCTTCATAATTATTTAAGAATTTTTTATTAACATCATTACGTTGTTTGCACTGACAAACTTTAACATCTATAATAGTTAAATGTAGTTGTATGAATTTAAACAATACCTTTGACATGTAGCAGCAGTTTCAAGGCCGAGAAATGGTCTAAACAGCCAATTTAAATATTCATTATAGCCACACGCAACTATCCAAAAATCTGAAACATGTAAAAACACTGCTAACAAAAATTGTTTTAAAAATGTGTAAAAAGATTACACATAACATTTCAATTTAATTTTAAAATTGAGTAGTGGAGAAAAAATTTTATTCACAATAATATAAGAACAATTTATTTACATCATTTGTTTTTAAGAACACAAAATTTTGGATATTACACTTGTGAAATTTAATTGTTATAATAGCCAATAATTAATACCTTTAATTACTGTAGAATTTTCGAAGTCCGAGAAAATTGCCCAGAAGTGTGCAAGTGAAATTTGAATACTCATCTCAATATTGTACAAATCTGAAAAAGTTCATATTACTTGCACAACTTAATTTCAACAATATGTAAAATATAAACATTTTAATTTAATTTCAGAAGTGAGTAGTGGTAAAAATGGTTTGTCCACAGATATTCGGATAATTTTTCTTCTCATCATACAGATTATAAATGAATTATTATAAGGCAATTTCTTGCTTTACCTAGTAAATTGGGTATCACAAAGACTTGTTTTCCAGGGTTGATATTTTGCCTTGGTTTTCCTTTACTTCATGTTATGTGATGTTATTTCATGCGAATCAAAACGAAAAAAATATTAGTGTTTTCATATTTTAAAAAAATTCAAAAAGTTATTTACTTACAGTGTAAAGTCTGTTTTTTACCTCCTAAAACAAAATCACAATAAGGAAAAAATAATGTTTTATATATAACTAGAAACAGGAGTCAAAGAAATGAATAAACAAATTTATAATAAAATGAATTATAATTGAATTAGATTTCCATTTTACAAAAGACCTAGTCTGATTTCTTCGGCCTGGTTTTCTTGACTTGGAGGGTCCTCTTCTGTGAGTTCAGGATGGCGCTGGCTCGCCTCAAAGCGGCCTGGAAGAAAAGGGATTTTAGAGCTCATAACTCATCTTGCCCAACCATTTTTTTTTTTTTTTTAATTCAGTTTTATATTACGATCAACTCACTTTGGTCAAATCCCTCCTGTATTTGTTTGCTCTCATGAATCTGCGGAGTTTAAACAAGGCAATTCTAGGGCCGGCCTTCATTGTACGAGACACGTAGCACGATGCTGGCTTGTTCTAAAAGAAAGAGGAAATGGGTTTTTAGTTTTATTCCACCCAAATTCAACTAAATTGTGATTTGTATTAATGATAAGGCCTTTAAGCCTATTAAAACACCTTATCTTATTTACAAGTTTACACTGCAAATTCGTCAATTTTGGTACCATTGTATGAAGTTGTTCACTTCTAAATCTATCTGTTGCTGCGGGAAGTGAAATCTGTCTACAGACTTTAATAAACTCTACCATTCTGACTTGAATCATCTCTGAGCATTCTGGTTTTGTGATTTTGGGTTCTTTAATGTGACATTTGCACAATGTTTATATCTAAAGCAATGTCGGATCAGTAGGTTCAGGTTGTCCAGTCATATTTTGAACTTGAACTTATAAGTCTACTCATTAACAAATTCAACATGGGTGACCCCACAGTGGAGTCAAACAACTCTCTCTGAGGCACAGTACCCACTGGAGCGATGCGATAGTACGCATGGAGCTATTTTTAATCACTCGATATGACTTTTATCGGTGCACTCTCATACCCACTGGAGCGAAGGGACAAGCAATACGATATAGTACCTTTTTACATTAAACTGTTATGTATGCTGATGATGTATTACTGGCAGATACTCCTTTGGTATATAAAAATGATAGATTTAAAAATGTACTGCGACTACTAGAAACTTAGAAGTTAATACCTTCCAAATCAAAAATTATATTTAAAAACAATGAACATAATTTACAACCAAATGAAAAATGGAAATTTAAAAATGAAATTTTAGAAACAGTTGAAACATATAAATAATTGGAGGTCTCATTGTCACAATAACAAAGGAAATGGAAATATAAAAATAAGTTAATAGTTTTTGCTTCATAATGTTGGCGTAGCTACGGCTAAGTTTGCATATATAATTTTTCTGTAATTAATGCTGTGTGTCTTTGTTAATGCAGACCATTTCTAGAAAGTTGCATGTTTTGTTACGTTTTTAGTATTTGTATTTTGTCAAAATCAAAGTCTTGTTGTTTTTCAAAGTGGTGTGTGGCCAACAATGTGGGATTGGTTTTTGGTGTTTTACAGTCATGGTTGTTTGTCCGAATTTTTAGATAGTTCGATGTAATTCTAATGTACGTTGCTGGACATTTCATAAAATTAATTTTATAAATAACTTTTTTTTTTAGTTGAGATATATATATATATATAAAAATTTTTTTTTGTTATGCTATTTTAATGTGTTCTGTGGAGAGAAATTTATTTAATTTGTGTCACAATGTGTGGATGAATGGAATGGACGTGTACATTGATGGGTATGATTGTGTTGATGTGTTGTATACTGTGCAGGACGTCATTTTGTGTAGTGCTGAGTTATAATTGTTTATGATTTGTTGATTGTTTTTAGGGTAGTTGTTATATAAGATTTGTTTATATGTTTGAATATTTTTTAGGTGAAAGGAGATATGATTCTGTGCAATAATACTTTAGCTGTGTTTAATACTGTAGGGGTGATGTGTTGTTCCTTCATTACCATCCTTCATAATTAATTAATTTTTTTTTTTTTTTGTAAGGCCTTGGTTGAGATGAAAAAATGAAGTGTTATGAGTGGGATTCGAACTCATGACTTTCGGCTCAATATGCCACTGCTTTAACAACTTGAGCTATCGTGACTTCAATCCTCTCGGATACCAACTCCCTATTTCAACCTACCACCTTTCACATTCCCCCCCTTCTCAACCAAGACCTTACATAAAAAGAATTATTAAACGAGATAATTAATATGATTAATTATGACTAAACACAAATGGTTAATCTTAATAATTAACTTCCTTTCCAATACTGAATGCCAAATTTACAAATCCAATCCAGAAAATCCCCATTCTCAACTACCTTTGAGTTAAATAAAACTGCCTATGATCAAAGAAAATTCCCCAGATTTACCGCATTCCCCACCCACCCTGTCACAATAATATAAAAACAGCGAAATAAAAATTCACATTTCACCACTTTAGTGAGTATGAAATACTTGGTTCAAAATTTATATTTACATCTTAAATTGTATTTTTTCCAGTCGACGTATGTTTTGTAATTTACCCAAGCCCTGAAGAAGATCCGAATAAAGGTTGAAACGTAAAACAAAAAAAAATGAAAACGGTGTTTTTCTAAACTTAAACCAAGCTCATTCTTGACCGCTCCTCATGACTTCAACAAATTATTTAAGAAGTGGATTAAGCACTTAACACTAAATTAAAGATGATTTTTGCAAACGATTTAGATAAAGACTGAGAGTGGCCTATACTTCTGTCACATATAAATATTGCTATTATAATACCAAATAACAAAGAACTAGACATAATGAAAGAAGTATTACATCTGTACTTTTGTAATTAACGTTTTTTTTTGTTTTGGTTAAATTTTAATATTTTGTACAACTAATAACAAACCAAAAGAGGGGTGGCCTATAATTTAGTCAAGGAGAATTGTCTGAGACTGCAGTTCGGTTGGTTTGGTTTTAGTGGACGGAAAGCAGTAGATAAGAGATTTTAGGATTGGTGGTTTTGTCGGCCGGATGACAGATACATGATTGGAGAATTTTTAGTGGAGGGTAGAAGAGCATGTCGTAGCAAATGTATCATCAGGTTGAAGGGTTTCTACAAACACGTCTCTCGACATGAATTGCAAAAGTGAACCCGCTGATACCCCCGCCAACCTGATATTCATGTTGAGAGACGTGTTTGTAAAAACCCTTCAACCTGTTGAGCTAAAGGACTCGAAATTTGGATTGTTGCAAAACAACTTCTATGAGTAGGAACCATCTTTTTAAAAAGGATTGAACTCCACCATTCATAATTTCTATTATACTTTGATTACTGAATTTTGATTGGTAACTTGTGCAAGCATCTTTTCATTTTCGTCGTCTCCATATCCTAGTAAGTGACTGTACTAAATATGTAGAAATTGTTATTTTATTTTGTCCCTTCTAGAATGTTTTGACTGATGAAGGACTAAAATAAGTCCGAACATGTTAATAATAAAAAAAATCATGAACTGCTAGTTGTTCATTCTCTGGCCGCCACCTTGACAAATTCTCCAATCATCACTTTAGGATATTTAAATACTTACGTTGTACTTCGCTCTCTTCCAGGTGACTTTAAAAGTCATCTTTTCAGCCGGACTTATATCCAGGCTTTTTTTGTGTACCAGACCATTGTAACGGAACGAAGCCAAGTTGAGCAAGTTATGCGGCTCCTGGAGGAAAAGAAAATTTCCTATCAGAACAAAAAAAAAAAAAATTTAATAACGAACATACCGTGCTGAAATGTTTCTTGATGTTTCTTTTTTTGACCAGGTAAGAGTTGAATTTCCTGACAACCAACCAATTCAAATGGGGCGATACGTGAGATGCCATGGCTGAAAAGCGTGGAGTTTAAGTTGGAAAAAGTTATTTTAAAATAAAACCGATTCGATTTCTAAAGAAATTGTCGAAGTCCGGGTTTAAAAAATAAACAATTAAACGTATTTTTGTTGAATTATTTAAATCGAATTTGTTCCCAGCCTCACCTGCTTTCGGATCCTTTAACCTCAAAGAAGTGGGAGACCAACACGATGAGACGGACGACACCACGAGGTTTCCAATCCACTGCCTTACCATTCAAAACAGAAAAAAATTCACGTATTTTGGTTTAAATATACATTTAAAAATAATAACTTATTAGGAAATGTATAAAAATTATTGCTTTATTATATAAACAAAATATTTCAATCTTTTAAAGAAAAAATGTTTAGGTTTAACTATTTTTTAAAAATCTTATTAAAAAATGAAAAATAAATCTAATTAAAAATAATACATTTTATTATTTGTAATCAATATAAAAGGATAAATTATAAAGTATTGAAACTTTTTTTCAAAGTCGATTTTTGCCTTTTTGCGCCCGATAAGGACCGTTGAGATGTGACAGGTAGTAGAAAGGTTTTCGTCCAGCGACCGTTGTCACTTTGTCAGTTGATAGACGAACCACCAACGACTAACTCGCCAAGTTTCTGTTTTGTCGTTTGGCTGGAAATATTCTTTCTTTTTTATTTTTTTATATATTTTTTGGACGAAAATCTCAAAATGAACACGGCCCAGAGGCGAGAGTACGATTTGGCCAAATACACGGTGAAAAATTGGGAAAGCGAATTCAAAAGGACGACGCGCTCCATTCCGACAAAGGTACGAAAGTCGCGTTTATTTTATTTTCGAATTAGAATTTTTTTTTGTAATAAATATTCCGTCTGTTTCGATTTCGATCATTTCGATGTCATTTTTTTTTTTTTTTTTTTTGGTAGAACGACCACAAGGAAAAATTCCAGTTTGCCCAGTCGATTCATTTCGTTGCCATTTTGGGTTCCATCCACGAAGCCCTTTTCTCCTAGTTTTTCAGCCTATCTTTAACTTAAAAACTGTATTTTCTTTTTATTTCACCATGCAGAACAACTTTTCTTCTAGCCACTTTGTAACAGCAAACGCGAAGTGTTTTCTTTTTGTCTCACCTACATCCACGATGGAAAAACAACGTTCTTCCCTTAAAAATTTTAAAGTATGTTGTTTACTCTCATTAAAAGAACGTTCTTACTCACAGTTTGTTGTTTTCAAGCAGCTCATCATCAGGTTGAAATAGTTACAAACTCGTCTCCTAACATCAATTGTAATTGTTCGAGTGATGATGAGCTCGAAGTCAGGGTTGTTGAAAACAACAAACTGAGTAAGAACTATCTTTTAAAGAGATATTCGTCCCTTCGTAATAAACTTATATTACGCACCTTTTTTTCTTTCACACAAATCCACGATGAAGAACAACTTTTCTTTTAGGCTCTTTTATGTTTCTAAATAAAGATGAAACTCGTATTATTTATCGTCTTTTTGTGTCACCTACATACATGATGAATTTTTTTTTCGTTTCATCTACATCTAAAAAACTTTTCCTATTGACACTTTTGTGTCATAAAAAAATAAAGATGAAACTTGTATTATTTATCCAAACATATATCCATGACGAAAACGAGTTAGGATTATGATCTTTTTCATTTAATTAAAACAATTTATTTTCTTAGAATAACTTTAATAAAGGCGAAACTCCCTCTCCATTTTTTAATTAATAAAAGTGAAACTCGGTATTTATTTTATTTTCATTTCACAAAAAAAAACTGCACTTCATATACTGAAGAAGATGAAATTTTCCTTAAAGGTAAAACTTTTTTTATTTGTTGAATTTTCTTTTGTGTTACCTACATCCTTGATGAAAATTTATTTATTTTTCCGTTTCATCTACATACTATGAAAAACAACTTTTCTTCTAAACTCTTTTGTTACTTTAAATAAAGATGAAACTCGTATTATTTATCCTTTTTTTCTTTAAAAAAAATGGGTTAATTACTTTCTTTTCCCTTTAACTAAAACAATTAATTTTCTTCGAACCACTTTGTAACAATAAAGGGAAAACTCCAGGTTTTCTCTTCGTTTCATCTACGTCCACGAGGAAAAAACAACTATTCTTCTAGATTCTTTTGTATCTTTAAATAAAGATGAAACTCGTGTTATTTATCTTCTTTTTTATTTCACATACATCTGTGGTGAAAACTAACTAGGATTGTTAATTTCTTTTTCTTTTAATTAAAGCAATTAATTTTCTTCGAACCACTTTGTAATAATAAAGGCGAAACTCTGATGGGACTTAATAAATCGGTTTATTTATTTATTTTTATTTTATCTTATTTATTTATTTATTTTCATTTCATCTACATCCAAGATGAAAAACAACTTTTCTTCTACTTTTATGTGTCTTTAAATACAAATGAAACTCGTATTATTTATCGTCTTTTTTTTCACATTTACGATGAAAACAAACTAGGCTAATTTACTTCTTTTTTCTTTTAGTTAAAACAATATTTTCTTAGAACAACTTTTTAATAATAAAGTCGAAACTCTCCGATTGTGACTTAATCAATCGGTTTATTTATTTTATTTTCGTTTTATCTACATCCACGAGGAAAAACAACTTTTTCTATACTCTTTTGTGTTTTTAAATAAAGATGAAACTCGTATTATTTATCTTCTTTTTTGTTTCACATATATCCACGATGAAAACAAACTAGGATTATTTATTTTCTTTTAATTAAACCAATTAATTTTCTTCGAACGACTTTGTAATAAAGGCGAAACTCGCTCTACATTTTTTTTATTAATAAATGTGAAACTCGTTATTTATTTTATTTTCATTTCACAAAAAAAATTAATTTTTTTTTTTTAATTTTTTATTTGTTGAATTTTCTTTTTGTGTTACCTACATCCATGATGAAAATTTATTTATTTTTCCGTTTCATCGACATCCACTATAAAAAACAACTTTTCTTCTAGACTCTTTTGTGTCTTGAAAATCGTATTATTTATCCTTTTTTTGTTTCACATATATACACGATGAAAATAAACTAGGGTTTTTTACTTTCTTTTTCCTTAAACTAAAACAATTAATTTTCATCGAACCACTTTGCAATAATAAAGGAAAATTCTCTCCATTTGTGACTTACTAAATGTGAAACTTCGTCTTCTTTTCGTTTCTTAACTTTTCTCCTACACTCTTTTATGCCTTTAAATAAATATGAAACTCGTATTATTTATTTTCTTTTTTATTTCACATACATCTACGTCGAAAACTAACTAGGATTATTTATTTTCTTTTTCTTTTAATTAAAGCAATTAATTTTCTTCGAACCACTTTGTAATAATAAAGGCGAAACTCTCCATTTGAGACTTAACAAATGTGAAATTCGGTTTATTCTTTCTTTCGTATCATCTACATTGACGGTGAAAAATGACTTTGTAAATTTCATAAACGATACTTTAAATATGATGCAAAATAATTGTTCATTTTATATTTTAAATATGATTAAGAACAATTTTTTCTTGCCTTCTTGTGACTTACTTTTTGTCTCAACTGCATGATAATGAAAAAACATAAAAGAAGTTCAATTTTCTTCTAACCAATTTATATCAACCATGAAACTCGGTTTATTTATTTCCATATATAAAAATAAATTTTCAGCTAGCCTCGTTTGTGACATGAAACAAACACAAAAACAATTCGTACTGCTTGTTTAATTAACAGTTGAATTCCTTCTGTTAAATTTTATTTGCCAACAAAAACTCTCAACATATAAACAACTATTAATTGTTGTTCGTATATATATTTATATTGCTAATTATTAACGTTACCTTATCTACATAATTACCTTTCTTTTGGCCTCTTTTATGACAAAGACGTCAATGTGCCTATTGTTTTCTTGAAATAGGATTATATTTCCTTTCACTTTCTTTATTGTTTACTTGAAAAGACTGATTTTCCCCCAAAAAGCTTATTTCTTTTCTTGAAAAACCGGAAGTCCATCCTTTACTTACCTCCAGGATAAATATAATATTATCTTTTCTTTTAGCTTCTTTTGTGATAGAAACCAACGAGATAAAAAATGTTGACTTTCTTTTAATCGCTTTTGTAAAATAAATGCAAAAAATGCTTATCCTTGTATCTTATTGTTTGTAACTCAACAGATTATTGTTAACTTTTAAAACTCTAATTATTTTTCTTTCACTGAGATCCACCCCAGTTTTTTAGATTTTTTTTTTCTTTGTGACGAAAAAGATTTGTATTTTTTAAAAATCTTTACCAGAATAATAACCAAAAATTACTGGTGGAAAAATTATATCAATGATGATATTTAAAAAATATGTATGTATACTTACTTGTTGGAAGTTAACCAACCAAAAATATGCATACAAATAATCCAAATAAATAGAGTGGTTACAGTAATGTATTGTGTAAAGATAGTTTAGTTTTGATAGCCTAAATAGATTCCTAAGAAAAGAACAGAAGTCCAAAAGTCTTGTATGGGTTTTCCACATCAGTCTAGGCATAGTCCTAAATATCTAACTTTAGTGGAAATCGGTAGCTCCTTCTTTGTGTTGTACATTTTTTTGTCCAATGTGAATGAACACTGAGTACATTGTGTGGTGATTAGTGACCGTTAATCGATATTTATTTAGAAATCGTGAGATGCGGTCTGGTGTGATGTAGGTTTCAGAAAAACATTTTCTTTATCGTGCCAACGTTTCGATCTTTATTGAATTTTGCATTGTATAAATTCACTTTTCCACACCCAAAATGTAATTGTTATATGTAAACAATGTTTGTAAATCCCAGGCCCTGAAGATGATCTCAATAAAGATCGAAACGTTGGCACGATAAAGAAAATGTTTTTCTGAAACCTACATCACACCAGACTGCATCTCACGATTTCTAAATAAATACTGAGTACATTTTTCCTTATCCAATCTTGTCTTCTCCATGTTGCACCAGTCTTTGATAAGCTCAAGGCGTTCTTGGATGTTGTTGGTTGCTTGGATATGATTGAGGTCAGAAGACAATTGTGGTGTCAGTCTGTATAGGAAAGTCAACAGTATAAATGGTATAAGAATGATTCCTTGTGGGTTAGCTTATATTGGCCCAATTTCTGATTTTTTACTACTGCACCTCACTCTGAAGCAGCAATCAGTTAAATAGGATTCCAGGGTAAGAGAATAAGGATAGGAAGCATTTAAGTTTATAAAGAATCCCTATCCAGGAACGCACCCAAGTAGTACTCACTGTTCTCAATTTTGAAACCCAGCTGGATCATGGAATGATGAGGACGAAATATGAATTGGTGAAAAGAAATAATTCTATGTGAATGTAGGTCAGGTATTAAACTTTTTTATATGGGTCTTTCAAGGATTTTGTATGTCACATGAAGAAAGCTGATAGGTCATATTATTTAAAATTATAATTATATAGATGTGTATAATTACAGACAAGTGTGCTCATAAATAAATTCATATTTAGAACAATGGTTATCTATTACAACCATCACATTTCTTCAGCAGTTTGATCGCCCATCAAAAAAAATGTAAAGTATAAAAATGTATTGAAATAAGAATTATTTTTAATTAAACCTACTGTAGCTTAAATTAATGCTTCATGCAAGAAGGGTGCATCATTTTTAGGCAGAAATGAGAAAATGGCAGGTTTAGGGTTTTTGGTATATTTTCAACAATTTGTATATGACATTACAATTAATTAAGGGTTTTAGTTGAGATGAAAAAAAGTTAATGGCACGAGCGGGATTCGAACCCACGATCTTCGGCTAGATACGCCGCTGCTCTACCACTTGAGCTATCGTGACTTTGATCCACTCTGACACTAACTTCCTATCTCAACCCCATCTTATGGGTTTTCCCTCCTTTTTGCCATTTTTCATTAATTGGTCAAGCGGACCACGAAATTAGTGAATTTGTATATGGAAGAACCTTATATACCCATTCGAAAAGTTAGTGAACCATTCTATGATTTTTACAATTCATGTGAAAGCGATCCTTATTTGAGAGTTATAATTAATTAAGGTTTTTAGTTGAGATAAAAAAGTCAGTGGCACGAGCGGGATTCGAACCCACGATCTTTGGCTTGATACGCCGCTGCTCTACCACTTGAGCTATTGTGACCTCAATCCACTCGGACACCAACCTCCCATCTCAACCACACCTTTTGAATTTTCCCTCCTTTTTGCCATTTTTTATCTCAACTAAAAACCTTAACTAATTATAATATATTAATTGGTCAAGCGGACCACGAAATTGGTGAACTTATTTCAGAGGTTTGAATAACACCATGAAAAGCTATTAAAATTTTTTTTAATGAGATTTGGATGAGGTTTCTTGCATGTTCAAATGAAAAGAAGTTAGAGAAAATAATTGTTACCAAATTGTAGGTTCATCACTTATGTAGATCATGTTTAATTCCTTTTTTTTTATTTGCAGGCTGACATCAAATGTGCCCCAATGAGGATCAAAGAGGCCTACAAAACATATTGGAAGCTGAAGACTCTTGAACTCGAGAACACACTGGCCGACGTTCTCAACGATGAAAATGCCAAAGATTGTTTCAATTCGTCAAACGAAGAGATTAATAAGACGCAGAATTCACTCTCAGAAGATAGCGTCTGTTTTACTGCCATATCTGACAACACCACCGATTCAAGCTTTAGTCTTCTTAACCAATCGACCGAAAGTAAAATAGAATTGTTGAGTAGGCAAATTGAAGAAAAAGAAAGGAGCTTGGGTAAAGTGGGAGAGTTTAGTTTTAAAAATATTCTGAAGAATTTAGGTTACAAAAACCTCGACTCTACTAGCAATATCAATACAGTTTGGGGCACGCACCTCAATAAATCCCAAAACGAAGATGATAAAGACAAGGGTGGGGATGTAAAAAAACTAGAAGCCAAATCTGTATCTTTCAAATATACAGAAAAACTATTTAAAGGGTCAAAATTCAACAAAAGGAATCCGAGAAAACCTTTGAAGAAATCTAAAACAATAGGGGCAATCGAAGTTAAAAGCAATGTAGAACCTGTTCAAGAAATAAATGATGTTCTGAGTGAACCTTTAGTTACAAAAGAAGAAATTATAAAAACTACTTTATCCCAACCAGTTGAAGATAATGATGTATCTTTTAATCTTTTTAATAACAAAACTAAAATAGTCAAGTCTTCCTGTTCCGCTTCATCTACAGGGCAAGCCGTCAGCCTTTTGCAAAAGAAATTTGATGGCGATTTGAAAACTAAGCTGAGCATTCCTGAAATTGATAAAGGCTGGTTGGAAAGAGTGAACCAAATCAACGAGATAACAGAAATTAAAAAGATGGAATGTGTATCACAGGATTCTGGCATTGAATTGTCTCAGTCTCACACTTTACCTGATACGTTAGATAAAAAGTCTGATAGTGATGAAGATCTCATATATGATAGTGACACCGAGACTAATAATTCACCCAATTCATCAAAGTGTCCCCTTAGTCTCCCTGTTTTTAACGATTCAAAGCCCATCCCCCTAAAAGATATTTTTCAAAATAATAAAAGAAGCCTGGCAGAGCCTGATGAGTCGATTTCGAAAAAGGCCAAGCTTGATTGCTACGAATTTAAATTAAATACAACAAAACCAGAAATTTTGGCCCCGGTCAAGAGAGACGAGACTCCAAAGGAAGTTCCACTTGATGTCATTGTCCAAAAGAAACTGGAACAACTTGAAAAGAAGTTAAACAGCGGGAAAGCGAATGAAAATTTTGTGGCTATAAATATACAGAAGAAAGTTTATGCGAGAGGAAAGAAAAAAATGACCTACTCCAAATATAAAAAACAAAAATGGAAACAAATGACTAAAGGTGGTGACATGAATTCAGGAGGTAGTTTTTTTAATGGCGTTAAAAAATGCTTTAAATGTGGCGATGTTGGGCACTATTCTAAAGCATGTCCCAAAGGTATTTATTTTTAATATTGTTAAATAAATAAAGCAAATATAACCTAACACTTGTCTCTATTATTTAAAATAGCAGGGAAAGAACTTTTGCCACTTGAGGAGTATGAATCTGAAGATGAAAGCCCGTTTCCTACATTGGCCGAGGCAGCTCAGATTGTTGAAGAAGCAGCTGAAAAAGCTCATAGTGGCAAGCGCAGGTTCACAGTGTCGACTGAGTCAAACATTGAGGAAAAAAAGAAAACTATAATTTCTCCCCCAGAAGAATTTATCAATTTGGAGGAAGAACTAGTCAAAGAAACCATTGAGCCAGTTTATAAATTGAACGATGATGGATTAATAATAGGTAAGTAAGAATTTAATTAAATTCCATTTCAGTCTAACTACATTGAATATCGGTTTTAGACACCCCAAGGGAAGTTTTTACTGCATTGAAAGAATTTGGTCATTCTGCATTTTTGCCTGGGCAAGAGAAAGCCGTGATGAGGATATTATCTGGGCAATCCACCCTGGTCACATTAAGCACAGGATCAGGAAAATCTCTTTGTTACCAGTTGCCTGCTTACATTTACAGCAAGCATTATTCTTCGTGTATAACACTTGTCGTTTCACCTTTAATCTCATTGATGGATGACCAGGTAGAAAATCGTTATAAATCTCTATAAGTGTACAAATCTAAACAATTTATAACCAATTTTAGGTCAAAGGAATTAATAAATGTTTTAAAATTGCATCATTACACACAAATCAAACGGAGAAAAAAAGAAAAGCAGTTTTAGACGAAGTCAAGTCAGGAAATGTTTCTATACTTCTTATTTCACCTGAAACATTGGTTTCATTAGATTCTGGCTTCGCAAAATCCCTCTTACAGAGTTTACCACCGATCGCTTTCGCTTGTATTGACGAGGCCCATTGTTTATATCAGTGGTGTCATAATTTCAGGCCTTCATACATGACAGTCACTCAGGTATTTTCATTTTGCATAATATTTTGAATTAATTGTACTAAGAAAATTTGTACAGGTTTTGAGGGAGAAATTGGGCGTTAAAACCTTACTGGGTTTGACAGCAACTGCTAGCACTTCAACCAAAGAATGCATTCTCTCTCATCTCGGTCTCGATCCGTACGACCAAAGCGGCGTCATTTCTGATACGCCGATACCCAATAATTTGATATTATCTGTCTCGTTGGCAAACAGTGAAGATGAAAAACAGCAAGCTCTCCTCCGACTGTTGAATGGCAAGAAATTCGGAGAATATAACAGCATTATAATTTATTGTGCAAGGAGGGAACAGTGTGAAAAAGTAGCAAGCTTTCTTCGGACATTCTTGCAGGTTTGTCATCTAGTACTTTGAAGTTAATTACGGTAGTTAATTATTTGTAAATTTTAGAACAAAGACGGGAAAAATAACATAGGTAGGATGTCCATACACGCTGAGCCTTATCATGCAGGATTAACAGCTGGGCGTAGAAATCAAGTCCAGGATAAATTCATGTCAGGTAAATATTTTTAAAATGATAGAACAAATTAATTAGAAAATATGTCATACTAAAAGATAAACATAACTTCTCTCTTCAGGAAAATTAAGAATAGTAGTTGCCACAATGGCATTTGGCATGGGAATCGATAAGAATGACATACGAGGCATTATTCATTACACTATGCCTTCAACTTTTGAAAACTATGTTCAGGAAGTCGGAAGAGCAGGGAGAGATCAGAAGCCTGCCCATTGTCACCTATTTTTAGATGAAAAAGTAATCGTCAATTAAACTTTCACATTACCTTTAAAATAAGCCAACGGTTCTAAAATGTTCCTTTATTTGCAGAAGCACGACTTAGGAGAATTGAAAAGGCATATTTACAGCAACACGATAGACAGGCATACGATCCGAAAGTTCTTACAGCTCGTATTTGTTCCATGCAAGTGCAAAGATGAATGCCCTAAGCACGAAGTCGCTTTCCCCATTGAGGATACCGTCACCAAGCTCGACCTGCCTCAAGAAAACATCAGCACCCTCCTTGCATATTTGGAACTTGACAAAAAGAAATGGATAAAGTGTTTACCGCTAGCCTACACAAGATGCAAAGTCACAAGCTACAAGGGGTCTAGTCATCTAAAGAAAGTTGCTAGAAATGTATGTTTTAATACTTTTTTTCCAATTCAGGATTTACAATAATATGAACTTAAAATTTTACAGTGTCCACCATTGACGATGGCTATGGCGTTAGCCAACCAAGAGGGTAAAGATAGTAAACTACTCGATTTTGACATTATTTCGTTGGCAAGAAATATCAACTGGGATAGCGGCATAGTCAAAAGAACTCTTTATAATTTAGAATGGACAAAAGGTAATGAAATTTATACGAATCAAGGTTTTTCTTTTTTCTTGCTTTATAGTTTATTATATTCCTCTCGAGATTGATAAAGTGAGCTCTGATTTGTCACCAATCATACCAGTCAATGCTGGTGTTCATAAGGAAATATCCTAGGCCCAATCCTATGCACCATCTCTACACTGCTGACATACCTACATAAAAACTCAATTCACAACCTATGTGGACAACACTGCAATCCTGTCTATACACTCCAATCCTACCCTAGCCATAGAAGCAATTCACCATCTGACCCTCTTTTCTGAGTGGTGCACTCGGTGGCGTATCAAGTTGAACGAGCGAAAAAGCTAAAAAGTAACGTTTATTCTCAAACGTAAAACTGGTGCACATAAACAAAGTAATAACTTGAACCAAGGCTGCTACCGTGTGCTTTATCTTATCCATTCAATGCGGGACCGAAATCTGAGACCATCACTCAGCTTTTTTTCTTTTTTCATGAAACGAAAGGTTGATTGTATTTAGGTTCTAATTAATAGCAAATAATGTTTTATGTCTTACAGTTTTGTAGCGTTTTTGACCGTGACTGCACACTGGAGTCAACCGTTAGCGGTGAAAGTATTGAGTATGCAAACCCGCAACTCAATGCATTTTACTCCCTTGGCGTGATACTACGGTTGTTATTTAGAATTTTTGTATTCTAAACCATTTCAAAAATCTATTTGGATAACTTTTTCTTCACCAATGTGTGTATGAAGAAAAACATTTCCATGCTGAACAAAAAAAAAAAACTTTTTTTAGATAAGGACAATTTATTTTTTTTCTAATATTTACGGTTGTTTTTATCCATACTTTTAATTTTCACAAATTGAATTTAAAAAGAAACCAATTTAAAACAGTGTATTTACAACAATAAAATTATATATTTACAATTTTTTTTCAATTGTTTAAAATTAAAAAGTTAAAAAGAATACAAATAAAATTCAATAAAAAATTTTAAAAACCTATTTACAATAATACAAAATAATTATTTGGAGATCATGAGATGCAGTCTTGTATCTTTTGAATTTTATTGTGGCCTTTTCAAAAAAATCACTGGTACCCCGAGAGTTGATATAACCTCTGTTGTTGAGAACCCTCGGGGGGGAAAAAAATTGTTTTTGATGTGAGTGGTATTTCTACCTTGTTTTGCCTACATTTTAACCATTTCTTCACAAGACAGCATTAATTAACGGTCACAACACTAATATAAAATAACACAAATGCTTAGCCCCGGCTTGTTGCTGCACCCCATGCAGTAATTGTTTACGTTCAAATGGTACGGATGTGGTGATAAAAAATGAAAAATATGATTATTGCACATTGTACGCCATTTTGGGTTTTATTCCCCAATTTTTAATGCATAGTCTTTGGCCAGAGCTCAACTGAGCTGTGTGGTGTTTAGCGATGGTTAATTTATTTGGAGATCACAATGTTTTTTTAGGGTTTATATTTTAACCATTTTTCTCATACCATATTCCTATAATATTTAGAGCCCTTACATTTGATTTAACAAATTTCTCTTTTATGATTGTTACCAGTCATCTGCGGAACCCATGCTATAGTAGCCAATCTATCCTATTCCCAATTTTGGGTTCACTCCCCCAGATTTGTATATAATTATCTATATACTATTTTCTCAATGTGTCTTTATTTTGTACAAATAGCAATAAAAAAAAATTATTTAAAAAAATAAATTATTGTAGAAAATGACAAACCAAAGAAATCAGGAATAATTGTGGATATGAACCAGCTTGGTTTCCGTGTCCTCTCTCCTGGTAATTTGAGCGATACTGAACTAGATGAAGCACTTGACATCCTTCATTCAACGGTTGAAGACCAGGAAAAGAACAGCTTATATTCCTTGCAAGTTTTCTACAATGCTCTTAGAAAGTGAGTTGAATCAAGTTAAAGATTTCTGCTAAAATCAAAAACTGTTTACGAGGGCTGTAATATGTGTGTAAGATGTATATTAGTGGATTGTGGTGCCCAAGTGGTTTGAGGCATTTTTATAATTGTTTATATATCACAGCCCTTAAATTCAATTCATTTCTGTTGTAACAATTTCATTCATGGATTCGTTTTTCTTTATTTTAGAGTCGCATACACATCATTAGATGAGTGTATAGACACCGATGACTTGGAGAAGAGCGACAGTTTGAAAAATGAGATCAGAGGGTATTTCGTGAATCCAAATAGCATAAGGAACGTTGAACTTGACCCGGTCAGTTTGGAGAATGAGGGCAGCATAGCCGCCGATATCAGACGGCTCATATCTTTGCACAGATCGGACAACAACTTGACTGGCAGATCTATAGCGAGGATATTACACGGTATTGGCTCTCCTAATTTCCCACCTATTATCTGGGGTCGTACGAAGTTTTGGAGGCTACACTTGAATCAAGACTTCAACTTGCTTTGCAAGTTGGCGACGAAGCAATTAATCCTGATGCGATAACACCTGGTGATAAGTTTTCGTTCCTGTTTTATTTAGAAGTACTATTTAGAGTTAATTTTTGAAAATTCAAAGCATTAACAATTTTGTGAAAAAAATATTTAATCGTTAACCAAAATTGTTTACGCTTAGTATATTTATTTAATTTTTTTATAAACTTGTAAATACTTTTTCTGATAGCAGTTTGAGCTCAAATTTAGTTTATTTATTTATACATTATTATTTAAATTTATTACAGAGTGTTTATTGGAATGAAATAAATGATGATAACATCAAGTTTTGTAACATCTAACTCTCTAATTTAACCCATGTAGTGCAGCACATCAAATGAGTTCCCAGGTCATTTTTCAGATGCGCTATTTTCTATTGGCTCCTTTTTTTTATCCTCCAGTCCCTCCTTTGAAGTAGCTTTTAGAATCAGTGTGAATTGTGAAACACTCAAATTCCGGTATAGCTCCAATGACGCCTGAGAAAATTGGTTGTGAATTTTTTTCCATCTTGTTTGCTTTTAAAGATAAGATTTGATATTGTTCTCTTCATTTAATTTGTAAGTAATTTAATTTTGAAATAAATTAGTTCTATTTTTATAGTAAATATAAAAATGTATTTTTATTTTTAGGGTTTTTAAATTAGTTTTTGATCATTTTTAAAAATTGAGTGTAAAGGTGGCTTCAGACATGCGGGATTAGCCGAATACGGAGCTTTTGCCAAATCTCGCCTAGTGGGGATGAGTGCTTGGTTATTCACTGAGCAACAATATTTGGTCCTCACCTTGCTCAGCTAATTGTCGGTTTTTGCCTGCTTCAAAGTGCTCAAATATTTGTGAATTAGCTGAAATTCCAACACAGTCGGGAATTAACTTTACAGAATGTAAATCAACTGTAATCATCAGTCAACAGTTATTATTTACTGCTATTTAATTTTTAATAATCATCTATTCCTAACTAGTATAGATGTAAACTGATGTATTGGATCTTCTTGAGGTCATTTTACAGGTGAATAAAGAACATCACTATTAGGTTTCACCAAGCTTTCGGCGAATGTTCCGCCATCTTCTTATTCTTCTTTCTTTCTATCAATAATTATTCTTAGTGTAGATGTATTAATAATGAAAGAATAACATAGCGTTTATTCTTTTGGTCCAACTTAATAGTCTTGGAGTTTGTTGATTTGAACCAAAAATTTTGAACACTTCTCTTCCGAATTACAAAAATCGGAACAAGGTTTTCAATCGTGGAAACAGATCGAAAATAAAATGGGGCAACAGTACTCTGTGACTGAGTTTGTATCCAGTACACAAAACTGAAGCAATCACAGTTTCACTGTTGTCCTTCATGATTGGTAGTAAGTTGAGGTCTCGCACAGCACTTGGTGAATATCCGCTGTTTCCTCACAAACTGGTTGGTTGTACAAACCCTGCATGTGTGTATACGTAGGCATGTTATTTGGCGAATATTCAGTGATTACCATATGTCTAGAGCCACCTTTACTAGGAAGAGCGTAAAATGACAAGAAGGTAAAAATTGTAGAAAAAATAGGCCTTTTACCTCTTCCATCCGCTACTCATGAATAGCTTCTGTTTGTTCAATAATTATTGCCAATTGGACAAAAAGAAGCAACTTCTGATTGGACGCCTCTGGTGGTAGGTAATATACCCTGTCCGTCTCATCCAAAGAGACCTTTGTCCTCTTGCTGGCCGTTTTCCTACTTACATACCTTCAACATCTGGAGGACAAAAATATATATATGATACCCACCTGGAAGAGCTAATATAGACGAAAGATAAAATTCTCTCCCGGAAAAGCTAATTTGGATGAAAGATAAAATTAAAAAAAAAAAGTTTTATAATTATTATTAAGGTCATTTATAGAGAAATAAAAGTACTGCCCTAAAGGGTCGATAGTGTTTCCAGGCTCTCATGTTCAACAAGCAAACATACTAAATTCTCTAGTATTCCCAAAAAGTCAAAAAGAGAAATCCAATTAATAAACAAGTTGATTAATAATTTATACACAGATTCAAGTGGAATAGCATTTGTCTATTCCTCATCCAGCTTCATCGTTGGATTACTATGTGAGACTGAAATAACTAAATCTAAATTGTTTATTTTTGTCTCAGCAGGATGAAAAGTTTGCCAATAAAAACAAACAAAAATTGAAAGTACATATTTTTATTCCCTTATATATTAACCCAAAACCATAGAATAAAATTTGTTTTACAATTTTTCTCTTTTCAGTAATTGTTTCTATGGATGCTAATAATCTATATCACATATTAAATATTATTAATTAATTTTTAATAATATTGTTTTTGTACTTTGTGACTAAATAAACTACAAATGAATATATAAACTTTGTTGAACTTCTAGTTTCATCTACTGTTCGAATAAGTAATGAAAATTTAGTTCGTTAATAAGTCTTCAAATAATATATTTGAGTTAGCTCACGTTTAACTCTTTATGATAACAGTATTTCATTAATAATCATACAATGTATACCATAATTCCTGAAATCAGACTGCTTTACTCCTGAAAGCTCGTCTGTGCAAAGTTTAAATTAAGATGCACTTTAAAATTCAGATTTTTTCAAATTTAGAAGACAAAGGCGCATTTAAGTTAATAGAAAAATAAATTTAAATGTCAATAGCCTTGAATTTGTGACAAGTACACTCGGTCAATACTGAAATATTTCAAGTGCCAATGGGCATACTTTTGAAATACTGTCTCATTTTCGACGTCCGCATGTCCTGGAGCTTGCCGACTCTGTCTTTGCACCTCTCAGCCTGGCATATGCCGCAGAACTCGGCCATGGCCAGCCTGTGCAGCGGGTAGCGTACCATGAGATGCGGTTTTCTGTGGATGTACAAATGCAGCATGACCTCAATGAACAGCCATAATGTGACACCGACTTTCGGTAGGATCATGATGAGTGTAATGACCATAAGAAGAATGGTGTACTTATTGCTGCAGCACAATTTCGTAGTTGGCTTGGCTTTCTTAGGCTTGTCCTCTGCCAAAGAAGGGATCTGAAATTTGGTATAAAAGCACAATTAGGAATTTATATTTATAATATTTTAGTATTACAGTTTAACAAAAATAACAACTTTATCATTAATTAAATGCAGCATAGATTATTTTGTAACGATTAATACAAAATTTGTTATAATTTATCTAAAACTTCCATTATTTGTAGGTAAGTTTTTTATGGCAATCGATTAAGTACAATCCATCATAAAAGTACTTTAACTTTTACCCTCCAACCATGTGCTTCATTCATTTGAACATGCATGATGCAAATTTTAACTGAAAATGAAGCAGTAGCCGGTACCACAAAAATACTTTGTGGCCTTCCGTATCCAATGAAATAATTTCTCAATATTGTTTACTCTGTTTTTGGTCATTTGTTAACTAATTTTGTTGTCAGGGGCAGAGAAAAATGTAATAATCGCAATATGTCCATATCTGTTGGTACATTTTCCAGAATATCTAGTTTATTAACAGGGATTACATTTACAAATAAGGTCTGAATATCATTGAGAGGAGGCTAGTTGCTACAAATACGTAGGTTCTGTTTAAAAAATATTAATACATGATTTTTAAACAAAAGAGTGAACATTATTTGTATTTTCTTGAAATTGTGATAAGGTCTGTTAGGTGATAAACATAGATTGACCATATTTATCACTGATTTTGAAAATACCCAACCCAATAACTATAAGTACAATATAAATACCAATAATTTGTATATATTTGTTAATTATAGACAAGTTCACCTTTGCTTTTTAGGTTTTTATAAAGATTATTTTAGATGTGAAATCCTTTTAGTTGTATTGTTGCCTAATAATTTTATTTTGAGATTTGACTGATTACCTTAAATGAATTTCTGCTTCCGACCGGCTCTTCCCATTCTCCCGTCTCTTGGTTGATGAGCGAGTTGCATTTGACGCAAATCTCATCACCGCCGAATTCTCCCGTTTCTCTGTCAACGCCAGAAAGTGGCATCCTGGCCTCTGCGTTGCACGGATTATAACATCAAACTGTCAAATCTTAACAGAACAGAAACAGAAATAGTACTCACAAAAATTTAATTAAATCTGGGCTATATTTACATCCACAATTGGTCGAAAGCTAGAAACCATAATTGTGAACTCTTTATCTTAGTAGATAAGACAATTTTTTAGTATTTATTTATATGCGTATAATCTTTCCTTATTAGTCAACAGTAAGAGACGTCCACTCCAAAGTAATAAGAATAAAAAACAAAAATATATAATGGTGGAGTAAACTTTTTTTTAATATAAAATAATTATAATTTAAAATGTGCATGTTTCATGTATGAAGTCCACAAAGTATTATCTTTTTTCTTGGGTTAATTGAAAGCTTGAAAATAAAATCTAGTCATTGCATACAAATAAATAATAATTAAGTTCAGTCTGTGATATCAATCAATACAATGTATTTTCTTTTATTTTTAAAGAAACAGAGAGAAAAAAAGCATTCTTTATTGTCGCTTTCATTGTTATTTTAAAAACATCCAATTCTATAGATACTTGCTGTGTTTAAAAAAATAAATCTTTTTTGATCATTTTGTATGCTAATTTCGTCTCGAAAATTGCCAAAAGTAAGTAAATATTGGCATAAGTTAATTTTAAAAAAATTAAATACAACCTTACAATTTTTATAGACTAAAAACTTTTGTTTTATAAATGTAAATATTAATTGAAAATATACAATTTTAACAAATTGACTGCAAATTTCATTGCTTCTCTATGCAAAATACACAAAAGGACGTTTCAAATATTAAATAAATTGAAGTTCATTTAATTCTTTGACTGCACCCCCCCCCCAAAAAAAAAGTGCAATAAATTGTTTATGAAAAAAAGATTAGTTTATAAAACTCAAGTAAAAAAAATTTTAATTCACTAATTTCGTGGTCCACTTGACCAATTAATATATTACAATTAAATAAGGTTTTTACTTGAGATAAAAAAGTCGATCCACTCAGACACCAACTTCCTATCTCAACTGGCTCAACTGAAAAATGGCAAAAGGGGGAAAATTCAAAAGCTGGGTTGAGATAGGAAGTTGCTGTCCGAGTGGATCGAGGTCACCACAGCTCAAGTGGTAGAGCAGCGGCGTATCTAGCCGAAGATCGTGGGTTCAAATCCCGCTCGTGCCATTGACTTTTTTTTTTTCAACTAAAAACCTTAATTAATTGTAAAAAAAAATTTAAATATAAGACAGTATTTCTTCTCTATAAACCTTTCACAAATAAATTGTTTTTTACATAAATATTACAAATTGATGTAAATAAATTTTTTATTGAGTTCAAGTAATGTTTGACCAAGGTATTATTGGGTGGTTCATCTTTGATGTTGTGTAATGTAAACAAATAGTCCTTTTTTTATCGTGGAAAGACAAATAAAATCAACAAATATTGAACAGTTCCTAGTTAACATAGAACCATTGTTTTAAGATTTTTTTTCTTTCCCTTTTTCAAAGTTAGTGCAATGGCATATCTGTTGCTAAAAAGTGGGCTTGCATTGTTTAATTGTTATGAAGTACCTATTTAGACATTTAAGGCCAAAAAATATTACTCTTGTGTCTCAGCAATCTTGTCAATGAGCCCTAGATGCTGAGAAAAAAATTAAAACCTTTAAACCAAATTGTCACAAAATTATCAATTTATCACTTCACCGGCAATTCCAGCTTTTGTAATTAATAATAAATTACTGTTGGCCCTTGAGAATCATCCAAGCTGGGTGTTGGCAGTACAGGCCAGACCTTGGTCTTGCCTGTCCAGCCACTGAGGACCCAGGACTACTAACAGAGAGTCATTTCAGCCCCCGATGCAATCAATTACTAAAACCAAATCCATTCGCTTTCTCACTCATCTAAAAAACATTCTTTCTTACGTAAGTGAAGAGAGGTGGAGTATTTGTTATTCCTCTATTGCTCTTCACACATATAACTAATCTAATTAAGGGTCAATGTTCGTCAATATTCCGCTATCAGCCCTCTTATACTGTACATTCACGCAAATAAATACATTCACTCTTGACAGAATAAACCATGTGTCCTCCAAGAATTTAAACACAGGACCCAAACGTTGCCATGTTCAAGCACAATTTTCAAATCAGGTGGCATTCCTACGTGCTCCCTATATGGAGCCAAGGAGTGACATCTTTCAATCTAGCGGGATGTATTGAGCAACCTTTCTCTACAGGTTAATTTTTTTTTTCTTTTATTTCAGCTTTTTTTTTTTTTTTTTTTTGCTTACTATGACATAAAAACATAGATTGTTAACGTGGGCTGAAAAAGAAGACATTCTGCTTTTCAAGGGGTTGTAATGCCTGGCAGCTTCGTAGTATCCATCATCAGGGGCTGTAATAATGTTGAATTTGTATATAATTCAGAGGCGTGATGAATTTTTTAAGCAGAACACAGAAAATCGCAGAAATTGAACAGAAAAAAAATTGTCTCCAGCAAATCCAATAAAAAATTATATATTTTTTTATTGCTATGAAAGTTCCATTTTTAAGGATTTTAAAGGCTAATTATATAAATTAATTAATACATTTATGAAGAATGAATGATCCACCCTCTGAATAAAGATGATCCTTGGTGAATGAAGCAGAATGGTCAGTGTGAGAGACTCAGCACATAGACCCCCAGGTTGTGGGTTCGATTCCCAATGTCGCCTCTGGCCTTTTTGTTCACATAACCCTTCCCCCTATGATGAAATAATCGAGGGAATCATACTCTGGCTAATGTGCAAGCGTATAAGACCATTAAAAAATAAAATAAAAGATCCTTCATTATAATTAAATATTTTTTCTTGGCTCTTCAGGCTCATTGACAATAAAATTCATATTTAAGTTTTTTTTTGTTTTTTTTAAGCCTACTTTATTAGAAGTGTTGGTTTTTATAACTTAAATATCTAATATCATTTAATTTGATCCTGCATATTATTTTTGTATCTTAAGAAAAAAATTTATTCTGGGGCTTTAGGCAATAATAATAACCAAAAAAAAAGTCTAAACAATTGGCACAATTCGTATCAAAATGAATATGTAAATAAAAATGTTAACTTAACAGCAAAAAACAATAATTGAGATGTCTTAAATTAAATAAAAAAGGTGGAAAATTAACCATCCTCAGTGTTAAATTGTAGGTACAGGAAGTAGTCAAAAATTAGGATTTAAAGGGGGAAAAGGATAGGGCACAGCAAGTCTAGTTAGGTAGGGAGTTCCAGAGGTCATAGGAACAGATAAGGAAGGAGCGACTAAAAGCAGTGGATTTGTAAGAGAGTGGGTAGAGATCAGAAGGGCGAGAACGAGTGTGTACAGAAGGCTTAAATGTGAGGAGTAGGAAGAAATTGGTAGTAAGGAGCCAAGAAAGTATAACCTTCGATATGAGTGGTACAGCCATTTCAATTCATGTTACATATTAAACACATATCTCTTTGGGGAGCAAAATATGAACCTAAGAAAGCACTTCTTAGGTTCTTTTGAGTCTGTTAAGAATCTTGCAGGTGAGACTACCATAGACAAACAACCATAATCAAAATATGGGTGATGAGTTTGCGGGTGCTGTTTGGGAGGAGTTGGCTTGCATGACGGAATCACCGTAGGGTGGAAAAATGTCAGAGGGATATTTGGGAAATGTGGGGTTTCCAGGATAGGCTTTTTATCCTACTTATAAAACCCAAATCGATTTGTGTATAACCTTGAAATACCATGCACAACAGACACAAACTTGCATTTCGAAAAGCATTTAAACTACTTAGTAAAATAATAAAAAAATTCTTGGCTTCTAAGGCCCATTGGAAAGAACACTTGTACATTTTTTGACCTAGTAACATCAAAATTTTCGTTGAAATCAGTGATCCATTCGTAGCATTCCAGTGTTATTCTCAGTTAAATATTTAAGCGAGTAAATGTGTAGTATGAGGAAACTTGGGACAAAGATCACACTAGGACGATTAGTGGAGAAATATAAAGTACTCCATCGCCCTGCTAAAGTTAACAGTATATCCTGCTCGTGACACTTTTTAATTTCAAGCAATACCTTACATAAAGATTAATTAAATGAAAGAAATTATTTGGCCAATCAGACTACAAAATATAATAAAATATACAGGAGAGCATATATTTAAATTAAGTGAGAGTGAGTGTGAATAGATTAAAAATTGCATGGGGGCTGAAAAGACCTGAATGTCTTTAGCCAGAATCTAAGTTTTGAGCATGATTTTTCCTTTGGTTTAAATCATGGCTTGAAACTAATAATAATAGGCATATAAAGACTTGTAAATAAATAATTATGTATACATTTATTTAATGTACACAAGCACAATGTATTGTAGTATCACACAATACAAGCAGTTTATTGGTCAGTATCCAATTTAAAATTTGTCAGTTAAATTCATTAAAGTATAAATTAAACAATTATGCACAATATTTTACAAAAAAGATATTGAATTAAATGTTAAAATTAATGTGATTAAAAAAGCTGTTACCTTCATTTAGCACTTGCTTAAACGACCTTCTCAAAACAAATCTTTTCACTAATTCTTGTATATTTTCTGAATCGAATTTAATGTAAAATAAACACCCTATGCAATATGCAGTCAAAGTGTGTGGAACCTTGAGTAGAAAGTCGGGCAAAGTGCCTACCAGTTTTCCCCCACTACTTACCAAGGGCCTTGACAACATCTCATAAAACAATCGCCTCCTCTCCGCCGACCCATCGTTAGCTTTCATCCAGTCCTGTCATTAAATTCAACTCCGCTTAAACGGCTTAGAACGCTAGTCGGGAAACAATAGCCGCTATTTGCATACACGACCTTTCGGGTTAATACCAGTTCCCATGGGAATTATCGAATATGGATAAATACATGTCGGATTTTTTTTTTATCTCAAAAAGCTAAATTAAAATTCAATTCAAATAGGTTGAAAAAAAAATAGATACCTTGATAAAGGCTTGCTTATATCACTTGGTACAAGATTTAAAAAATCAGTAATTATTGAAAAACAGTTTAAGAATTTAAACAATAAATACAAACATTTTATTTCTTTTTATTTACAATTTTTTAATCCTTATCCGCTGCTCTGGCCCATCCTAAACGCTCTTTCCTGATCTCGTTCTTCAGCCACGAGGGGACACCAGGCTTAAAAGGTACTACATTGGGATATTTCAATTTTCGCTCTTTGGATGGGTCGCTGAAAGGATCCACAGCTTTTAACTTTACCAACAAACGTTCCTTTGCGATTTGCTTTTGGTCTCTGTACCTATCAAGGTATCTATAACAAAAATAAACATAAACAAAAGTAGGTAGTTTCATTTTATGCAATTAGGTTGATAGAGAAAAATCATAAAATAAATATAAGTCCATGCATAGAAAGTTAAAAATGTAATAACTTTTAGTTTTAAAGATTTTTTTTTATAATAAAAAGGCAATCAACCTCTGTGTTCTGCCTTAATCCTCATGTCATAAATTTTATGGCAAGGTGGCTAAGCAGCTCCAGGAAGGTCAAGTATCCCAAAAAGTAATGCATCTGAACTTAATTGTTGTTAAGCAGATCATCTGATGGATGTGCATGCCACTGCCAACGTCCACACCACTCCAAATCTGCGGTCCATCAAGCAAAGTCCCACAGCCGGTTACAGTGATTTAAATTTTGAGCAATAATTTAATGGCTTGTAAGGCCGATTGTCCATATTCAAGTAATCATCTTTGAGAATCAACGACACATGACTGGTCAGGCCTGGTCATATTATTTTAACACACTCTTTGATTATGTTTTAAAGTGACCAATTCCGCATAGGTTTCACAAAGAGGTGTTTCTCTAGCCATTAGATATTCATAGGTAAGCCTATGTGTAAGTGTCCTATTCTCAGACTAGACGTTGTCTTTTACTGTTTTGTTGACCAGCAAGAAGAGTTCCACTTCAACATTCAGCTTTATTTTTCTTTATTTCAGCCCATGCTTCTGCCATCTCTGCCATGTATTTTTTCTAATTTGAGCTGTTATATCAGTGGGGTGTGTAACTGGACGCTATCAATGGCATATTTCATGGCAATGTCTGCATTCTTATTTCCCATAATCTTGTCGCGATTACGAGATAAAACTTTTACACTTTTGGATTTTAGATCATCGAGGAAAAGGAGAATAATCAGAACCATGGGTTGTTTTGAGGAATCCTCAATTTACAGAACTGCTGATAGCGTTTACAAACATTATTTGAAGACGTTAATCTACATTTAAGCATATGAAAATTACAAGTCTACAAAAAACTTTGGATCGTTATGTTCTTGAAGAAGAAAGCTCATTCAGTTGTTACTATCGAGCTTTTGACGTATTTTAAGGTCATCATAAGAGCAAAACAATCTCAAGTATGTCTACAGATTGACATATTTAAATTTTTTAGTCGTTGGCAATATTGGGACTGAGTCGGTCTTCATGGAAATTTGAGATCACATGTAAAAAACTTAAATATTTCATAACAACATTAAAACATATTTGTTTTGCCCTGATGATGACCTTAAAATAGGTAGAAAGCTTAGTAGTAACTACTGAATTTACTTTCTTCTTCAAGATTTCTTATGCTGAAAAAAATCATCTTGTAATCAAAATTTACGCATTAATTGGCAAGTTATTTAAACTTTAATATCTTTCTAATTACTGACTGATATGTTTTTTATGACATTAATTTTTATTTCATAGTAACTAATAAATATAATTGAAATTTTTTTAAATCAATTTTAATTATTTGATTTTAATTTTGTTAGGATGAGTTACAGTAGTGTCGAAATTAAAAAAAAAAAAAATCAATAATATTGAATCATTTTTAACAATATACACTCAGTATATTCTAGTCTAATCTCGCTAATTTTATCTGACTGACATGTTTAAGCATTTGACTGTATTTAGTGTCCAACATTTGTCCGAAAGTCATGATCTTGCAGACTTCGTGTTATAATTGCTAAAATCATTTTGTAATTTGGTTGTTTCTAGTCATTTTGTTTGTTGATCCTTGCTATTTTGGACTACCAGATGTATTTTAATTTTTCACCATCTTCAATAGTGTTTTCAAGCAAATAGCAAAAATGGACAGACCAAAATTAACTATGACGAAAAAATGTGAAGAAAAGTTTAAAATCATTTCACTTACAGGTTAAAAGGTTGCCTGAGAGGGAACCAGGTTTGTTTAGTATAGTAGTGTTCTGGGAAATCATAGACAAACTCTGGGCAGTCGGCCTTCATAGTTTTATGATAGAAGTCCATCACCGATTCATCCCAGTCTGAAGTGAAGAAGGAAAGACCTGCAGGAGTCAGGTAATCCTGATGCTTCTTGTAAAATTCGAGCGTTGAAAAGCTCCTTTCATCTATATCTCCACTAAAAAGGATTACCCATGTATCAACAAATGGAAAAAGTTGTAACTATAATTGAACTATATCTTAAAAAGTCGATAAATCATGGTTTATTTAAAGTATTGTCCTTCAAACACAAGCAATATTAATATTTTATAACAAATACAATTAAACATATAAATTTTTCTCTAATCCATATTAAAATCTATTTTTATATGATATTGTAATTAAATTAAAAACTTAAATATTAATAGAAACCATTGAAAAAAGAAATATATTTACACATGGTTGTCCTATTTTATTTATTTTTAAAATCAGACATTTTTATTTTTGAACGTACCTGAATTTTGTTGTTTTAATATCTGAAAAGTCGATTTTCTTATCTTGTTTGTACAGAAGGAAGATATATCTTAAATATCCTAGCCCTTTCAATGGAAGGGCTTGGATGTAGCTATGAACTACTTCACCCTTTCCGATATCATTTCCTGGGATGTTCCCTCTGGAAGAATTAACAGTTAACTTAATTTTGTCTTCTTCTTCATATAAATGTATTCCCTTATCGAACTTACACAAACCAGTGGACGTATTCGAGGTTTTCTGATTTAAAGTGCCCATCTGGGCATGTCAGCACCAGCGTCCAAAGCGAATCACTCTTGGACTCGAATGAAACTTCAGGAGGTGTCATTGTCTAAAACAATATTGAATGCAGATTTTTATTGTTTAAATATTGCTACTAACCTTGTAATTAATACCTTAATTGGCTTAATGATGTTCCCCCTGTAAACCGGGGCATAGGCGTCTTTAAAGGGAAAATTCACTGACAGAGGGACGACGGGGTAAAAGTAAGCATCGCCAAAAAGATGCTCATATATCGCATAATGCTCAGCGATTGATTTTATTTGCACAGGAGCGACAGTTTTCTCCCACTCTTTTTCAACTTCATCCAAAGAAATAATTACTATAAACAAAAATCAAAAAACAAGATTGATACTATGCAAATTTGTAAATCTAATAAGTTAAAAAATATCCAACAAATTATTGTCAATGATGGAAATATAGTCAATTGTGTGTAGTGGTTAATACTGTTTCTTTGTTTTTGAACATATAAAAGGGTATTATTAATATTATTTTTATTGGAGCGTTGGTGGCCGCAATGGTTTAGGCGTTGACACAGCGCTTATCACTGTAAGGTAAAGGTCCCGGGTTCGATACCAGCGGCCCTGCATTCGAACCCGAAATACTTACAAATGGGCTTTTTTTCAAAAACACCGACACCCTGAGGGTTTATATATCCTCTGCTGTTGTAAACCCTTATTAAAAAAAAAAATTTTTAATTATTATTTTTTTTACAAGGGTATTTCAACTATAGGGTTATATGCACCCTGAACAGTGTCTGTGTTTTTGAAAAAAAGCCCATTTGTAAGTATGTCAGGTTCAAATGCAGGGGTGCTGGATTCGAACCTGGGTGCTTTGCAATGATGACCGGTGTTTTAACGCCTAAACCGCTGCGGCCACCAAAGACCTTAAAAAAGGCTATAAGTTGCCAGTTGTCTTCCAACGTAGTTAATGTTTATCTATGTCTGAAGCAGCAAGGTCAGGACTAAACTGAATTAACTACTTTTTTCTCCTATACAGTCCATACCTCGTCTGACAAAAAGGAATACGTGCCCACGATCCCGCTCAACAGTAAAATTAAAATAGAAAACTTCATGGATAATATGCCAGCATAAACCCCCCCCCCAAAAAAAAAGTTTGTGTATTTATTTATTCAGTCTTTATTTGTAAGCAAATGGCCATTTGCTCAATTTTATATTTTTATGTACATGTATATTTATTTATTAATATTTGCAATTAATATTTGTAAATGGTAACCAGGTATGCTTAGGAATTATTATTACCTACTATTACTGAATTATTAATGATTCTGTTAATTGCTATTTTTTACTCTTATTTACCTATTGACTGACTGAGTGAAAATTAAGAAAAGAAACTGCCTCCAAAATAATCTCACAAGTCAGTATGAAAATACTTCCCTGTTAAATGCATGATACAGAGGGCTTCTTAACATCCAGTCGAGTGTCAAGAGGAGTCAAATCGCTTTAAAAAATTTGCCATTTGTAAGTATGTCGAGTTTGAATGCAGGGCCGCTAGATTTGTACCCAGGACCTTTAACTGTGATGCTTAAACAATTGTGACCACCGATGCCCTTAGTCAAACCACATTTTTTATATTATTATCAATTAAAAAGCAATGGATTCTGCTGGATTTGACCACTAGTTTGGCAAATATGAGTCGAATGTCCTAACCACTCACTGCAGTAAGCTAAAATATTATTCATTCTCTGATGTGAAGGGAATGGCACTAAATGCGTAACTCCAAATTTGTCTGGTAGTGTCTAAACTGCCAAATGACTGGAAAGCACAAGCAGATAGCCTTAAAATGAGTTCCCAGATATGTATAGAAGGAAATGAACAGGCTGACCAATTAGCCAAAAATGGAGCAACCGTCTCATCCAGGGGATCAGAACCACAACTAAGCCTGGAATGTGTGCTTAAGTTAGAAAACACTCCGGGTGATACAAGCTAAGAGTTTTATAAACATGTCAAAACAGAAGGTGAAGGAATTCCTTTCTCTCAGCAGGAGGAATTTGAGGATTATTATAGGCCTTTATACCAGCCACTGCTCTTTTAACTATCACTTTAAAAAGATGGGCAAGGCTGAAATGGAAACATGCTGGCTCTGTCAGGAGGAGCCAGAGACATCGGCACATATCCTTTGCGAATGTAATGCATTTGCCTCTTTTACGGTACAGCCATTTTGGTAGGACATTTCTCAACCTCAAAGAGATCCACGAAGAGGCACCAAGGAAAGTGTTGTTTTATAAGGAATAAAACATACACTTTCCAAGGTGTGGCTAGCTATAGGGCTTCCACGATAGACCTGTTTAGGCCGCAGTGGAGGAAGAATTGTATTCACTCAACCCCCCCCCCCAAAAAAAAAAGACATTTAAGATTGTTTTGCCCTGATTGTTTGACCTTAAAATAGGTTGAAAGCTTGGAAGTAACAATTTATTTTTTTATCCCCCATCTAGACCATACTGAGATCCAGATTATTCTTGTTGCTTGTCATATAACACCGTCAGAATTTGATTCATCAACATTAACCGTCAAAGCTGGAGATTTTGAGTTGAAGGCTAAAGGGTGTATTTTGCATTTTGATGGTTAGATTAAAGTCATACCTGCATTGCGCAAAGGTGATGAAGGTAAAATATTACCAATGGTCAAAGTTGGTAGCCAGCTTGAATTAAATAAATTATCGCCTAGCCAACTCTTTACTAAACCTCCTGCACGTTTTAGCGAAGATTTGCACATTTATTGGTTAGAGAACTAGAAAAATGTGGAATTGGCCGACCACCAACTTATCCGGTTATTAGGAGTTTGATTAGTTTTAATCATTCTGGTTCATCTATCAATAGTTCTACAGTAGACTCTCGTTATCCGTGAGGCATATGAACCGAGCATAATAGGAAACACCTCGAATTTCATTCTTCGAAGCATTTTCTTCTAACTGCATACCAATTAATTTTCTATATCGCATGTGCCTATTGTTAACATTATGCGTGAACTTATTAAACATATTTCAGGGGCTTTTTCAATAAGAAAAAAATCAATGTAGGATAACATATAAATTTTTTTTTTAATGAGGGTTCACAACAGCAGAGGTCATATCAACTCTCAGGATGCCAGTTTTTGAAAAAAGCCCATTTGTTAGTATGTCTGATGTCAGGTTGGAATGCAGGGCTGCTGGATTCGAACCTGGGATCTTTACCTTACAGTAATGAGCGCTTATCAACACCTAAACCATTGCGGCCATTGACACCCCCAACCCCACTCTTTTCTAGAACTCAAGGGGGCCACTGTGGCTGAGTGAAAGTGCAGATATAGAGCCTGCTGTACCTGAGATGACCGTAGACACATGGATTGCAGATATGAATAAAGTACTTTGTTAACTCTTCACAATGATCATGACTATTCTCAATTTACTTTAAAGCAAGTTGACTTAATTTAAGTAATAAATGTAATAAAGCCATACGTTTGTTATCCCTTGCAAGTTCTTTGAGTTCGGCATTTTGCCTATTCTCTTTCAGCATCTCGATATGCTCTGCGACATGTGCCCTTCCTTTGTTCGGTACAGCAAATCCAATATTGACCTTGAAGTGTACTTTCGGGTCCTTATAATACATCACTAAAATTATTGTTTATATAAATTAAAAAGAGATACAGATTTATTTTTCATGCGGCTTGTACCTTCCAGGCGTTGTTCCAAATTACTGGCGAGATGGGGGCTTTTTCCAAGTGATCTCCTTTGACTTTTGTACCTGACAAAATTTTTATTGGTCGTTATCAAATTGGCCGAAAACAATTTGTTCAGTCTAAAAGCCATTATTTTTATTATATTTAGAGATATTGTTGACTGTAAAATATTAAAATGTTTTGTTATCAGCGAAACAAGCGTTGAACCTCGCAATCTTGCAGAAGGTTTCCTTTATCTATAGAAACAGTTCTAAAGTCATGCATCCCAGTAAAATTTCAAACGTTTGAGACTTTCCAAGTAGTGAAGAGAAGAGATGAGGGTGATTCAAGTCGTGGTAATCCGAGGTAACGTAAAAATAAAAGATTTATTTATTATAGACGACGGTAAAGAGATAACCTTCGGCGATGAGAACAGCCTTAGTGAAAGCGAGAGACATCTCTTAAAACTAGACCAGTTAATTCACAGCAAATCGAAGACGATTACGGCAAAAGTCGACTGTTATACATCATCACTGTTCGAAACATTACTTAGAGACTCTGACATCATCAGGGCGAGGTTTATGAACACGGTTTTCGCCTCTTACAGAAGGGCGAACCATTTCATCCTGATAAACGTGAACTTGTCGGAGCCTAGGAAGGAAGTGATGGACCAAAAGGGCAGCGGTCTGTTCGAGCAACTCGGTCTCGAGCGACGAGAGGTAGACCATGCGATGGCTTGGTTTTCGACATTAGGCGGGGCGTTTTCGGCACTAGGCGATTGTTTAGACTATTGCGCCGTCATGGCTGGGAAGATCTCGTTACAGCAGTTTAAACTGGCTCTTCGCCTCAACGATCCTTTTCTCATCGCGAGGTGTCGGTTATACCTCTCGCTCAGCCTCATCCAGCAAGGGTACTTCAAAGAAGCCAAACGAATTATACTTTCCCAATATGCATTTGCAACCAAAGACAATTACGATCAGAAACTGATTTCTATGTGTCACGGTATAGCAGCTAAGTGGAGATACGATAGAAAAAAATTTAAACACAACAAATGTATTTTATTAAAAAAAATTCAGTAATTAAAACTTATTTATTTCATAAATAAACAATTTATAAAAGCATTATTTTTAGTGTTTGTTTTGTACTTGTAGTGTTAAAAATGTATTTTTTAAGGTATAAAGTACGTATGACCCTTTTGGAACTTAACATATTGGGTAATTAAATCAATTTAATCATATGACAATCCATGTTTTCAGATAATTCCATACTTACCAATTCATACATGAATACATTTAATGAATATTAATATGCTTAATAAAATAATATATTTTTAATAAATACAAGAGTTTTAATTTGTTAATATCCAAATTAAAAAAAAAAAAAAAAAAACATGTTTGCAAAATGCTCAGTTCATCCAATGCTGTTTTTGTTCAAAAATCAAAAGTTTTTCTATACAGCCTTGTTTCCATTTTATTTATCTTCTAAATCTTAATATTATCTAAAAATCCCACAGAGCCTGAGGACATACTTTTATGAAAGAAAAATGCTCACTTAAAAAAAAAAAAAAAAAAAAAAAAAAAAAAAAAAAAAAAAAAACTATTTCAACTAAATTTTTATTAACACAATGAGTATTATGTACAAAGTAAATGTTATCAGGCTAAATGTGGAAATAAAATATTTACAGATGCTTCCTTGTATCTATTCCAGTTATAATCGTTTTCTCCTGAAAAGTAATTAAATTAATGAAACAATCTATATTATTTAGCAATAATAAATTTTAGTTAAAGAAAAAAAAATTACCTTCATCAAAAACAGCAACGACGGCATTTTTGTATTCTTCGACTTCTTTGCTTTCCATTTTATTTTCATTGTTGCTCATCTTGAGTGTGTTCATTATGTTTTCTTTAGATTTGCTTTTATCCCAATCATAATATTCCATATCATCTTCGATTTTTTCACTCTCCCAAGGCTCAGTGACCTGCTCGGAAATTACACACACAAATTACACTACTGTATGACATTTTTAATTACTGACACTGACCCATGATTCATGATAAATGACTGTAAGTAAATACATCGCATAATCGTAGTTTTGTTTTTTAAGAGGACATTTGTCAGTAATTATGGTGACAATATCCGTATCCTCGTCATATCTCTCTCCTACGATTCGTAGGAATTTGTCTCTGGCATGTTTGTCTAAATGGAGCTTACTAAGAGGGATCTAAAATATTAAAATTAGTATTAAATGATCATTTTTAAATACACACAGGTAAAACCTTTAGCGTGACGATTCTAGAAAGAGGGTCTCTGATAGTAGGTGAAGAATGACAATAATTGGTCGTTATCACTTCGACCGGAAGGATTTCTTTGATTTTTTCGTCGGTCAGCTCTTCGGGCCAAGGCGAGCAGAACTTTTTAATGGCGTTACAGTGTTTTTTAATCGCGTCAGGCGTGAGGTGGAGAAAGTTTGGTATCTTCATAAGTTCGGCGTTGCCCCATTTCGAAGGTGACGGTCCGAGATTGTTCACTCCCTGTCTAAGAGGAAGCGGGACCGACGCAGGATGGAACGACCTCGGCCCCGGCCAGACATCAGACCAAATCTGGTCAACTGGCATTCGTGTCTCCCTCGGAGGGAAGACAGGCTTGCTTTCACGCTTTTTTTTAACTTGAGAAGTCATAGCCTTTTTACCTGTCAAGTCAAGAATTCTAAATCCATCCTCATCTGTAACAAAAAGTGGGTGTTTTACAAATATATAAATTAATTTTGTTAATATACACATAATCTTATTCTACTTAATTTTAATTGAGTAGTAATAATTTATTTTGTAACTAATTATTCAGATCATGAGATGCGGTCTATTTTGTAACATTTTCTGCTCTGGCATACAGGATAGATTCTACTATAATGTGATCATAGCATTTTTATTAATTATTTAAAAATATGGTGAAATGCCTGGTAGGGAAATTAGGCAACAAGAAAATAGTACAAAATAGCTAAGTTATTTTTTAAATTGTGAGATGTTCCATTTGATATATTTATTTAGAAATCGTGAGATGCGGTCTGGTGTGATGTAGGTTTCAGAAAAACATTTTCTTTATCGTGCCAACGTTTCGATCTTTATTGAGATCTCGACACGACACGCAAGAATGGCACAATTATTCAGAAGACAAACACTTTGAGTGAGTAGAAATACTTTGATTGAATATATAAAATATATTTTGCATTGTATAAATTCACTTTTCCACATACAAAATGTAATTGTAATATGTAAACAATGTTTGTAAATCCCAGGCCCTGAAGATGATCTCAATAAAGATCGAAACGTTGGCACGATAAAGAAAATGTTTTTCTGAAACATACACCACACCAGACGGCATCTCACGATTTCTAAATAAATATCGATCAACGGTCACTAATCACCACACATTTGATATATGTTGGTGATGAACCTGTAGTTTGGCCGACTCCAATCATTTTGGTCTTCACCTTCATCACTGCCATGTCAATTGAGACCTACTTGTCACAGAAATTCATAAAACAGACTAAACCAGTCTATATAGTCTAGTGTCTAGTTTGGACTTTCTATCTACAGCCACCATAATTAAACGCAACATATCCAAGTTGTGCAGGCTAAAACAACCTCGCTCTTCCCCTTAATTCATTAATCATAATGTTCAAATTACTTTTGAATTTGACTCGTTGTAGATACATATGTTCTGTCTAATTTGATTTTTGTGTTCCAGATTTTGTAAGTAAACTTAAGTGTATCAATCTAATGTTTGTTTTCATAGTAATGCCACCCTCCATCACCTAATTAGGAATCGACTGACTAATTTATAAAACTTTAATTTACTACATATAATTATCTAATTTTAAATACTTGAATGAAAGGGGTCCGCCCTGGGTTTTGTTCTGTGAAAGGGAATAAAAATCTTCATATGTACAAATTTCATTCATTTGTTTAATGAAAACATTGATGCATGAATGTTTGTTTAACTATAATTCTTTTGAATGAAGAATAGCGCATTTGACAAAAATTTAAAAGTTTAAAGGTGAATAGAGGTAATATTTGGAGATGTCCAGTATGTTTTATATAAAATTTATTTTTAATGGAAGTTATTTTTATATATTTGCATATAATAAAATTAACATTAAAACATGGGATTCTTGTTATTTAACCACCCTTGTTATTGGTAAAATGTACATGTACATGTAGAAAAACATTATCTTTATCGTGCCAACGTTTCGATCTTTATTGAGATCATTTTCAGGGCCTGGGATTTATAAACATTGTTTAGATTACAGAAATACATGTAAGATTTGAATATGAATTTACATAATTTAGAAATTTTAGGTTCAATCAAAGTATTTGTACTCACTCAAAGTGTGTTTTCTGTGTAGATGTGTCACGATTGTGTGTTCTGTTGGGAGCGATCATGAGATATTGTTTTTTGTTTATATATGTTTGATTTTGTGGGAGTAGGGAAAGAAGTGGGGATACAAATTCATTTTTCTATGAGGAATCAGCTTTATTGAGGTGAAAGGGACCAAAATGTTAAAAAAGGATGTCGGTTTAGAAAAACATTTTCTTTATCATGCCAACATTTTGACCTGTTAAACATTTATGTTCAATGGTCATAATTGACCATATTAATTAATTGAAGTCACGATAGCTCAAGTGGTTAGAGCAGCAGCGTATGTCATGGGTACGAATCCTGCTCATGACACTAACTTTTTCATCACAACCAGGACCCTACATAAAAAGAAAAATCAAGTTTCAATCTATACTGATATCATCTTCAGGACCTAGGATTTATAAACATTGTTTAAATTATACAAATGCATATATGATATGAACATGAATTTATACCATGATTTCTACTTACTCAAAGTGTGTGTTTTCTGTGTAACTGTTGTGTTGTTTTTTTTTTTTTGATGTTTGATTTTGAAGGAGTGGGGAAGTAGGGATAGAAATTCATTTTTCTATGAGAAGTTGTCTTCTTTGTGGTGAAAGGGTAATGGTTTGTTGTTCGGGCCTTTCAGGATAGACGGGATTATTAGGGAAGGGAGAGATAAAGAAAATGTTTTTCTGAAACCTACATCACACCAGACCGCATCTCACGATTTCTGAATAATTATCGATTAACGGTCACTAATCACCACACATTTTTAGTCAATACTGTTGGTCTAAAATATCTAAAATTAGCTTCAGAACATATACACACTATTTTGACAATTTGAAAGGACCCAAAAAACATAAATAACTGTAATACTAACTTGTANGGCACGATAAAGAAAATGTTTTTCTGAAACCTACATCACACCAGACCGCATCTCACGATTTCTGAATAATTATCGATTAACGGTCACTAATCACCACACATATGTCATTAATATTGAATTGGATTTATAATATTAACGTAGTGCACTGTTTAGATGTGTCTGTTCTGTAATTGATGCTGTCTTTATCTGTCGATGCAAACATTTCTAAAAATGTGTGGTATTTAGTGACCGTTAATTAATGATTATTTGAAGATCGTGAGATGCGGTCTGGTGTGACGTAGGTTTAGAAAGACATTTTCTTTATCTTGTCAACGTTTCGATCTTTATTGAGATCAAAACTGATTATTCAGAAATTGTGAGATGCGGTCTACATGATTTCTGAATAATCATCGACTAACAGTCACTGAACACCACACAAAGATCAAAACGTTGGCACGATAAAGAAAATGTTTTTCTAAAATCTACATCACACTAGACTGCATCTCACGATCTCTGAATAATCATTTCTAAAAAGTTATGTTTGTGTTCAAAATGGTGGGTAGCCAGTGCTGCAGGAGGTATGAGCGAAGTACGGCTGAGTTTACATGTGTCTGTTTTGTAAATGATGCTGTGATTAACTCTGTTGATGTAAAACATTTTTAAAAAGTTACACTTATACTTGTTTTGTTCTGTGTTTAATATTTTTGAATTGTTGAAATCCGAATTTTGTTGGTGTTCAAAATGGTGGGTAGCCAGTGCTGTAGGATTGTGTTTGGGTTTATTGGCAATCATAGATATGTTGTTTTACCCTCTTATCCAAACATTGTGATGTAAATTGCCGGACAATTTATAGAATTGATTTTGTAAATTACTACAAATCACTAAATAATCATTAATTAACGATAACTAAATACTACATATTTCATGATAAGATCACGAGCCGTTTGGTTCTCAATTGTTTGAACAGTTTATTCTATACCTGTTTCTTGTTGGGTGGCCACTGTTTTAGCACAGTTCCTTTTATTTATGAGGAACAGCAGCTGCCTGTTTGTAAATTCGATATTCGTTTTTCCGAACCAGTTGAAAAAAACGGCCATTTTTCCGGTGTAAGAAATGAATTTGAATTTAAAAATAAGAATAAATAAAACAAATGTTATCAATATCAATAAAGCAGAAACCCCATGTCGGTGTAACACGGAAATTACCTCGAGTTTGTAATAAATTCGAATGCCGTCTAAATTAGATGTAAACGATTATGTTAGTTGTCAGCGGGCCGGCACTGATCCAAATCTTTATTATCGAGAGGCATTTATTGAAAAATAGAAATCACGGTTTGTTTTTAATGTTGTTTTTTTCTCACAGACACGATAAAAGGAGACGACTTGAACGTAAAAAGATCGGAAAACTCCGAACAGCGATCTGACGGTAGAGCCCACAAGTTAAATTTTGTAGTTACCCGTTGTTTTAACGGTCTTTTTCTCGGATTGTATTCTTTTTTTCTCTCTCTTCGGAAAGCTTTGTGTTGAATAGTTAATAAATCCTGAGTAAATGCCGTCGATTTGACTCCGTTTCAATTTTCAAAAGGAACAAAAATCGTTTTGCTCTCGACGAAAGGAAAGGTTTTTTTAAACGTTACAGCCGACCTGCAAGGACTAGACGCCCCACTTCGTTAAACGAACGTTTCGACCATTGATGCTCTGTCAAATTGAGAGATGAAAGAAGAGTCGAAGATTCAACAAATAAGAAAGGAGAGGATGATCAGCGTCTCGCCCTACAGCGTCGAGGCAAAGAGGAAACATAAGACGTTGTTCAGCCAGCAACAAAACGGCCCGAACAACCCGACTCCTCAGGATGAAAATTCAAAAGTCAAAGTGTTCGTCAGGGTGAGGCCCTTCAACGAGAAAGAACACTCCTGTGGCTGCAAGTATGACCATTTTTTAAATCACATTTTAACTAACATAAATGTAAGAGAATATTAAATCGTCCATATAGTCAAAATTATACGTAGCATTAACTAAACTGCTCAAATTTTCCCCACTGTTAGACAGAAAAATAGCTTGATCAATCTTCTAACCGTCTTTCCAATCAAAGCCATTGAGTAATTAAAGTAGTAGGCGGATTAACTAATTAAGATTAATCATTGATCTTTTTTTAAAGGCTCGTTTACATTTGTCACTTTTGAAGATCATCTTGGACGATTTATCTAGAGTGACAAATGTAAAATGCCATTCATCTTCAATTCCTCCGGAATGAACAACGAAAGTGAACGAAAGAAGTTGACCACCTGCTAACTTTTGATGAAAGAGTTGTTCCTCCAGCCGACGATTCATCCGGAGTGAAGGTGTATACAAATGTTCCCTCTCACATTCACTGTTCCGCAGTACGAGTGCTTGAGGGTCGCTGAGAGGTGAAAACATAACCGGATGAAAATATGTGATCAAGGATGATTCACTTGTTACATTGACACAATGTAAATAGCACTTTAGATGATCATCGGTTGTTTAACTGCAAATCATTTGAAAACCAAAGATAAACCACCTATAAATGTCTCCAACATATTACGTCTCACTCTTGATCTAAACTACTCAAAAATGAATAGTTTGAATAGTTAATTATTTCCATCTATATAATCCTGAAAGGATAATCAGGTCATACATTACCCATTGTTGACTTCAAAGAACTACTCATATAAAAACGTCTTTCTGTCCCGACTTCCTTCCCCCATTTTTTTTCACATCCTACATGTATTTGTAAAATTTAAACAATGTTTATAAATTCCAGGCCCTGAAGATGATCTCAATAAAGAAAGAAACAATGGCACGATAAAGAAAATGTTTTTCTAAAACCTATGTCACACCAGACTGTATCTCTAAATAGACCATAACTTAGTTTATTGGACACAATAGTTTATTTTTTTTTTTTAACAATTAATACCATGTTGTCTTTTTACATAACCTCACAAATGTCCTGTAATGTGGAATTTGTATAGGTAATACGGCAAATAAAATATTAATATATGCTGACGATGTAGTTGTCCTATTGGATAGTGCAGCTGGCTAAAAAAGAAATATTTGGTAAGCCACAAAAGGGTTCAGTGGAAGTAGGTGTCCTCATTGAACTTTCCTTAGCCAATTTGTCGGCCTTTTCGTTACCCCTCTGCCCTATGTGTCCTGGTACCCAACAAGAGTAATTTTGTTGTTTTCTCCAATGTAAAGCAGGCTCAAACAACTGTAGGCTTTACTGTCGATGCGATAATTGCCTTCAGTGCCGCCTGGCTGTCTGAGTAGCTGGCTATTCTTCTATGGATAATCTCCAGCCTTTTTATCTCCCTGGTAGCCCATGTTCAATAGTCATGTCCGCTGAAAAACGGTGGCATATTGTCCAAGGCCTATATGAATTCTAATCCTTCGTTTATTTCAACAACTAAGGATTCCAGGGTGTGTCATAGTTGAAGATTTGTAAATTTGATATTTATGAATCTCTTTTAGACTCTTATAATTTTATCAAAAGGTTTACCCAGTTTTTATTTTTTTAAGGCCATTTCTTAAAGGTGTTTTTCTTAAATAATACAACTTTAATGTGTACGATGTTTCAGTATATGCCACGTCTGTTCAATTTTTTTCTTCTTTTAAATTAGCGTTAAAAAATCCAAGAGGAGTTGCAACACATCACATGTCTACCCATTTCTCATGTTGTATTGTTTATGACAAACTTACTTTCAAGAAACAGCCTTAAAGAAGATATAAAAATTATTATATATAAAAATGTTATATACAAACATCATTTATATACATTGTAATAATAATGTATATAAATGATCCAATATAAATTTATATCAGGGTTTTTTTATTTCAGAAGAGTTATCAATGTGGTCGACAACAATACTCTTGTGTTTGACCCAAAAGAGACCAACGAGCCTTTCTTTTTTCGTGGAGTCGTCCAGAAGAGTCGGGACATAAATAAAAGAGCCAACAAAGACATGTTATTCGAATTTGACAGAGTTTTTGATGAGGAGGCATCAAATGAAGATGTATTCAACGTCACTACTAAAGAAATTGTCAAATCAATATTCGAAGGGTACAATTGTTCTGGTAAGAAACTTTATTGATTATGAATGAAGAATATACCATTTGTGGGTGGTACCGATCATTTTTGTCTTAAGTTTTCGCTTATGGAGCTACCGGGGCTGGCAAAACGTTCACCATGCTTGGCACCGAAGATAGACCAGGAATCACATTTCTTACAATTGTAGAATTATTGAAACAAGTGGAAGAATCAAACGAAGAATTAAATGTCACATTGGGTGTGTCATACATAGAGGTTTGTTTTGTTTTTAAAAATTATTTATTTTACAATGCATTAATCTTCTTGATACCTGTTATCAAAAGAATATTATAGAAAATCGAGAGAAATAATTTTAATTGTAGGTTTATAACGAGAATGTAAGGGACCTCTTACACCCTAATGCAGACATTCTTCAGCTCCGAGAGGAAGGCGGACGAGTGACTATTTCTGGACTAGTAGTTGAAAAAATCATTTCGTCCGACCATTTGTTTTCCCTGTTGAATACCGGCAATCAGAATAGATCTCAGCACCCTACTGATAGCAATTCTGAAAGCTCACGATCTCATGCCGTATTCCAAGTAAGATATTCACAATCAATTTGACTAATTCATCATAAAATAATAATAAAGTAATAATAATAATAATTTCAGGTACATGTGAGAATGGATTATAGAGGTACGTTAAAACTAGCAAAACTGTCTATGATTGATCTAGCCGGTTCGGAAAGAGGGTCATCCACAGGTTGCAAAGGTATTCGCTTTAAGGAAGGCTCAAATATTAATAAATCTCTTCTTGCCCTTGGTTTGTATTTTGTATTCATTTTCAATTTTAAAATATGGTAATAAATATAATAATTGGGTTAATTTTTATTTTATAGGAAATTGTATAAATGCTTTAGCTGAAGGTTTAAAACATATACCATATCGAGATTCAAAACTGACTAGGATTTTAAAAGACTCACTGGGTGGGAACTGTCAGACAATGATGATCGCTAATATTTCGCCATCATCTTCTTCCTTTGAAGACACATACAACACTCTGAAATATGCAACAAGGGCAAAATGTATTAAATCAAAGGTTTGTTCTTTTTTTTATAAACTGTTAAAGTTTACATTATTATTTATTTTATTGTTGTTTTTGTTAATTTATTTCTTAAAGATTACAAAGAATGTAATGAATGAAACTTATTCAATTGCACACTACAAGAAATTGAATGAAGAATTACAGCGAAGGATATCTAAGTTGGAGGTAAATTTTATTGCTGTCTTTTTTTTTTTCCTTTTTTTTAACTATAAACTCTACTCACCTCTTTACTTTTTAGGAAAATGCAATACCAGAAGTTGGTCAATGGATTTCAAAAATCCAATCCATTATGGAAGAAAGACTAAAGATCTATAAAGAGATCATTGCTCTAGAAAGTCAGAAAAAACTCACAGAATGGCGATTAGGCCACAAAGCCATAACTCAATCATTGTATGACCCAACGATCAATGATAGCCAGGTATTTCATTTTTAATTATTTATTTTTTAATAATAAATATACGCATAAACACAACGAAAATATTCAACAGAGATTGAATAGAATCAATGCGAGTGTGATGCAGTTGAAAGCAAGGACCGAAACGGTTAAATACAGGCTAGATGAATATCCGCCTTCGTTAGCTGCAAATGAAGAGATGTTGAATTCTCTGACAAGCGAGATCAACAAAAATACTAAACTTTCTCAGCTTCTTCAACCAATGATTGATCTCTATCACCGACAGGTATTTGATTTTGTGCTCCATGTGTAATATTTGGACGGAAGTGACGTCGATGTCGTTACAGATAACAATTGAGATACAAGAACAATCTATGGAACATTTGTACAAAGTAATAAGATTGAAAGACAAACAAGAAGAGATTTACACAACCACCATTGGCCGTGTGCTGCCAGTTTTTAAAGAATTTTACATTCTATTGAGAAGTTTCGGGCACACAAACGAAGACATCTCGGCAAAATATGAGGTAAGAATTTATATATTTTTATATATATAATAATTTTTTCTAATTTGGTTTCTTCTTTTCCCTCTTAGGATATAGCAAAAAGCCTTGAAAGTATAAAGGCGGTGACCTGGAATGAGGAAACTGAAGAATCATCAGACGAGGGTAATGCTAAGAGCAATCTTCGATTAAGTCTTTCACGACTTCAAGTAATTCCTGATGTAAGCTAATATCAAATGTACATTTATCGGCCGAGATTATTTCAACAATTAACTAATTGTTTTATTTTAGATTTTAAATGCAGGCGCTGGTGGAGAACCTTACGACTTCAACAAAACTATCACGTTAAAGGAAAACCAACAACCAATGAAGAGCACCACTTTTGGAGGAGGGCCGATTAAAAGTAATTATTAATGGAAAATATTCCGCATTAACATCTTTTAAAAACCTTCAATTAATTAAGGTTTTTAGTTGAGATAAAAAAGTCAGTGTCACGAGCGGGATTCGAACCCACAATCTTAAGCTAGATTCATGGGGTTGAGATGGGAAGTTGGTGTCAGAGTGGATCGAGTTCATGATAGCTCAAGGGTAAAGCAGCAGCGTATCTAGCTGAAGATTGTGGGTTCGAATCCCACTCGTGACACTGACTTTTATCTCAAATAAAAACCTTAATTAATTGAAAGATATTAACTGGTCAAGCAGACCACGAAAACTAATGAATCTTTTAAAAATTTAATTTTTATAGCTTCGTTGATAAAATTTTGCTTATTTCAGGTGTGATGCCCATAACAAAGAACAGGACTTTCATAAAGCCGAGGTTGGCAATGAATAAAGAAAACGTGAAATTGCCAGTTGTTGGAACGCCATTGTCAAAGTTACCCCGTGAGTATTTAATTCTATTAAAAACCAAATTGAATTACTTTATGTTCTTTAAAATGATCATTTCAAGGTTATTCTCGTGTGACTGTATCTTGTAAACTAACTGGCACAATAACTTGACCTTACCCATCCTCCTGGTAACCTATCCTGATCCTTCAATTTGTTTTTGTTTGTTTTTATTTAAAAACAGATTTTATTGTATTTTTTCATTCAATTTCAGCGTATGCTTTATCAAGTGGTTTCAAACCAAAGAGCCTTACAAAAAGAGGTTTTCCATTGAGAAGTCTCCCCAACCAGTCTACCGTACTGAATGCAAAGTCGTATGTTAAGTAAGTTGTGTTTTAATATATAAAACGTCCCAAACTCTATATTACTGTAAGCGGACGACGGCGTGGCAGTCGAATTATCTCTATATTCGCTTGCTTTTCTCTAAGTGACAAGAGATTAGTCGGCATAAGCGTGTCGCTACTTATTCTTGTGTAGGGGAAGGCAAGGTTCCAGAATTCAATAAACCAGAGAGCATATTCAGCAACATTTATTGTACACAATTCCTTCTCTTAACGGTACCCAAACCACAGAATCTCATTAATCTACAAGTCAGCCACAACTCTAAACCTGGGATGAGTCTATCAACAAAGGGACTTACCCCAAACGATGCTCGCTACGTGTCCACAGCATCTCATCTCTCGACCTCTGACTTGGCTCGATTGGTCGCAACGGCTGATCCTCGCTGGCTCTGGCTGGCTGAGTCCTCTTGTTGAATCCCAGACGGAGTGTGGCTGCTTCTCTCCCGGTCCTTGGCCTTGACTGCCTGGAGTGAGTCTTTGATTTTGACTGACTGGGGTGAGTCTAGGATTTTGACTCAGGCAAGTCTTCCGAGGTGACTCCTGAGAGAGTCCCTAGTCTTGACTGCCTGGGGTGAGTCTTGTATCTTGACTCTTGACTCCCTTTTGATTTTCCAGTCATCCCTTTTATACAGGGTCTCCCCTGGAGTAGGGGTGGAAAGGAAACTCAAAAGTCAGGGGAGTTCTCACGCCGCGAGTGGGCCGACAAAGACGGTGGTCTAGCACGAGTTGACGCATCCCCAATTTACTATGTCCCCCGTGGCTACGGATTTCCGACTGTTCTTACCTGTCTACCTGGGTAACCATTTCCAAGTTACATTTGTATTTTTTTTTTTTTTTAATTTGTATTTTCCAAGCCAGATTTGTCACATCGTTCCCGTCTGGGTGGTCGCTTTTCATTGTTTACCCTATTTTGTTCTTATTTTAACAATTTAAACTTATCGCTAAGACGGGGACCGGCTTACATTACCATGTGCTAGTAATTTAGAGTAGACAATATCAAAAAATTGTAAATAGAAATAGATTTGATTACTCCTTAGAACAATAAATTAACAATTAATCTTGAATGAAAATGTATTTTAACAATATTAATACATTTGTATCACAAGCATTGATTTGTAAAGATACCCCTGAAATACGAGAAACTTTTTTTTTCAGTCTTGAACTCTTAACGACCCTTAATTTAAAAAAAAAAAATTGCCATCTTTAAATTATTGAGCATGTTTCAGAACAATGATATAGGGAAGATCATGCTAGGCGAACTAATAATATCTTCTGTAACCCCGCTCAACATATGCCTACCTGAATATTATGAAAAAGATTGACTGATTGTATATTTCTTGGTTATTGGTCTAGACGTGTACGTAATTGTACATTTGAGCATGTGAAGGGAGGTACCGTTGATACAATTGTGATGAAATTCAAAGGGGGTCATTTAAAAACCAATCCGCACAAGTTTTGAAAATTTCATAAAAATTGGTTGTAAACGAAAAAAATGTACACGATTTAACTTTTGTACATGCGCAGGCAATACCATAAATCCGATCGGAATGAAAATCATAGGGAACTCTCTGGAAACAGACTTGAACTATCTATGAAAATTTCATAAAAATTGGTCTAGATACGATTGTACGGTGGTGTATGAGCAGGTGATATTGATACGATTGCAATAGAATTCGTAGAGGACTATCAGGAAACCAACTCGTATAATCCCTGCCAACTTCATCCAAATCCATGTAATGGTTTCAGAGATACACTGTGTATGGGATTTTATGTTTGCGCATGCACATCAAATTGGGATGAAATTCGTAGGGCACTATCTAGAAATCGACTTGCACAATCTCTGAAAATTTCATTAAAATTAGTCTCGTGGTTTTCGAGTTTTGCCGGTTACAAAGAATTGATCACAGGCAAGGCAAACAGAGAAAAAATTTGTTCAAAAAAAAATTCTGAAACGCAAAATTGTGGAAATTTTAATTTTGTTCGAGAAAAATTGTTCCGCAGAATACAAGGCTTGCCTACCTCCAGTAGTTCGGAACCAAAACTGTGAGCAAAAGGCCAAAATCGTGAACAAAGAACTTCCTTTTGATGTATTCTTGATTAAACCTTCAAAAGAAAGTATTTTTGATAAAGAAAAAAATATTCCATCAAGAAAAATGTATTTCACAACAATATCATAAAAAAGCACCTATTATTTATTAACCGTCATGCGGGGTGGTTGTGCAGAGGGCCACGTAGGGATTATACTCTCAATTTACAATATAAGAAACTAAATTGTGAAGTAATCATCTTTCGGATTGTCGAGTCCTGCCTGTTATTCACCGTCAAACATTGTAGTCGGTAATTTACCGCCCTTGTTCTCAGTAGTTTCATTCTTCCATCAACCATCACAGCCAAATTTAATTTCTTATTATTGAAGGTTTATTGTATCTACAAGCATTAGCAACAATGTATTAACGTTTTTCAGTGCACTACACTGTTTATTATTATCTAAAGAATCATAATTATGTTACTATTATCAAATTTTTCCTTATAGGTAAGATTGCTTTTATCTCTTCATTATTATTTGATATCTCTCTCTCTTTTTCTTATTGTCATTATGTACTAATCATAAAGTAATAATATTATTGTAGGTAGTTCCAAATATACATAACTAATGTGTAAATTTATCTTCTCCTCAAAAGGAATTGGGTGTTTTCAACCTTTTTTAGATCATATTTCTCTAACCCTTAGGACAGACATCCATTGAATCAAAATGATTTAGATGGTAATGAATAATGTCTTTCACAGGTTTCATTTTTTCATGCTTTTTCCCCCCCTACATTTACTTCAAAACACATATCTGTTGATCTTGTATTACTTGTGATTCATTATTTTGTCAATTTGAATAATTGTTTACAACATTTAAACATGTTTGTTAGAGCTTCTATCAAAAGTACACCTAGTTCAAAGGATTGGGATGAGATATTGGATGAAAACACGCGAAAAAGAGTCGGCGGTAGACTACCGCCCTGCGCCCACGAGTTACAAAAAAAAATCGCGCTCGCATGAAGGTTAAAACATGCTCAAAAATTCAAGTTAAAAAACTTCACAATAGCTTTAATAAAGCGATACCAAAGGCCTGTGAAACCGATGATTTAAAAAAAAAAAAAATCCAATACCTTACAACAAGCTTCAAAATGTGGTTTTCTAGAAGAGGTGCATAGTTCTAAAAAAAACGTCCGCATATGGGGAAGAGTCTATTGAGTCATTCCCAAACGACAGCCACGACAAACATATTGAAGTTTCTTATATTTATGTTTTCATTTAATGTGCTTAATTACATGTTATTATCATGATTTTTTTTTCAGGTTTAAAGCTACCAGCACGAGGAAAGTTCCTTCTATATCAAAAGCGGTCCGATAATTGATGTTGACATTGTAGATTGGTTAATGTATAATAAGGTCACTCAGGATGATTAGAACAAATAAACTTTTTATTTAAAACCTGCAATCTTGCTTCTTGCTGGAAAATGCCACTAGTGCTAATTGTTATATGTATAGAAATGTAACAAAAAAGCTGCTTCCAATGAAAATTCTGCAAATTTTGCTTGATTATGAAGGATTTTATTAAAAACTGTACATAGAAGCTAACATAAATTTTATACCACACCTTACTAGCTAATATATATTTTCTATAATCTTTAAAAAAAAATTCAATATCTGGAAAAATGTAGTTATAATGTATAAATAAGTTACGATATAATAAAAATGATCTAATAGATAATTTAAAACAATGCATTGCAATATAGAAATTGTTTTAAATATTTTAATTTTTTATGATATTTTATATTAATTTTATTGCGAACTTCGCTTATGTAAGAAAGATTGTGTGATGTCTTTTATTTTCTCTTTTTTTTCTATCGTGACTTTTAATTATCTGATGTGTATTATAAATCAAAAAATTTTAGCCTTACTTTTTTTTAATTGCGTGTATTTATTTATATGTCCCTTTCGTCTGTTAAACTGTGCTTTCGTTGACTTATATTTTATGTAGCCTTATATTATAACAATTAATGTCGCATATCTGATGTTCATTTTTTAATGAGTAAACAAAATAATTAGTAATAAATAGATTGTCATTATTACAGAAGGATCCTTTTGGTCAGGCTGTAGTTAAAGCTTCATTGTAATTATCAATATGATAAAATTGTAAAAGTATGCGATAAAGGTGACTAAACAAATATACAACAATGATGGCAAATAATATGGAAACCAAAGAGGTAAGAGGAAAATTAAAAAAAAAAGAATAGAAATAAATACTTCAAATTTTAAATTAATTTATTCTGTTATGTTTGTTGATTACATGTTATGATGATTCTCTTTTAAGTATGTTAGGATGAGTTCAATTTGAACTGCTCATGCTTGAAAAATGATGATACCCAAACAACTTCAAGTCAGTATAAATGTGTTCATTGACGGAAAAATGTTTAAAAAAATATATAACTATGGCTTTTTAACAAGTGCAAATATTGTACACCTCTGAAAATAATCTCAATTTTAATACGGTCCAATGACTTGCTGTATTGATCTTAGAACTTATTAAGTTAATTATTAAAGAATATGATTTTTAAGGATTCTCAACAGCCAACTGAAGTTGGTTTCTTTGCGCTTGATGATAATAATATAAAAACAACATAAGTTGGATTTTTTATTGAGTAAAATATGACTTAGGTTTTATTAATCAAAAAATGTAAAGATACGATGATTTATTCATTTATGGCAGACTAATTGTTACTTTAGATTTAGCAACTGGAATATGCTGAAGATTCACATTTAGACCTGTAATAAAACATAAAATTATTTCACTGATAAACCATACTTGCAGGAAAAAATGTTTAATTACAAGTGATAAAACCATTAAAATTATTATTAGTGTTACATTCTAAAGAGTATATACAATTAAAATCTTCGTTGATGAACAATTAATATATTTGTAATATAATAATTAGATTGGATATAAGAAAAATGGAAGTAATCAAAGATTTAATTACATCCTTAATCTTTATTTAATTATGAGATGACCATGTTGGTGTCCGTTGCGTGGAGAGCTTATCACAGAGCATATAATAATGGTTTGCAAAGAAAGAAATACATCCTGAATGACTTAAGCATGTTATTTATTGGAATAAATGTATTTATTTGTGTGAATGGAGGGCTTATCCCCAAATATATCGAGTACTCTGGGGTAGTGTGAATGATTTGTGTTGTGTACGTAATTTTTTTAGCATGGATGGAAAGGTTTATTACCAACTACCCTGAGGATTATCAAGCACTCTGGGGTTGTGTGAGTGTAATTTATTAGAATTAATTAAGGTTTTTAGTTGAGATAAAAAAGTCAATGGCACGAGCGGGATTCGAACCCACGATATTTGGCTTGATACGCCACTGCTCTACCACTTGAGCTATCGTGACCTCGGACACAAACTTCGTATCTCAACCCCACCTTTTGAATGTTCCCTCCTTTTTGCCATTTTTCAATGTATTAATTGGTCAAGTGGACCACGAAATTAGTGAATTTAATAATTTAAAATGAAGTATATGTACTTCACTAAAGCTCTCTGTGGCAATTTCATTTGTCGTCGAGAATCCAATCCGATTACACGACATTTGAAAAATGGAAAAAGGAGGGAACATTCAAAAGGTGGGGTTGAGATACGAAGTTGGTGTCCGAGTGGATCGAGGTCACGATAGCTCAAGTGGTAGAGCAGCGGCGTATCAAGCCGAAGATCGTGGGTTCGAATCCCGCTCGTGCCATTGACTTTTTTATCTCAACTAAAAACCTTAATTAATTGTAATATATTAATTGGTCAAGCGGATCACGAAATTAGTGAATTTAGTAATTTATTAGCATGAAAGGTAGCTTATCAACAATTACCATAAAAATCATCTAAAATTTTCTATCATTATATAAATTCCTTTTTTTCCACATTTTACATGTATTTATAAAATTCAAACAATGTTTATAAATCCCAGGCTCTGAAGATGATCTCAATAATGATCGAAACGTTGGCACGATAAAGAATTTTTTTTTAAATTAAAATTTAATAAATTCAATTTTTTTTCATCTAAAATTTTCTATCATTATATAAATTTATTTTTTTCCACATCTTACATGTATTTATAAAATCAAACAATGTTTATAAATCCCAGGCTCTGAAGATGATCTCAATAAAGATCGAAACGTTGGCACGATAAGGATTTTTTTTAAATTAAAATTTTCTAAATTCAATTTTTTTCATCTAAAATTTTCTAGCATTATATAAATTCCTTTTTTCCACATCTTACATGTATTTATAAAATTCAAACAATGTTTATAAATCCCAGGATCTGAAGATGATCTCAATAAAGATCGAAACGTTGACACGATAAGGAATTTTTTTTTAAATTAAAATTTTCTAAATTCAATTTTTTTTCATCTAAAATTTTTTATCATAATATAAATTCCTTTTTTTCCACATCTTACATGTATTTAAGTACATGTATTTAAATTCAAACAATGTTTATAAATCCCAGGCTCTGAAGATGATCTCAATAAAGATCTAAACGTTGGCACGATAAAGAAAATGATTTTCTAAACCTACATCACACAAGACCGCATCTCACGATCTCCAAATAATAATAATACTTTGTCACTAAATACTACACATTTTAAAAGCTTATTCGAATTTCAATTTATTATTAATGAGCTCGAAATGTCACAATATTTTCCGTATCTAGTAGTAAAATATGTACATATTAAAAAGACACCAATTAATTCAGGTGCATACTAACTCTTTGCTGGACACCATTTCAGCTATCCAGCATAATCCATACTTATTCGTGAAAGATTTATTTTTATGCATTTTATAAGAATTTATGTAAATATGAATTAAAGTAGTAACTAACCATTTAATTGAAATGAAGTTTTGTATTTCCTTGTAGTAAAGAGAATGTCAATAAACTTGAAAACATGACACTTCACTCTAACGGCCTTTTAGATGAACCTATTTCATGTGGAAAATATTTTCCAACAAGTAAATGGAAAACAGCCGATGATAACCGGCTTAATGAAAGGAAAATTGTAATAAATTAAATGACCACTTCACAATCATAGTTGGTAAATCGGCTGAAAATACAGATTACAGCAATAAACCTATATATGAAATAACTTGTCAATAAAATGACTACTAAAAAGTCACCAGTTCCACGGTTTGTCGTGTTTTTGCATCAAGAGTAATGTTGGTATGTTGACTACAGACTATAGGTCTAACTATTTTATTTGCTTGACACCATCTTAGCTATCCAGCATAATCCATACTCAGTTGTCAAATATTTATTTTTATACATTTATATAAAAATGTGTCGAAATATAAATTAAAGTAGTCATCTAATTGAAGTGAAATTTTGTATTTCTTTGTGGAGAACAGAATGTCAGTAGACTTGAGAACATGGCACTACACTCTAGCGGCCATTTGTATGAATAGGTGAATACCTATTTCACGTATTCCCTTTTAAAAAACGTACTTTCATGATTAAAGGAAACCTTAAATGGATTAGGATTTCAACAGAAATTCTTTTTAGTTGGAAATGCGGCACAGGAAGAACTGAGGTGCGAGGGGATTTTTGTTTTTGGACATTCGGCGATTGTTTTATGAGAGACTCTCTTGATCAACTTCCCGACGAGTCGGACGGTCGGTGCGGGGTAGAAAGNTTAAAACCGGGATAGCGCGTACGCAGTCCCGACTACCAAAAATTACGCGCCCGAGATATCCGCATTTGGGATATTCGCAGAGGTCAGCCAAGCCGTAGTGCAATGGGAAGGCCTCGCCCTGGGGGAACCGCCTTAGTGATCACGGTAACCCCGACGCCAGGTAAGTATGATTCAGTTTCCGGGCACTCTAACTGTATACCGACAGCGTTTCGAGCAATGGACGGGATGTCCAACAATTTCTCAACTCACTGACACTATTCTCGCAATTGTTTATCTCCTGTTCTCAACTCACCGGATCCTTTGCCTCACAGAATACTCAGATAATAAAAAATATATTAAGAAATTGCTTTCTTAATGAGATAAAGACGTCTTTTAATGTATTTTACTTAGGGTTTCAATAGCGGGTAGATTCTCCACCAGATTGCTCTTCCGTGTAACCTGAGATTGGCCAAGAACCAGCCATGGCGGGTGGTTTTGAATTTTCTTACCAGCTATGGTTATATAAAATCACTCAGACAAATATTGAATTAATAACAATTAAAACAAAACACAAGTACATATAAAAGTACATATCGCAATGCGCTTCAGAAATTCAGATCATACAGTACATAGTGATTAGCAAAAACAAGAAACACGTCACCACAAACCTACGTGACACGACCGCATCTCACGATCTCCAAAAATCATTAACTTACGGTCACTAAAAACACCACACAATTTAAAGAAAACCTTAAATGGATGAGAATTTCAACAGAAATTCTTTTGAGCCGGAAATAGGGTACCGCAAAACAACGAAAATATCTATGTACTAGAATAAGTTTAAACAATACTTAACAAAATATTAACGCTAGAACGACTGAGTTCAAACATCGTAATTTACGATTACAAATAAAATTCCATACCACAGATTAAGCACATGTCTTAGACAAATATAACACAAAGTAGTTGCTCAATTTTAAACTTTCCTAATACGTTATGCACAAAGCGTTAGCGGCCTCGTCTGACGACAAGGCACTACAAAAAATTTCCTTACAGACTCATCAGTGAGTCCCCCTCCACGGAAATCTTTAGTAAAAGGCGAAAGATTTATTCGTTATGAAAGGAGACCAGAGTAAAGACCAAGATTTACCCGTTTCCGGTTATAGCTCTAGCCCCGCTTTCCACAGAACAGGAAGAATACAGAGAAATCATCTGGGCACACTCAAACCGACGATATGTATTTGTTGTACAAACAACTCTCCTTTTCAGTTTTCAGTTATAAACATTACAAATAATTTCAACCTCATAGAATTTAAGTATTTTTAAGTTTAATTGATTTTATACTACTACGACAGCGATAAAACTTGACGTGTTTGATTAGAATAGTCGCTAGGTTGCGCTATAATCGAAGTTCCCATCCTTAAAACCACAGCTGAAATTTCAATTATTATTAGCAATTTATTTTTGTTCAAATATGTTCCACTTTATTAATTAATATTTAAATTCTTGTATTTAGATCACGAATTTTAGGTTTCAAAATGAAATTGTCATTAATATGAGCCTGAACATTGAATTGACAAAGAATGTCCTCATTTTAATTATTTCACTAATATGTGACAATGTTTTTAGGCTGAAGTACAGTTTTTCATTTTTAGATTAAATACTGTTAAATCGTCCAATCAAACATTTTCCCCTATACGTATGAAATGTATGAAAAACTGTATGTTCGTGTTATTTAAAATATTTTATAGTATCAAAGTTGTGTTACTTAAAATATTTTAAAGTATGGATTGAAATGAACATTTATATTTAATTTTTGGTGTATTGAATATCTGGCAACAAGAAAACAAGACACTAAGATCTAGAAACTATGAAATTGGATTTTATTGTACATATCACCTTATAAAACGTACTTTCAGGTTTAAAGGAAACCTTAAATGGATGAGAACTTAACAGAAATTCTTTTAGTTCAGGCAGAACTGAGGTGTGAGGCGATATTTCTTTTTCGAGAGTCGGCAGTTTTATGTGGAACTGTCCTGAATAAATTTACCGACCAGTTGAACGGTAGGTACGAGGTATAAGGGAATGGCACTACCTTTGAAGTTATATATATTTTATATATTTTTTTATAACTATTTTTTACATTTTCATCCTCCATTACGAATATGCAATAGATACATGTATAAACAAGTTATAAATTTGCGTTGTAACTTACATGTATCTACTTTAGATACATATAATATATTACATCATACAGGTGCAAAAAAGTTAACAAAAAAATTTAAGTGTATATGATACATTAACAAGTAAAATAATAATCGTGATTATTTACTAAAACACAACATTAAATTATTAATCTGATATTTTAGAGTTTGCTCTGATCTCATGTAATGCATTAGATGTTTCACTGTCAGGAAATTTTGCTGTTGTCGTTCTGTACAATAAAAATGACAGTATGTCAAGAAGCCCCATATCAAAAATAACGATTTTTGCTAAATGATGGTCGATGGTTTGATCCCTGAATCTGTAGCTGCCCGGAAAGCTCTTTTCCTGCAAGCCTACGAAGCCTAGGTACGATGGACATTGGTGACGACCTCTCCTGTCGCCTGTTGAACCACCCACAAGAGGGTTAAGACAAGATAACATGACAACGTTTTAATATACTGTTCGACGATTAAGGGTGGCACACTATGTCCAGACTTCGCCATTTGAGTTTGATACGTCATGTACATCCCTGGAGATGAAGCTGTACCTTGTACAATTTTGAGCCTGTGTTTAAAGAAACATCCTCCACACGGATCTTCATTCTCCTACACTAATGAGGGTCGATTTTCCTGAGGTATGAGGTTTTGGGAAATGAAACAAATTCGGTAGTTTTTACGTGAGTCCCAGAAAGATTTATTTCGCAGCTTTTGTCAGTAATAATCAATCAGTAAAGACTTCATAGTCTTCATTCTGTTTGCAAGGTCTGAGTCGATTTCCGAGTACGCTTCGGGTTCGAGGATGGCCTGAGTGATGTCAAACAGCTCCTGGTCAATAAAATACGATTGCACCTTGAGGTCCCTGTAAAAGAAAGAAAAAAGGTTTTATCAAGAAGTTTGAGTTTAAGGATGGATAGGTAACCTTCCATGGACGAATCTTGCGACGACTTGTGTAAATTTGGACGCAGTCGATTCGTAACTGTTTTCATACAGGGGGCAGTTATCGACTATAAGCATGAACGGAACTTTGTATTGCATCGTACACTCCAACGGACCGGTCGTGTAGTTGTACATGAACGCGTTCAAAGGGCCGACGTGAATTCTCGCTTCATACATGGCCGGGTAGTAGTACCAACTATCAGCGATATACTTCCTGGCACTTTTCACCGGCTCATCGTTGGACTTGTACATCGATCCGATCTGATTCGTACTGCCGTAGACGCAGGGGAGGCTAGGGCCACCTTGCCTCCTCCCTCCGCCGTCATTGTAAGTGCAGAACAGCCTTGAGGTGTCTTCTTCAGACATGTTATACTTAGCAGCGACTGTTTGGAAACGTTCAAGTTTATCAGTGTTCATTTTGAATCTACGGGACTCACCTTCTTTCATGACTTCCCCTTCGTCACTCCTTAAACCCACGAGGAGGGAAAAGTTCGCTTGACGTTCTTCATCAAACCAGTTATCTTTTATATTGATATCGTCCACTACAGGCCTGAACTGGGTGGCTATTTTGCCCCACCACCATGGCATCTGAGAACAAATGGCTATTAGGTCGATCTTTGACTGTAGGACGGTCATACTTTGTTCTGGTTGGCGTACGCAGCTTGTAAAAGTTTTCTTGCATCAACGTTTCGCAAGCAGTCTAGACTGGAGCAGTTGACAGCTTTAAAAAGATCCAGGGTTCGATTATGCACCCAGGACTCCCTCGACATGGCCCATGGAGCTATTCTTGATCCACTGATGACTATACCTTTCTTAATCTGGTCCTTCATGGGACCGTTTAAGTGGTGTAGCACAAAAGCAGCTCCTTCACCTTCACCAGCGAGTGTAATCCTCTTTCGATCACCTCCAAATAAGTGTATATTCCTAACCACCCACTCTATTGCCAATTGTTGATCCATGAAGCCATAGTTTCCTGGCATTGTCGAATTTTCAAAACTTGCGAAACCTACGGATTCAAATATAAATAATCCAATGGGTAAAAAGTGTTGAATATTGGATTACCGAGCGGGCCGACGCGGTAGCTCATAGTCACGACGACCACGCCGTGGTTCATGAGTTTGTCGGGCGAATAGATCGAACCTTTGTTGCTCTCGAGCGGCAACGACTGCCCGTGAATCCATATCAGGACCGGCATGCTCTGGTTCACCTGGCAAAGGATCTTTCGAGTATAAAGTCCATTGTTGAATTAAAAACCTCACACTTACATATACCCGAGTTGTGTAGACATTTAAAAAAAGGCAGTCTTCTTGACCAATGAAACTGCCGTCTTTCGGATCCATCTCGAGGCATTCTTGACGACTCATTAAGGTTTCGATTCTCGTGACATTTTCAGGTTTCTTTAAAACACAGTACAAACAAATTACTTAAACTGACAATACTTACGCTGAAACGTAAATCTCCTCTAGAAGTCTTGCCGTAGCGAATCCCAAGGAAGGCGAAGTACCAGTTGTCGACTTGTGTAGTCAAAGAATAACCTCTGGCTAACCCTACAAGAAAACACATATAGGTGAATCGAACCTTTTTCTTCCTTTTGACACGATGCCCACCGTTGTACGTCGATAAAAAGCAGTACATAACCATGGCACCTGTGACCATGTTTGATATTAAAAGTGAAAACTTAGGAAACCAAGAGACAATATAAAGTCATCAACCTTCACTCTCCTAATCCCGCGTGAATAATCCTTTTTAGATATGGAACCGAACTGTCTCAATCGATTAGAACAAAATCACTTGGACAAGATTTTTTGTGTGAAAACATTAACTATGAAATATGGGACGGTTAATATGATATAGTCTTGAGACCCGCTAAAACGAAGGACGTTACCCATAGCACTCCCGGGTTGTTACGGATCTACATTTTTTAACCTCATAATTCTTACTCGACAAACCAGACAATATAAAATGTACTTAAAACCAAAAACGGAATAAAGAATTACAACCTGATGTCACGGTTTGACAAGGGAAATAATCCATTAGCCATGAACGATCATAAACAAAATATTATTATTATACTATGTTGTTCCAACTAAGCCTGAATCCTGACACTTTATCCATTGGTAATTGGTAAACAAATACAAGTAGGATGTGGAACAAAATGAATTTATACAGTGCAGAAAAAAAGAAAAAATTTGTTAAATTTAAACAATGTTTGTAAATCCCAGGCCCTGAAGATGATCTCAATAAATATCGAAACGTTGGCATGATAAAGAAAATGTTTTTTCTAAAAACCTACGTCACACCAGACCGCATCTCACGATCTCCGAATAATCATTGACTAACGGTCACTAAACATCACACATTATTATTATTATAATTCAGTAAAACAAAGAGTATCATACAAACTGAATCTGGCAATTTCTAAAGAATTTAGGTTATGTTAAATCCGTATACATTCCAATATCCAATTAGTGACCTAGGTCTTTTTTTACTGAAAAAGATTCTATGTTACTGGTTTCTGGTTCTGTTTTCTTCCTCTTCTTTGTCACTTCAAACATTGTCGCATCCTCACAGTAAGTATCAGAAGAGACAAGTTCTGTCAATGCTGTCGGAAGGAGGTTAAGGTTATCAAATTCCATGTTTGGGGAAGATTTGTCTGTTATTTTTATGAATGTTTTCCCTCGTTGTGTTCACGTTTGCAAAATACGTCCTGCTTTTTTTTGAGTCCCCTAGCTGGAGATGGAGTTTATTTCTTTTTTTCTTTTATTAAGGTTTCAATTGCAACAAATTGGTGACAAACTTTGTAAAACAGCATTTTTATTTAATTTATTGTTGTCAATGTTCAATTTGATAAAAAAAAGGACTAGTTGACTGCATCCCTCGCAAACTACAACTTAAACTATGCATAACAATACAAGATTTATCTTCTCTGCGTATTTATGTGTGGAGTTCAGAGAGACCAGAATCTTGGTAAGGAAAATAATTGGCAGAAGGCATTCTTATTCTTTCGAGAGAAATATTTATTAGTATTACTACTGGAAGTAGATTAGAAAAAATATGACTATGCCTGGCCATGTAAGTTGATACAGGAAAGTTGATCCCAACAAAAACATAAACTTGAAAAAAAGAGCTACGTTCCAGAAGCTCTTCACAAAATTAGCCTTTCAATATAATGATATCTCTTTGTGGCCGTCCGTTATTTTTTTAGCCCATAACCTGAGAGAACTCAAAAGAAAAGATAGTTGCAGACTCCCAAAAAAAATTAAAAAACGTCAGTCTACAAATTAGTAGTGATATTTACATTGTGGCCAATTTCTCTTCACTCCTACTTTTATGAGCAGCACAATCTGTTATTTTTATTAGTTAACTCAGTTAATACTTAGCCAGTTTCTGAATGAGGATTAAAACATCTGGCCTGTTCATACAAGAGAGGTGGGTGAAGGGAAGGTAGAGAACTCATGGGGAAAGAAAAAAGTCCCAGACTATTCATTACTCGCTCATTCAGAAACTAACCATGTTAACCAATAAAAATAAAAGAACTGTGTTCCTCCTTCTTTGGTAGGTTGACTTTTTTACATTTTTTGGAAGGAGTCTGGAATTTTAGCTTTTCTTTTGAGTTCTCTCAGATTATGGACTAATAAAAAGAACATAGTGTAGATTGATAGGCTATTTTTTGGGGGGAGGGTCTGGGACTTGGCCTTGTTTTCACGGTTAGATATTTGTTGGGATATCATACTTTTTGTTGGCTTTTTTTCGAGGCAGAGAAGCGATTATGTATGTCGTATGTACTTTATTAATTAATATTTAAAGCCTTGTATTCAGATGAGAAATTTTAGGTGTCAAAATGAAATTGGCATTGACATGAGCCTGAGCATTGAATTAACAAAGAATGTCATTTTAATTATTTCACCAATATGTGACAATTTTTTAGGCTGACGTACAGTTTGTTTTGTTTTTAGATTAAATACAGTTAAATCGTTTAATCATACTTTTTCCCTGTACATTTGAAATGTATGAAAAATATATGTTTATGTTGTAATAAGTGGTCTAAAAATTTTTGAACAATCGAGTATTCGTTTACGAACTTTTGGCTTGATGAAAAAAGAAAAGTTTTTCCTACGAGTAAATGGAAAACAGCCGATGTTAACCGGGTTAATGAAGGGAAAATGTAATAAGTTAAATGACTTAAGTAGAATAGACTTGAGAACATGACACTACACTCTAGCGGCCATTTGTATGAACCTATTTCACGTATTCCCTTTTAAAAAACGTACTTTCATGATTAAAGGAATCCTTAAATGGATTAGGATTTCAACAGAAATTCTTTTTAGTTGGAAATGCGGCACAGGAAGAACTGAGGTGCGAGGGGATTTTTGTTTTTGGACATTCGGCGATTGTTTTATGAGAGACTCTCTTGATCAACTTCCCGACGAGTCGGACGGTCGGTGCGGGATAGAAAGAGATGGCGGTACCTTTGGTCGGTATCGCTTCTCGGCCTTTTGGCTAAGATCAAAGTGTAGTATCTGTTCTTATCAGCTTAATCTCTGGTACGACTTCCATAGGGAGTCCAGTAGATTAAACTGATTTTTGGAAAATGACGGAGTGCTAGGGGCTTGCTCCACCTCTGTCGCGGGTTGACCCGGTATTGCAGTACCTCCGGGAACGGCCCACCTAACTAAATATGAATAAAATACAAAGTAAAGAAAGTGAAACTTAGAAAAATTACACTGAAATTTATTCACAACGTTCAAATTTACAATTTATTTATTCCGCTTTTGGAACAAAATGTAATTGACGAACCATTTGTTTAGATTTTGTTTTGAATACTACACTTCCAAAAAAATTATTTTCTACATCCACAATCGAACGAAAGAGCAAATTTTTTAAGCTAAGTTTTTCGATTTTACTTTCGTCAAATTTCTTTGATCTTAATTACTGCTTGCAATACAAAATTAAAGTATTTCTAGTAACGGTCTTAACTCATTTTTTTGGATATCACATTTAATTAGTTGCACGTACAAATTTGTATATGTATTGTATCGATGAGCTAGATCTGGGTTTGCTCCTGAAACTTTATTTTCATTATTAAATGTTTTTTGTTTTTAAATTATGTACTCAATAAATGGAGAACCATTTACTACACAATAAAATTGGTGTTGGAACAAAAGTAAGTAATTAATAAAAAGTAATTAATTTACTCCAGCATTTTATTTTTTATATTTGTATTTTTTTAATTTCATTTAGAATGTACTAATGAATTGAATTGCTCACTCTCTTATACGGTAAACCCCCCCCCAAAAAAAAAAAAAAAAAAAAAATTAGAGAGATCTCTAATTATTTTAGATCTCTAATTTTTAGATAAAGATGCGGTCTGGTGTGATGTAGTTTAAGAAAAACATATATGCATTTGTATAATTTAAACCATATCAACAAAGATCGAAACGTGTGGTGTTTAGTGACAGTTATTTAATGATAATTAGGAGATCATGAGTTGCGGTCTGGTGAGATGTATGTTTTAGAAAAACATTTTTTTTTATGCACCAATGACACATCTACACAGAAAACAAATACATATTGATTCCAAAATTTCTAGCATTGTATAAATTCAATTTTTTTCACACCGTACATATATTTGCATAATTTAAACAATGTTATAAATCCCAGGCCCTGATGATCTCGATAAGAATTTCGAACGTTGGCACGATAAGGAAAATGTTTTTCTAAACTATGTTCTATATTAAGTCTCCATCACACCAGATTTAAATTCATTAAATTTTGTGGCCCCATTGTCGATTTTCATCTTTCAATTAATTCAAACTATACGACATTCTATTTAAATTTTTCATTAAAATTAGAACCGGGATAGCGCGTACGCAGTCCCGACTACCAAAAATTACGCGCCCGAGATATCCGCATTTGGGATATTCGCAGAGGTCAGCCAAGCCGTAGTGCAATGGGAAGGCCTCGCCCTGGGGGAACCGCCTTAGTGATCACGGTAACCCCGACGCCAGGTAAGTATGATTCAGTTTCCGGGCACTCTAACTGTATACCGACAGCGTTTCGAGCAATGGACGGGATGTCCAACAATTTCTCAACTCACTGACACTATTCTCGCAATTGTTTATCTCCTGTTCTCAACTCACCGGATCCTTTGCCTCACAGAATACTCAGGTAATAAAAAATATATTAAGAAATTGCTTTCTTAATGAGATAAAGACGTCTTTTAATGTATTTTACTCTAAGGTTTCAATAGCGGGTAGATTCTCCACCAGATTGCTCTTCCGTGTAACCTGAGATTGGCCAAGAACCAGCCATGGCGGGTGGTTTTGAATTTTCTTACCAGCTATGGTTATATAAAATCACTCAGACAAATATTGAATTAATAACAATTAAAACAATACACAAGTTAATAAAAAGTACATATCGCAATGCGCTTTAGAAATGTGCAAGACAAACTATTCAGATCATACAGTACGTAGTGATTAGCAACAACAAAAACACGTTTATAAAAACATTTTCTTCATCGTGCCACGTTCGATCTTTTGTTTTTACATCATCTTCTTCAGTGCCTGAGATATAACAAACATTATTTAAATTATACAAATACATATAAGATATTTGTATAATTTTAAACACTTTTAATGACTTTTTATCTCATCTTAAAACCTAATTAATTGAAAGATGCAATTAATTATACAAAAGATGCCATTAATTGGTCAAGCGGACCACGAAATCTAGTGAAGATAAAGAAAACGTTTTTCCAAAACCTACGTGACACATCAGACCGCATCACACGATCTCCAAATAATAATCATTTACTAATGGTCACTAAACACCACACATTTAAAGAAAACCTTAAATGGTTGAGAACTTCAACAGAAATTCTTTTAAGGCGGAAATGGGGTACAGGTAGAAGAACTGTGGTGAGAGGCAAAACAACTAAAATATCTGTTACTTGATTAATGTGTAGAGATTAGTGACCGTTAATCGAAAGTTAATCAGATATCGTGAGATGCGGTCTGGTGTGGTGTAGGTTTCAGAAAAACATTTTCTTTATCGTGCCAACGTTTCGATCTTTTATTTAGATCATCTTCAGGGCCTGGGATTTACAAACAATGCTTACATTTAACAATTACATTTAGGATGTGGAAAAGTGAATTTATACAATGCAAAATATATTTTATATGCAAACAAAGTATTTCTACTCACTCAAAGTTTTTGTCTTCTGTGTAATTGTGCCATCCTTGAGTGTCGTGTTGAGAGTGCCAGTGAGATTTTGCTGTTTTATGTTTGGTGTTGAAGGGGTGGGGAAGGAAGTCGGTATATAAAAAACAATTTTGTGTAAGGAGGCGTCGGCTTTTTTGAAGTGAAATAAGCCGACAAAGGGGAACAATGTGTTGGTAATAGTTCGGCCAGATTGTCCTTTCAGGATTATGTAGAAAAGGGATAAATAGGAAAAGGAAAGCTAAATTGTTGGAAAATTAGACTATGTGAAAAGTATTTGATGTGTGGAATGTAATGTAATGATATATGTATGTTATCTATATTGTATTTGGTTAATGATATTGGCGTAGCTGCGGACTGAGTTTACACGTATCTGTTCTGTATGCTGTGTTTATGTCTGTTGATATAAACCATTTCTAAGAAATTACGTTTATGTTTGTTTTGTTCTATGTGCACTTTTGGATTTTTGAAGTCGAAATCGTGTTGGCATTCAAGATGGTGGGTAGCGAGTGCTGTAGGATTTTGCTTAGGTTTTTGGCAATAGTAGATATGTTGCTTTACTATCTTATCTTGTCCAGATATTGGGGATGTAAGAAAACAAAGGAAAAAGTTTTTCTAAAACCTACGTCTCCACCTGACCGCTCTCATGAACTCCAAAATAAATCTAGGCTATGTACTATCTAATGAATGAATTATCTAATTAGATTTTAATGCTCAGTGCGTTAGCGGCCTCGTCTGACGACAAGGCACTACAAAAAATTTCATTACAGACTCATCAGTGAGTCCCCCTCCACGGAAATCTTTAGTAAAAGGCGAAAGATTTATTCGTTATGAAGGGAGACCAGAGTAAAGAACAAAACTCGCCCGTTTCCAATTATAGCTCTAGCCTCGCTTTCCACAGAACGGGAAGAATACAGAGAAATCATCCGGTCATACTCAAACCGACGATACGTATTTTTTGTACAAACAACCCGCCTTTTTACTCTTTTCAGTTATAAACATTCAAAATAATTTTAACCTCATTGAATTTATGTATTTTTAAGTTTAATTGGTTTTATACTGCTACGACAGCGATAAAACTCAACGTGTTTGATTAGAATAGACGCTAGGTTGCGCTATAATCGAAGTTCCCATCCTTAAACCCACAGCTGAAATTTCAAATATTATTAAGAATTTATTTTTGTTCATATATGTTCCACTTTATTCATTAATATTTAAATTCTTGTATTTAGATCACGAATTTTAGGTTTCAAAATGAAATTGTCATTAATATGAGCCTGAGCATTGTTTGACAAAGAATGTCCTTCTCATTTTAATTATTTCATTAATATGTGATAATATTTTTAGGCTGAAGTACAGTTTTTTATTTTTAGATTAAATACAGTTAAATTGTCCAATCATACATTTTCCCCTATACATATGAAATGTATGAAAAACTTTGTGTTATTGGACAATTGATTTGTGTGAAAAATGTTTGTATTTTTTAAAATATTTTATAGTATCAAGGTTGTGTTATTTAAAATATTTTAAAGTATCGATTGAAATGAAGGTTTGTATTTAATTGTTGGTGTATTGAATATCTGGCAACAAGAAAACAAGACACTAAGATCTAGGAACTATGAAATTGGATTTTATTGTACATATCACCTTATAAAACGTACTTTCAGGTTTCCTTTAAACCTTAAAAGGATGAGAACTTCAACAGAAATTCTTTTAGTTCAGGCAGAACTGAAGTGTGAGGTGATTTTTCTTTTTCGACAGTTGGCAGTTTTATGTGCAACTGTCCTGAACAAATATCCCGACCAGTTGAAACCCACAGATGAAATTTTGATTATTATTGATAATTTATTTTTGTTAAAATATGTACCGACTTTATATGATTATTATTAATTTTTAAGGGCGTTTTAACGACTACTATCATATCAAGCCCTAACAGTTAAACCTTCTGCCTTAATAATGTATGACAATTAGTGACCGTTAGTCGATGATTATTCGTAGATCGTGAGATGCAGTCTGGTGTGATGTAGGTTTCAGAAAAACATTTTCTTTATCGTGCCAACGTTTCGATCGTTATTGAAATCCTTTTCAGGGCCTGGGATTTATAAACATTGTTTAAATGTTACAATTACATGTAGGATGGGAGAAAATAAAGATTTATGCAATGCCAGAAAATTTTAGATATAAAAAAATTGAATTTATACAATGCTACAACATTTTTAGATTTAAAAAAAATTTATGCAATGCTACAACATTTTTAGATCGAAAAAAAAAAGAATTTATACAATGCAAAAAAGTATTTTTTATATTCACTCTCTCAGAAAGTTCTCCTGTTCATACAGACACTGAAGATTGCAAAATACCTACAGGTGTCTAACAGACCAAACCAAAAGGCAGACAAAAATGATCCAGTTCAAACAAATTACAATTAAATAAAGGTTTTTCTTCATACTGTTACATATCTATAATATAAAAAAAGAAAAAAAAAAGAAAATGAAATAAATTCGGTGCTTTTATACGCTAAACTGTACAACAGATTCGTCTTGCTGGGGTGGTCTTTAATCTTTTTGAAAAAGAAATTTCTTCTTTCTTTTGGGATTTTCTTTTTTCAAGGAAAGTCAAATGGAACTCACGCTTCACATTCACGGAAAAATTGGATGTTTTTGGACTGTGAATTTTAAAAATTCAATGACATACTGAGATTGTCAAAGTTTTGGTTCAAATTGCAATTTACCATTAACGAGCTTGAATTTGGCAATTTTTTTTCTATATCCAGTTCTAAAACATGCACACACTAAAAAATCATTAATTAATTTTAACACTAAAAATTAATAATTGGCTCACTAAAGTTTCCAGGCCACTACTATTTCAACAGTACTTCCACTTCCTAATTGACACCCCTCTACTTGATTAACAAATACTTTGGTAAATAAATTCATCCCTCAAGACGATGTAGTATGGGGCCTTCCCAAACTGTGGTCCACCGACACTAACCAGGTGGTCCATGGTGAACTTAGAAAAAAAAATTATTATTTGGAGATTGTGAGATGCGGTCTGATGTGATGTACGCTTCCGAAAAACATTTTCTTTATCGTGCCAACGTTTCGATCTTTATTGAGATCACCTTCAGGGCCTGGGATTTACAAACATTGTTTAAATTTAACAAAAACATGTAGGATGTGGGAAAAAGTGAATTTATACAATGCAAAAAAATATTTTTTTATATATTCAATCAAAGTATTTCTACTCACTCAAAGTGTTTGTTTTCTGCATAGAAGTGTTTGTTTTTCTGAAACCTACATCACACCAGACTGCATCTCACAATTTCTGAATAATCATTGACTAACGGTCACTAATCATCATACATTTAGATTAAAAAAATTATTATTACAAAAATAAATGTAGAATGATTAAATAAAATCAAACTAATAATAATGAATACTTAAACAAAAGTTTTTATATTTATTCAGTCTATGTTTACTTTTGCACATGTAAGAAAAAGCATAAGGTAAATGAGACGGACGGGACTAGACTGGTGGGAGGTAGATCGTCATCCTAAGAATTTCATTTTTCATTCAACTGGTCCTTCATACCAGGAGCTGCTGCCTCTGGAACATCCTTTTTTTGGCATTGCCGTTTGAGCATCCGCCATTTTTTTTCTTCTTCTTCTTTTTTTTCTCTCTCCTTCGCAGCATGCGGAAGCCCGAAGGGGCAGGCAAGGCGCAGCCGGAAAGCGGGAGAATGCCCAAGCCTGCCTGGAACATCCTTTACAAAGCCGTTGTTGTTCCACATTGATATAAATTAATTTAACTTTTATAAATGCAATGGAATTAACATTTTTAGGAGTAAGTGAACAATTCATAAAAATACTGGATTGTTTGTTGAACTAATCAAACCTGTGAAGACCCAATAAGTGACCCAGGTTTCAGCACGAGTTCACCAACTCGCAGACCCAACATAAACTTTATGTTAAAGCTTATTTTAAAGTTTGAGATTCATAGAGGGAAATGTAGATAAATAATAATAGTATATTTTTCATATTTGAATACAACATTAAATTTATTTTATTTGTACATGTTTTGTAGCTAAATACTAATTACATTTATGTACAATAAAATCAAAGAACTAGTCCCTGCTAAGCCAATCTCCAATTTGATTAACGATATGAACCCGAGCTTTAGTCAATTGAGGGGGATCCTTTGGTGATGATGGGTACATGTTAGCACAGTGAGCAGTACCTAAAATATCAGTTATCTTGTACATGCTTTACCAAAATCAAAATGTATAAAATGAAATCAAATATAAACCATTTATGTAAATTGCTTGTATTTTGGGTTTGTTTGAGACGGTGATTCCAAGTGCATGCCAAGGATCTATGCTGCCATGAACAAATAAAACTCTTGTCGTTTTTAAATGGACATCACCATACATAATGTTAGTTCTCATTATTCCATTGTTTAAAACCTGTTCATTAATCCTAAAACACAGTTTAAAATTTATAAAATTCTTTACCAATTTATTCTTTCTTATCGACTTACTCTGGGCCAAAAATATTTTGGCACTGTTTTGTGAAATATGACAATGGGATGTTAGAACCAAAAAGTTCGTCAGGGCTACTCGAAGTTTGATAGAAACCGAATTCTGTACACGTTTGATAAATCCACTGACGAGCTATATTTACAGGAAAATATACCGTTAGTTTATTCACTTGATTGCGATACAATTTAAGATTTCACCTGCTTGGGTGTGGTTCCAGACTGTATTTTTGAGTTCCTCTAATTGCTGAGAATATGTAAAATTTAAACATTCACTTTTAGTAGCTGCAAGCATCATTTTATTAACAGCTGCATATCTTGAAAATAAATAAAACTCTAATTACTCAAATGAATCGATTGAAACTCATCCTTAGATATTTACCTATCTAATGGTTCTCCCAGGCCACGGTCGACCATTATGTTGCAAAGATCATCAATAGTTATTTTCGCCGTGGGGCTTTTTGACATTCTGTTATCTTTATTGTACTGAACAACATCGGCAAAATTTCCTGAAAGTGAGTCGGCTAATGTGGCTACATCTAATCCATTGCTCACATTGAGATCGGAGCAAAGTCTAAAATATTAAAATGAGATTAATAACTTATTGCTACATTTTAATAAATAATAATAATTATTATTTTACTTATTAGTAACATTACATACTTAAATTTTTTTGTTAATGTTTTTGCACCAGATGGATCTGTAACTAACTTATCAAAATGCTTAACAGCCTGATGGACAGAAGTTACACAATCATCGCTGAATGTAGACAATGAGGCCGATACAACTTCATTGTACTCTAAAAATAAAAATACATGGTTACTAGTTTATTCTTTGAGTGCCAAGGATGTACCGTGGTTTACCGTCTGTGGCTGTGGACTTACTTGAACCTCACTTTTCTTGAGTTTTGCCTGGTCGGTAATAGGGGGAATGAAATCTACCTACTCTGGTCATTAGGGGTAGTTTTACCGTACATTAAACTGACTTTGGTTTTCAACTAGTTACTGTTTTCCCTCTGAGATTTTTTTTTCCCATTTTTTGTGAATATTTGTTTTAGTTGCTATTCTTCATATATACAATTGTTAGTTTATTCTAGTGCAGTAATGTTAATTGTAGTTTTAGTTTTAGAGAGTTTGTTCTTTATTTTTTAATTTGTTTATGCCTTTTTGGATTTTTTGTTTAAATTATTTATTGATTTATTGGTGATTTTTGTGGGAATTCAGTTAGACCTTTCAGCTTTACTCAATTTTTATTGTCCCATATTAATGAAGTTTTACTTCCATTTTGAAGGTGGAACTTGAACGTGTTAAATATAAGTGTTATAAGACCAAGTATGATTAAGTTTCTTTTTTTATCATACCCTGGGGATATTAAAAGAGTATTATTTTTTTTATATTTATTTTAAAAAGAAAAAGCAGGACTTTATTTCTTTGTTGAGGACTCTTTGCATGAGGTTCATTGTTTTAACTTTCATTATTGATTTATTTTTAAAAATAGAACAACTTGAACCTGTAAAAATACTATAGCTTACAAAATCTCTCTCTCTCGCTCTCTCTCTCTCTCTCTCTCTCTCTCTCTCTCTCTCTCTCTCTCTCTCTCTCTCTCTCTCTCTCTCTTTTTTTCTATTTACCTTTAAAATCAGCTTTTGCGAGAAGTGGACCACTTGTTGAAATTGCAGCATGTACCAAATGAGGATATTTGTATCGAAGCCAAGCGGCCAAGGACCCTGGGTAGCTTCCGCCAAATGCGATCCATTTATTGCTAGCTGTCAATCCAAATTTCTTATTCATCCCTTTAATAAAGTTAGCCAGATCGGCAAGTGCTTGCTCACTGCTCAAATACCTAAGATTTCGAGTGCTCATATCTCTATGGAAGGAAAAAAATATTTTCATCAAATGCATTTAATAGTTAATGTTCATAAATAATAATTATTAAAAAATAATTTATTAATTATTTAAATACAAATGAGGGTTTTTTACTATGATTTGTTAAAATTATACTATGTACTAAATATTATGACAATCATTTTTGGATTTATATAGGCTCAAATCCGTACTTAATTACAAACATTGAGTTGAGCCTATTGGCTTTTTGTAGTCCCCTGGCGATTCCAGCTTTTGCTATTTACAGTAAATCACCGGCAGATTCGACAATTACCCACCCTGGGTGTTTGGCAGTCTGTGGGCAGAACTCAGCCATATTCATCCAGCCACCGAGGTTAGGCTCTGAGGGTGGTGCGTCCAGCTAGGTCAATTCAGCACCAAACGCATGCAGTTCCAAGCCCATTCATACTCACGTTCATTCTTAAACATTCACTCCTATTTACATACCATTCATTCAATTAGGGTGATGGAGTGCTCGATAATCATCCAAAATCCTTTCACATATTACACAACAAGCCTAATTGAAGGTGGATGGGGAATTCAATTTTTTGCCATCGATCCTCTCACATCACATATTCACGCTAATAAATACATTCACTCTCAACACAACCTTTACACATATTATACAACAAGCCTAATTGAAGGTGGATGGGGAATTCAATTTTTTGCCATCGATCCTCTCACATCACATATTCACGCTAATAAATACATTCACTCTCAACACAACCTTTACACATATTATACAACAAGCCTAATTGAAGGTGGATGGGTAATTCAATTTTTTGCCATCGATCCTCTCACATCACATATTCACGCTAATAAATACATTCACTCTCAACACAACCTTTACACATATTATACAACTAGCCTAATTGAGGGTTGATGGGGAATTAAATTTTTCGCCATCGACCCTCTCACATCACACATTCACGCTAATAAATCACTCTCAACGCAAACTAGGTGTACATGACTTTACTTTACTATTAGTATATACAATAGAACAACCCCGTTTCCTCAAAAAATCGGAATATATTTTCAAAAGATGAATTAGGAATGTATATTTGACATACGGGGTAGGGTGTGATTTTCCGTAATATCTATGTTCCAGTTGGAAACATAAAGCTCCGTATTTCATAGCATAGTCGATCCAAGCGCCTTTCACCATCCATTCTGCCGAAGCCTCCCCTTCGCCTCCAATCATTAGGAAAACAGGGGTGTTCCGCTTGACTTTGATGAATGAATCATTCACTTGGTATCTCTTAAAAAGGACAGAGTTTATTGCAGAGCGTTCGAATTGCATATAACGATTGAGCTGTGCATACCTGATTCCATGTGTGCATGTTCGTCGGGTCAAAGTGGTCTAGCTTTTGTTTAAACCACATGTCCGGAGGGAGTCGGTGATTTTCAACATGAGGCGGCCATACCATCAAAGAATTCCTTCTAAACGCAGAGCAATGTACAATGCACGCTGTTACTATTAAGGAAAGAATACTTTTCTTGTACATTTTGCCTTTAAAAAAAAAAAAAATTAAAATTAAAAAAAATCAAAGATAAATTTGAAATTGAACCGCTCCAAAATATTAAAATTTATATTTGGAATAATATGTATTAATAAATTTATAATGAAACACACTGATTAATACTTTTTTAAAAACTTGTTCATGTCAATAATTAATATAAACTCATGCGCAATTCTATAAGTTTAACTTGCCTACAAAGTACTCCTCTGCATTGAGAAAACACTACAAGATCTGAATAAATATCCTCAGTTCAGCCTTATCAATTAAATTGATAAAGACCTCCCTTCTTATGTATATTGCTGAATAGATTTTTTTTATCAATGTTTACATTTCTTTTGAAATGTACAAGTTTAGACAAAGTTCTATATATAAACTGATGATAAAATGCAAAATTATGTTAACAAAAATGATAATTCACATTGAAAAGAATGGAAACAATCTATTAATAAATTTATAATAATAACTGTGATTGATATATGACCATTAGAAATTTATTATAATAAAATATTTATTTTAATTATAAAAAATAATAAAACAGAGAATTAGGACATACTGAACAATTTAATTTTGAAAATAGATCGTAGTAAATGTTCAGAAGTAATTTAATATCCTAATAATTTGAATGCAATCTGTACCTGCATACTTGAATATTATTAACATAGTGATAAATTATCACTTATCTTAATTAATGTGTCAGATTACATTCGATTGATTTGACAATTGAAAAGACAAGTCAAAAATTTTGTCTTCGTAATGTACTCAAAGATGCTTCTTGTACTTTATACTTTACAATTTTTTTATTATAAAACAAAACTGTAAAAATTTCAAGCTACTACTAATAGTATTAGTTTGTATTTCATTATTTAAAAAAACGGCCCTGCTCACCTACTTGTGTGTCGTTTGACGAGGACGACAAATTAAAAAAAGTTGCAAATAATGCATGTACAATCTCTTCACGAAATAAAAAAATTGTTGACCTACACAATAATAATATTTTGTAAATTAGGAATTTTGCACCTTTGTCTGCAATATCAATTACCATTAATTTTGGTTTGTTTCTTGGTGAAGGATTGTTAATTATATTTTTCCTCATTAGCTGAATCAGTTTTGTTTAATCTTTATTTAAAAAAAAAATAAAATAAAAAAAATACATAATTATTCAGATATCGTGAGATGCGGTCGGGTGTGATGTAGGTTTCACAAAAACATTTTCTTTATCGTGCCAACGTTTCAATCTTTATTGAGATCATCTTCAGGGCCTGGGATTTACAAACAATGTTTACATTTAACAAATACATTTAGGATGTGGAAAAGTGAATTTATACAATGCAAAATATATTTTATATTCAAACAAAGTATTTCTACTCACACANTGATCTCAATAAAAGATCGAAACGTTGGCACGATAAAGAAAATGTTTTTCTGAAACCTACATCACACCCGACCGCATCTCACGATATCTGAATAACTATCGATTAACGGTCACTAATCTCTACACAAAATACATAATAATAATTTCTACCAGTTTTTTTCATTTATTCGTATTTTTTCATTTTAATTAGACTTTTGTGAATATAGTTTTTTAAACTGGATTCACATTCATTTATACAGATGTACATAAACGAAAATCTAATGGAATTAAAGGAGAAAAGAAAAACATCCACTGACGAGTTTTTTTGTTTTTTTTATCTTTATTATTAAAATATAAATATTTATTGTAATTTACACAGTATATTCAGAACACTCTGTCTTGGTAACCAGCTTCTACAATGTTATTTTTTGCGACTTGTGTGCTACCACCAACTGCTCCTTGGTGGTGATGGTGGTGGTGATGATGGTGATGGTGATGCCCTCTCATGTGTCCACCTCTTCTGCCTTGCATTGTGAATTCGAACATCGACTGATTGTGCTGAGCCAACATCTTAACAAAGAAATTTCAATTTGCACTTAAAAACTAAATTATATAAATAATATATAATGTATGTATAGTGTTGGTACAAAATTAAGGCAGGTTTTGAAAATTTGTTTTATTTTCACAGGAGAAACAAACCTCAAATCTAATTTATGGATTATAATAAATATTTTGAACTGTTATCTTTTATGCAAAACATTTTAGTTTACATCGAATTTTATAAGAGTGAGGACCTGCAAAATTAAATAAGTTCAAACTTCAAATTTGACGAAACTCTAGTTTGGACATATATAATTTTGCAAGTCCTGACTCTTATAATATTCAATATAAACTAAAATGTTTTGTATATAAAAACAACAAAATTTATTTTTACAAATTTAAACTTATGATTCTTCCTTCTTGAAGGTGGGATAATAGGTCATCTCAAAAAACCACAACCAGTTTTTATCCACAACGTTTCGGATTTATTTTAATCCTTCCTCAGGTGAGTTAACACAATGGTTAAAAAAAGTGGTCGTCAGTCATTAATATTTTGTAACAGTTTATTTAAAAAAAGAGCCAGTGTGGTACTTATTCAGACTGGCTCTTTTTTTAAAATAAATTGTTATAAAATATTAATGACTGACGACCACTTTTTTAACCATTGCGTTAACTCACCTGAGGAAGGATTAAAATAAATCCGAAACGTTGTGGATAAAAACTGGTTGTGTTTTTTGAGATGACCTATTATCCCACCTTCAAGAAGGAAGAATCATAAGATTAACTGTTGAGGTCAAAATATAAGAAAACATCGTTACAAATTTAAATTTGGATGAATGCAGCTCAAACCATGCATAACATCAATAGTTTGGAGGGAGAAAGCATTAATGAATGCATGGTGTAGCAATGGTTTCAGTTTTCCTCTTGGAGATCTCAAAGACAGGGAAGGTCGCAGTTATGAACAACGACTAACTCAAAATGTCGACTGAAAGAAAATTCACATAAGAGAACATGGGAAATTGCGGAAGAGTTTAGTGTTGACCACTCAATCATTGTTCGCCATCTGGAGCAAATTGGTAAAGTAAAGAAGAGAAAAGTGGGTACTACTAACTGAAGCCCAAAGAAATCGACGCTTTGAAATTTGCACGTCTCTTCTGCGCCACCAAAACTATTCGTTTCTCGACTGAATTATCAGGTGCCAGGTATGATGAAGCAGCAAAACACTGCACCCAACAAAGATTATGATGACTGGTGGTGTACTGCTGGGGTTGTTCACTATAATTTCATGAAATAACCTAACACAGCAGAGAAATATTGCCTAGAATTGACAAAATGCACGGGAAACTGCAACATCTTTGTCCAGCGTTGGTAAACCGTAAGGGGCCGATTCTTCTTCACAATAACACCAGGGTACATGTTGCATTGCCGACCCTGCGGAAACTTAAGGACTTAAGATATGATACCTTACCGCACCCTCAGTATTCAACTGACCTCTTGCCTACAGACTTCCACTTTTTTAGGCATTTTGATCATTTCTTAAGGGGGGTTACAATTTTTAGAGAACACGGTGAAGCTGATAATGCCTTCCAAGACTTTATTGTGAGTCAAAAAATAAAATAAAGATTTTTATGTCAGCGAAATAAAAGCGCTTATTACATATCGGCAGATGTATAGATTGTGATGGAAAATATTTCAAATGAATTTTCTTTATTTTATAAAATTTAAAAATAGTTTTGACCGCCTTTTCAAAACCTGCATTATTTTTGCACCATCCTAACATACACACAATGATTAAACTTGGGATTTTACAAAAGTACCTTGCTTAAATCGCTCGGCATCGGTTCAGTCCAAAAAAAGTCATGGTTCAATGCAGAATCAGAATCGCATCGCTTCTGAGGGTCCAAAATAAGGAGTTTGTCGAGTAAATCACAGGCGTACGGGTCTTTGACGTAAGGTCTCAGCCTTTCTTTAACCTGTAACATCAGACAACATTACAGTATAAAAAGTGACTACCATCATCATACATACTTTTCTCTTTTGTCCTCTGGATAATTCAATTTTGTTGTACAGCTCTAGAGATTCCACACCGGGCCAAACCTCAGTCGTTATCGAACCGCACAACTGTGATATAAGCGACAGCTGCTGCGATTCAGAGCTGCCTTGCATTATCGGCGACCTAGTCCACATTTCTGCCATAATACAACCGGCACCCCACAAATCGACCGGGGGGCCGTAATTTCTATCTCCTAGTAATAGTTCAGGCGGTCTATACCAAAGTGTGACAACCCGATTGGTATATCTAAAAGAAAACAAATCGTTTACACACTGTTATAATGATCTACATGTTTGATCGTACCTGTTCACTTGGCCGTTTTTCGTTTGACTGAAGGCTCTTGCCAGACCAAAATCTGCCAATTTCAAAACTCCCGATTTAGTTATCAACACATTCGCAGCCTTCATGTCCCTATGAAGGATCTAACATGGAAAACACAATTGCATTCAACAGATTATGATATGATTCAACAAGAAGAAAAACAAATATAATTACTTTATTACTATGTATATAATACAAGCCGTTTAACAACTGCTGAACAACTCTCTTGATCTCTCCGAGGTTGAATTTAACGTTGACATTCGACAAGAGACCTGCCAGATCGTGCTCACAGAAGTCGAATACGAGATAAAACGTCGAGCGATACTTATTGTCATGGGTGGCTGAAGAAAGCATAGAAAAATCAGTAAACAAATTGAGACAGCATCTTGCACAACGACAAACCTTTGGTCCTACATATTTCTATCAGATTGACGACATTTTCATGTTTCAACAATTGAAGAATTCTTATTTCTCTAAGAGCCGTAATCGGAAACTGAAAAACATAGACACGAGGTGTAATGAAATTGTAAAAACCTACAAATATATAAATGTCAGACGTATACCCCTTCTTTTTCATTGTCCATCAGTACTTTCTTCATGGCGACTACTTTTGAAGGGTTTTTCTTGTCTTTTGCTTTGAACACCTCCCTGAAATAAAAAAAGAGTTAAAGTAGAAGAAACGGGACTTGGGTCAAGTTGTTTTAACACTATTTTATCTTAGTCGCGATCCGTGCCGTGGGGTGCTAAAATGCTAAACCCTTGTCGGACGCAACTGAAGAAAATCGTGTTAAGCTCTACGTTCTCACCCGAAAGTCCCTTGGCCGATTTTCGTCAGCTTTTCATACTTGGTTGACTCGTCGCAGAACGGGAAGTCGTACTCTTCGATGTACTTCTCTTTCTCCTTGGTGTTCATTTTGATAAAAGATGAATTTTCTACTCTGCAAGTCATCATTTCAATTGGGGCGAAGAGAACAATTTGAGATAAATCGGGTCCGTAGTGTCAGAACATTTTCCAGAAGCAGTTATGCCTGCGTGTTTTCCACTTGCCCACTGGGATTAACAGGACGTGTTTATAAACTAAAAGACATACAGAAAAAGACGTAAAACAGTGCAGGAAAGGTAAGTGAAAGGTAACAGTTTTACGACATCCACTATTCAGCAATCCGATTCAAGGTTCAGCAGGTAAATGCACCCATATCGATACCCGTATTCGATCCACACAGCGGGGGCAGCAGCAGCAGTTCCTGTTTTCAGCAAACTAAACTAGCACAGAAGTGACGTTGACCATCGAAATTTAAATTAAATAAATTATTTATTAATAAACTGAAGCCATTGTGGATGATGATGATGGATACTAGGAAATGGGGCTATTTTTGTTTCCCAATCGCTACAATCTTCATGCTTATTGTACTTTCCTAGTTCCTTAGTTCAACTAGGAATTGGGGGTTTTTGTTTCCCAAATACTGCAGGCTTCCAGGCTTATTGCACTTTCCTAGTTCATTAGTATAGTCAATCAACTAGATCCTTCTTCTAACAAGTACTAGGTCATTGATGATGATGATAATGAATGCTAGGAATTGGGAGTTGTTGTTCCCCAGCCACTGCACCCCTTCTAGCTTACTGTCCTTTCCTAGTTCCTTAGTTCAGTCAATCAACTTGATCTTTATCCTAACAAGTACTAGGTCATTGATGGTGATGGTGATGATGATGATGATAATGAATACTAGGAATTGGGGGTTTTTGTTTCCCAAATACTGCAGGCCTTCTCGCTTACTGTACTTTCCTAGTTACTTAGTTCAGTCAATCAACTTGATGGTGATGATAATGATGATGATAATGAATACTAGGAATTGGAAGTTTTTGTTCCCCAGCCACTGCAGCCCTTCTGGCTTACTGTCCTTTCCTAGTTCCTTAGTTCAATCAATAAACTTGATCTTTATCCTAACAAGTACTAGGTCATCGATGGTGATGATAATGATAATGAATACTAGGAATTGGGGGTTTTTGTTTCCCAGGCACTGTAGCTTGCAGGCATGTACTTTCGTAAATCCTTAGTTCAGTCAGTCAACTTGATCTTTCTCTTAACAACTAGGTCATTGATGATGATGATGATAAGAGATACTAGGAAGTGGGAGATTCCCCAACAACTGCAGGCCTTCTGACTTATTGTACTTTACTCGACCCTAGTTCAATTATATTTCATTATGTTTGTAATAATAAGTTTTCATATCACTTATTTAACTTGCACTTCTGTACAAATTTTCATATTTAACTTTTTATTATTTCTGCAATAACAATGATAAAATATGATCTTTTTTAGTAATAATTATATGAAACATTTTTTCAAGCTATTTTCTTACTTTAAATAAATACTTAAATAATTTTTCCTTTGTTTTCTTAGTTTTGCTTTTGTATTATTATATTTTATACATTATATATTTATATATTTAAACATTTTTGTAAATTGGATTAATTCTGTAAAATATATTATTTTATTATGTTTTATAATTATTATTACTATTACTATTATTATTCTTTTACTATGTTTATAAAACTAAATTTATTTCTAATATATTTACAGGCTCAATGCCCTATTGTACATTTAAAATAAATAAAGTTAATAAATAAATAAATTCTTAACAATCATAAAAGATTAAAAACAAAGAATCGATTATTTTGTAATCTTAGAAAATCGTAAAACGTTTAGAAAAATAGAATAAGAGCAAAACTTGTTTTATATTGGTAAAATTGGTTTATATTTCTTTGAAAAACATATAAAATGTTGTTTTAAAAAGTTATGATACAAAATGACTGGTTTTTCATGCAAAACTTTTTATAGTGGATTGTGATCCGTAAATAAATAAATAAATAAAACTAGGAATAGTAATATATCGAGTAATCGATTGGTGAACGTAGGACGAGGATCTAACCGGCTGTGGCGTTCTTCCAAGTACGCACCTTATCATCTGTCATTCAGTTCCTCCCAAGTCCCAAGTCTTAATATTTCTCCAGAAGTACAGATCCTCCTCGCGAGCAGAACTCAATCGATAATCGCAGAATATGATCCTCCTGTCGTAGTGCGATTTACGGGGAAATTTTTGGGCGGTGGGACGACGGCGAAGAGCCAGTTTTTATGTCAGAAAGCAGACCGTTCGTCGTTTTTCCGTTCGCCAGCGAAGTGTCACATCGTGTGTAGTAGCGTTTCGTAGATTTCGCCCTTCACGGCAACCCCACGTTTCCACTTGTTTTAACTTGTGAGCGTCCGGTCGAGTGACTACATCCTCGAAAATGGAAGGCGGTTTCAACTCGTACCAGAACGGTTCTGACCGGAGGGATTTCAACCAGACGGCCCAGAAGATAGGCACCAACATCCAGAAGATATTGCAGAACGGTGAGTGTGGACGTTTCCCACCTTCACTCGGCCGTATTTTGCACGTCTAATTGCGTCGATTCGGCTTTGTTAACACAAATTGCATAACTCGCTCCCACGAAGGCGAAAACAAAAGGGATCGACGAATTGCACGAAATTGCACTTAGCACAAAGTTGAAGAAAAATGAACCAATGAATCGCAATAATCGAAACTTTCGTATTTGTCCTTCTTCCCCGTCTAACGGAATTTACACAATTTTAAAAATCCTGCGACATTTAACGATTAGAAATTTAAACTTGTCAAAAAAACAACTTACAACACTGATTTTATTCAACTTTACTGTAATAACTCCGATAAGATGTAAAAATTATACGATTCAAATAGTGACGTAGATCTAGGCGTGTATTTAGGTTAGAGTAGGTGTATTTACTGGAAAGAATGTATTTCGATTGGATTGGATTTATTTAGGCTCAACATTGTACATGTATTTTATTTAAGTCACGAATGACCTCCCTTAATTAGTTCAATCGATTAAGGAGAGAGAGAGAGAGAGAGTGAGTGAGTGAGTGAGTGAGTGGAGAAGGAGTAAGAGAAATGGAAAGAAAGAAAGAGAAGAGAAGAAGAGAGTGTAAAAAGAAAGAGAGAGAGGGGGTGAGTGGAGAATGAGTGACTAAGAGAAATGGAAAGAAAGAAAGAGAAGAAGAGAGTGTGTAAGATGAGTGAGAGAGTAAAGAGAGAGAAGACAAGGAGAGTGAGAGGGGGGTGTAATTGGACAAGGAGTTAGTAAAAGAAATGGAAAGAAAGAAAGAGAAAAGGAGAATGTGTAAGAGTAGAGAGAGTGTAAGAATAAAGATAGAGAGTAAGAGTTTAGAGAGAGAGAGGGTGAGAGCGTAAAGAGAGAGTAAAGAGAGAGAGGGTGAGGGGGGAGTGATTTGACAAGGAGTTAGTAAAAGAAATGGAAAGAAAGAGAAGAGGAGAGTGTGTAAGACGAGTGAGAGAATGTAAAAGTAAAGATAGAGAGTAAGAGTATATAGAGAGAGGGCGAGAGTGTAAAGGGAGAGTGAGAGAGTAAAGAGAGAGAGTGAAAGAGGGGGGGGGGGAGTGATTTGACAAGGAGTTAGTAAAAGAAATGGAAAGAAAGAGAAGAGGAGAGTGTGTAAGACGAGTGAAAGAATGTAAGAGTAAAGATAGAGAGTGAGAGTATAGAGAGAAAGGGTGAGGGCGTAAAGAGAGAGTAAGAGAATAAAGAGAGAGAGAGTGAGAGGGGGGGGAGTGATTGGACAAGGAGTTAGTAAAAGAAATGGAAAGAAAGAAAGAGAAGAGGAGGGTGTGTAAGAGAAAAGATAGAGAGTAAGAGAATAGAGAGCGAGGGTGAGAGCTTAAAGAGAGAGTGAGAGAGTGTAAGAGTAAAGAGAGCGAGAGAGGTGTAAGAATAAAGAGAGATTGATTGATTAAAAGTTTTATTTAATCACGCACAGTTTCTTCCACTTAACGTTAGTAGTAACAATTTACATTATACATACATTTTGTGCAGACTCTTTTGTTTAGAGAATGCAAAAACACATAATATAAAACATATTAGTAATTAATTTATGATTCCATGATTTTATGATGGTTTTAGTTATTTTCCATCAGAAGTTTTAGATATTTTCTCATGAAAGTACGAAAACTGTTCTCAGAGGAGTTATTTGGAACTTAACCAAACAGCTTTATGCTGGTAATTAAGAAGAGCTGGAGAATGTTTTAGTTCTATGAATTGGAATTTCAAATGTATTGTTTTGTTTTAAGTTGAATGTTTTAATTTTTTTTCTTATATTTAACGAATAGATAGTTCGGTTGTTTTGAGTGTATAATTTTAGATATTGTTGATATTATGGTTATTTTTTGTAATATCTTAACATATTTACTCTCTTACATTTATCATATATAATACTATCGTACTTTAGTCTTAATGTATATCTTGCACATGCGTTTTGTGCTATTTGTGCTATTTGTATATCACGTTTGTTTGTATCAGATACATTATGGGTGCACTGTATTGCAAATGAAGTGTTATGATTGAATTAACTATTTTCTTTCTAACGAACACATTACTTGTTAATATGATTTTATTAAAACAGTACAAAAGTGAATAGATTTTACTAACAAGTCTAGTTTGTCTTACCCAATTGAGTTTATGGTCTATTGAGACACCTAGTGTCTTTATTGCATTTTCATATCTTATTATGTCATTCTCTAGTATTATTGGATCAATATTCATATACTCCAATTTATACACAAGTTGTGGATGCCCAACAATCATAGTTACATTTACTAGGATTAATTATTTAACTATGATTTTGTGCCTGTTTATTTAGAGTTAGTAGATCCTGGTTAACTTTAATAATTGCTTCATTTATATCTTCCAACTTTGAGCTTATATAAATGTTAAGATTGTCGGCGAATATTCCATAATAACATTTAGATATGGCACTGTTAATTTTATTGACATATAAAATTAATGACAATTAATTAAGGTTTTTAGTTGAGATGAAAAAAAGTTAATGGCACGAGAGGGATTCGAACCCACGATCTTTGGCTAGATACGCCGCTGCTGTACCACCTGAGATATCGTGACCTCCATCCACTCGGGCATCAACTCCCCATCTCAACCCCACCTTATGAGTTTTCCCTCTTGCCATTTTTCAATTAATTGCTTAATTAATTGTCATGTATTAATTGGTCAAGCGGACCACGAAAGTAGTGAATTAATGATAAAATTAATAGCGTAGCTGACAGATTTGTTCCTTGTGGAACTCCATGGTTTATAGTTACCCAAGATGAAAATTCATTTTTAAATGTCTTTATGCACATCGTTCGATTAGAAATATCGGATGAGAACCAATTAATAGTGTTATTTGTAAAATTAAATGATTTTAGAATAGCCAACAATAGTTCATGATTTATAATATTGAGTGCATGTTTAAAATCAATGACTAAAAATAGTTTGATTGCTTAAGTCAATGTTTTTTCTTATTACATCTGTTAGTTCTATGACTGCTGTCTGTGTACTGTGATTATGTATAAAAGCTGATTGATTGTAATTTAATAGTGATGAATTAGTGGTTAAGAATTTATCCATTTGTTTATATATAATTCAATTAATTAAGGTTTTTAGTTGAGATAAAAAGTCAATCCCATCTCAACCCTACCTTTTGAATTTTCCCTCCTTTTTGCCATTTTTCAATTGTCGTGTAATCTATTCGATTCTCAGCGACAAATGAAATGGCCATGGAGAGCTTTAGTGAAGTGTACTTCATTTTAATTCATTAAATTCACTATTTTTCGTGGTCCGCTTGACCAATTAATATATTTCAATTAATTAAGGTTTTTAGTTGAGATAAAAAAGTCAATGGCATGAACGGGATTTGAACCCACGATCTTCGGCTTGATACGCCGCTGCTCTACCACTTGAGCTATCATGACCTCGATCCACTCGGACACTAAAACACAAAAAGGAGGGAAAATTCAAAAGCTGGGTTTGAGATGGGAAGTTAGTGTCCGAGTGGATCGAGGTCACGATAGCTCAAGTGGTAGAGCAGCGGCGTATCTAGCCGAAGATCGTGGGTTCAAATCCCGCTCGTGACATTGACTTTTTTATCTCAACTAAAAACCTTAATTAATTGAAATATATTAATTGGTCAAGCGGACCACGAAAAATAGTGAATTTATACATCATTTTATCAAAATCGAAATAATGCTAATAGCACAGTAAGATTCACATTTGTTAGCTGGGTAATTTTTAACAATAGGTATAATACTAATAGACTTGCAGTCTACGTCATAATTTTTCTCGATCTAACAGGACCTAACAGAGTTAACACAAAGATTGTGAATACCCGTAGATGTAGATATAGTTTCAAGGTATAGTATACTGCGCCCTGTAGAGCTATTATCCCCCTTGCTCTGCCTAAAGCACATCGGTGAGTCCTATTTCATCAAGAAACTTGATTAATAGGCCCGGTTGCAATAGTTGAAGCTCTTCTATGGTCATATTATACATCCCAAAATATTTCTTCTTGCAGGCTAGTGTAGCTCCACAGATTGTTAGTAGATGTGTTGGTGACTCTTCTACCTCTTTGCAGAATCTGCATGTGCCGCCTTGGATTATTCCAATTTTCTTTAAGTGTACATTTAACTTGCAGTGTCATGTTAGGAATCCTATTAGAATTCGCAGTTTGTTCCTGCTTCCCTTGATGCATTCTGTAATTTCTTTCCTTCCAAAATTGGTTAGAAGATTCTTGGATTGTCTGTGTCCAATGAGTGAATTCCATAGTTCCTTCATTTTCTTTTTTTCCTTCTGTCTGAGATACTCATTAATAGTGTAGGTTTCTATGCCACAGAAGAGTTCGGGTCATGTAGCAGCCCCTTTTCTTGAAAGGGTGCCCGCTTTCTCGTCGCCTTCTACTCCCATGTGTCCTGGGACCCAGCAGAGGGTGAATACCCGTACTGTATGCTTTTTCCAGATATCAGGGTAAATTAAACTACCAATAGAAGCATTGTAGATGTGACATAATATTTCAGGGATATCATTTATTATTATTTTTAGGAACGAGAATGAGATGCCATCAGGTCCAACTCAATTTGATTTTAAGTTATTGAAAATTTTTGTAATTTCTGTGTTTGTTATCGAGTTTAATTCAAATTTGCCTGCCAATGAAGGAGTATAGTTGTCGTTGATATTATAAGAATCGATTATGTTTTGATTGAATGCATTATTAATCCCCAGCTGGCAGAATTAATTTAAGATATTAATATCAATAGCTAAGTCCTGAGTATGATTCTTGTCGTTTCGTAACCCCCAACTCTTCGCATATTTCCAGAATATTTAGAATTTTTTAGCGATTGCAACTGAGATACATTTACCATATATTTAGAGCTTCTAGTAAGATTTTGTACTCTGTTCCTAAATATCTTAAAAAGTTATCAGAGCCTGTCACTTCTCACCGTCCACTGCCAAGAAAAAAAAGTTCTTACCTATTGTTTCTGTGGACGAACTCATTTATTGTTCTAGTTTTTTGGTTTTTATCGTACATCTTGTTACTTTTATATTATTTATTTTAGTTTATACTTTTTATTATGTTTTGTAAGCTTATTTCTGTTCTTTTTGGACCTTGTAAAGCTTATATTATAAATGAATAAATTTTATGTGTGACTAACTGTTTTCTTCCTGCAGTTGTGTCTATGAAAAAGATGGTCAACGTACTGGGGACTTTTCAGGAAACTCCTGAACTCAGACTGAAACTGTAATTAAATGAATTCTATTACAAACTTATAATGCCTGTACATTTATTAATATTTTATTTGTAGGCATCAAATACAACATTACACCAATAATTTAGCGACAGACACTTCAGACAGTCTGAAGACGCTTAGCAACATTCCATTCCCACAGTCGACAGAAAATGTAAGCGATCACGATTGATTAAGTGTTTGAAAAGATTTGATTTTTTGTAATGTATTTTACAGAAAGAGTATAAAATGCAAAAAGAAAGGCTTGTGGAAGAATTCATGTCGGCTCTCAATGCTTTCCAAGAGTCTCAGCGTCTTGCCCTTGAAAAAGAAAAGAAGGATATCGCTCAAAAGAATGTGACCTCTTTACTTCCACCCCCTAACTCCACGCATGGAACGTCCCATGGCGGTAAGCAGCCCGAGGACCTTTTTTTTTGTCTATTGATAATTTATTCAAATACTTGTTTATTTTTACTATATGAACTGTCAATTATTTTTTTCAGACCAACTAATAGAGCTTACACCCAGTGTAAAGACCCAGGCGCAGCTCCAGCAGGAGGAAAGGGATATTCGACTTCTTGAGCAGCAGAGGGCGGAAATGTTACAATTGGAGGTATTATTTATCAATTTTCACATATTTAATTTCTCACAGTTACACGCTTTACAAGCAGTCAGGTTACATCATATGACAAATTTGTGTTTTAAAACACCAATCTTTTCCATGAGACAAGAATTGTTTGTTCCAAGCCAGTATTTTTCAGGTAAGTTCTGTTCTAATATTTTATTGAAAATTGTTAATTTTATGTTATTTACATTTTTTAAATTATCTCAGCTGTTTACAAAATTTTGTGTCCACTATTTGCAAATTCTCGGTACTAAAGCTTAGCATCCTCTTTGGTCATTTTCAGTTTAGAAAATATAACGAAATAAACATGTATTTGTTCTTAATTATGAATTTATTTATACTGCTTGCCAACATTTATATTTATTTCGGGAACAAATGACAGAAGTAATTGAACAAAAGACATGTAGTGACAACAGTTTTCTCCATGACACAAGGTATGGAAATTCATGGTAAGCTCTTGTTCGGGCTCGAAAGCAATACATGTTTTGAAATGTTTTAAGATGAATTAAGGCATCACCTACAACAAAAATGAAAAAAACTAGTCTCGATCAGACTACAAGGTCATCTCAACTAAGTGGTATAAGGAAGAATACCACTTTTGATGAAAAAATCGGTAAAAAATCTGATGACAGTAAGCAAGAATCTGTTCATATTAAAACTGAACTGGCCTCGAAGTCTTCAAACACTACCACTGTAGACAAACAGATACAGACAGTCTCGCCGTCGTTCACAAAACAAAATAGGTTAATCCCAAAAGTTACCGACATTGAGAAATTAATTCCGTTAATAGTAAATACTTGTAAAAATTGTGGTTACAAGAACGATAAAAGTGAAACGAAACTTCAAGGTGAGACCCTTGGGGCTATATTTGCAAAGTGTAGGGAGGAATTACTTGGACAAAACCCTGCTTTAGATAGTGTGGACTTCTGCCCAGACATCCCGAAAAATTCAACAAAACCAATATCTATTGTACAATATGACAATACCGATAGCTCAAAACCTCTCACATTTCCAACTGCAACTGCTGCTTCAGTTCTGTATGAGGACGAAGGTGAAAAAAAAGCTGTGACACAAGAGTCCGAACACTCAAACAATGCTGCATCAAGTGAAAATGATACTACATCAGAAACGTTATCCACAGAAAAGAAAAAACAAAGTGACCCTGATACACAAAAATCAGAGTCTCAAGTTACATCTCCACTGGTCAAAACTGATGAAACACCCAAATCACCTTCTAAATCCACTATCAGTTCTACTAAGTCGAAGAAAAGCATTTTTAATCGAAAAACGTCAATAACCACTAAAAATAAAAAGGTGTATAAATCTTATGGCAAATACATTGCTGAAGAGTTAAGGTCCATGCCACCAGAAAAAGCTGTAGTTTGTCAACGTCTAATTAACGAAACTTTAACACATGGATTAATGGGGCAGTTAAATAATACATCAAGAGTCACTTCAAAAAAATAAAAATTACATGTCACCAACCCATTTTTTCACATTATTTTTTGAAAGTTAAGTTATTGTTAAACTTTTGGAGGAAGTTACTGGCACCCCAAGGAGTCATGTAACCTCGTAGCCAAAGTTAAAAGTAGTTTTTGGAGGTATACCGATGAACTAACCAACTTTTTTTTTTAAACATATTCAAATGATAGTTTTATATAATAATATTATTTTTTCTTTTGAAGCACACTTTTATCATCTTGTTCCAAGATAGCAGCTACAGTATTTTCTTTTATTAGTCTTTCTACAGTTGCTACAGCACAGCTCTATAGAATAAAATATAGAAAGCTATATACAGTGCTACTCATCACTGTAACGTATAGGCCCCGGGTTTGATAATCCTGTGGCCCTACATGTTGCAAACCCTTCTTAAAAAAAAATAAAAAATCTTTTAAGGTTTATATATTATTGTTAAGGTAAATTAAAAAGTGCTGGTAAATTCAAATGCTTCAAAAATCTACTGAAACTAAAAGCGATTTTGAATTTACCTAAACAATAATGTGTGGTGATTAGTGACCGTTAATCGATATTTATTTAGAAATCGTGAGATGCGGTCTGGTGTGATGTAGGTTTCAGAAAAACATTTTCTTTATCGTGCCAACGTTTCGATCTTTATTGAGATCATCTTCGGGGCCTGGGATTTACAAACATTGTTTACATATTACAATTACATTTTGGATGTGGAAAAGTGAATTTATACAATGCAAAATATATTTTATATATTCAATCAAAGTATTTCTACTCACTTAAAAACTTTCTAAATAAATACTAAACAATCATTATTCGGAAATCGTGAGATGAGGTCTGGTGTGATGTAGGTTTCAGAAAAACATTTTCTTTATCGTGCCAATGTTTCGATCTTTATTTTCTTGAGAACCTTTTTCTTGAGTTTTGATCTTTATTGAGATCATCGCCAGGGTCTGGGATTTACAAACATTGTTTGTTTAAATTTAACAAATACAGAAAATATTTTTTTATATTCAGTCAATCAATTTATAATCAATAAAAAAAATATTTTTTTTTTGCATTGTATAAATTCACTTTTTTCCACATCCTACATGTATTTGTTAAATTTAAACAATATTTATAAATCCCAGGCCCTGAAGATGATCTCAATAAAGATCAAAACTCAAGAAAAAGGAGGGAAAATTCAAAAGGTGAGGTTTAGATGGGAAGTTAGTGTCCGAGTGGATCGAGGTCACGATAGCTCAAGTGGTAGACCAGCGGCGTATCTAGCCAAAGATCGTGGGTTCGAATCCCGCTCGTGCCATTGACTTTTTATCTCAACTAACAACCTTAATTAATTGGTCAAGCAGACCACGAAATTAGTGAATTTAATGATTAAAAATGAAGTATACTTCACTAAAGCTCTCCATCGCCATTTCATTTGTCGTCGAGAATCCAATCCAATTACATGACATTTGAAAAATGGCAAAAAGGACGGAAAATTCAAAAGGTGCAGTTGAGATGGGAAGTTGGTGTCCGAGTGGATCGAGGTCACGATAGCTCAAGTGGGAGAGCAGTGGCGTATCTAGCCGAAGATCGTGGGTTCAAATCCCGCTCGTGCCATTGACTTTTTTTATCTCAACTAACAACCTTAATTAATTGTAATATATTAATTGATCAAGCGGACCACAAAATTAGTGAATTTAAAGATCAAAACGTTGGCACGATAAAGAAAATGTTTTTCTGAAACCTACATCACACCAGACCGCATCTCACTATTTCCGAATAATCATCGACTAACAGTTATTAATCATCACACACTAAACAATAATATATTATTTTAAAAAAAATCAATTTATTATTTTTTATATTACATACTTTAATGTTACAACTTGATTTTGTTTCTCCTTGTCAAACCAATAATTCTGTCTAAAAGTGGTATATATATGACTCATGTTTATTGGATAAATCCCAGAATTTAAATGTGGGCTATAAATAAGATTTATAAATAGTTAATTGTTTCAAAGATTGAAATGGAATCGTTAACCACTTTGATACTATTATATTTTATGTAGAATAGCCCCATTAATAAAAATGGTGTTATTTCACTTCAATTTCTTTATTTCAGGCCAGTTAAAATTACAAACATGAAAAGGACACCTTCCAAGCTACACGTTTCGGGATATAGTATGGGAAGTCAAATTCCGTTTAAGGGCTTAGTTTATACACCAAAGAAGGAAAAGTCCTTTGATTACAAGTATTACGGGAAAAGGCTTGCATTTCATTTGGAGAATATGACGCCCAAAATGGCCAGTCATTGTGTTAACTTAATAAACAATATCATCTACCTCTCAAAAACTGAATCATTGGACCGAACATCGATTATCTCGGTGAACCCACTTGATGAATCACGTAACGATTAAAACAAAATAAATTTTTTTATAACTTGCTTTTTCTTTCTTTTTTAAAACTTATCAAGAATTCAAATTTTCTTGGTTATAAAAAAATATAAAATAATCACCTGATCAACTGTTTATAGAAATAAAACATGACAAACTAATATAATTTTTTGGGGGGGTGATTACTTTCCAGTAGTTTCAGATCGTAAATATGTATTTATACTTTTAACAAATATGGTTTTGTATCGCTGTTGTGTGTGTAATAATGAAGCAGACACAGTCCAGTCTAGACAGCAGTTCTGAAACGTCTTCAAAAATATCTTCTAGCAAAGGATCTCTCCGTAGTCTGAAAGTTGACAGGAACTGGCGCTTCTGTGGTAAAGGGTATGGTTCCTACGGGAAAACGGTTGCCGATTATTTATCCCTCATGCCTCCACACATGGCTTTGTTAACATTGAATGTGATAAACGATGTGATTTATCAAGCCAAAATAGGGAAATTGAAGAGATCATCAAGAATTGCAACTGACAAAGAAAATCCACTAGATGAAAAGAAAGAGGATTAAAAGTATGGTGTAAAATAAAAGTTTAACAAGATTGTGTGCATACTTTTTTAAAACAATTGTATACCATTTTTTTTATTATTATTGTTCAGAGCAAAATCACACGCTTCACGCCAAAAGACTTCTTCTGCACTTCTGATCCAGTTAACACATTAATAAGGCTGTGTAATTCAAGAGATAAAAGCCATACAAAAAGATGGCAGTTCACTCAAAACCAATTTTGGAGTTCACAAAAGTGATCATTGGTTTTTTTAGAAACTGGACATAAAAGAGTTGGAAAGCTAAAAATGTTGAACTTGTTAACTATTTGAGGCAAGCAGTACCAACCCTGTTCAAAACTGAGTACAACTGCCACCAAAAGACACCCGAATTATTAAAAATACAGATCTCAATAAGTTGTGAAAAGAACAACAGACTAGAAAAGAACAGTTTCATGTGATTTTTCTCATCTGGGAATAAATTAATTTTATACAAATTAAAACTTTTTCTAAATAAAAAGTAATAGAACAATTATTTGCTCACAATCTAGCCGATTGCTGTCAGTGCGGTAATCTGGAAGCTTTGCAAATCCTACAAATACACTTCATTTCTCACATTTGCTTATTGCAAATGCTATGCAATCTTTCCAGTGAAGCTCAACTATAATAAGTTTAATCCTCTGGCAAAGTTAAGATATTTTGACCTTCCTCTTGGCAAATAGTCTTCTTGGAATCTAATCGGGTTAATGCAAGCAATTCTTAAGTCAATAAGCAGAATAAAAGATTAAATTTCATTTCCATATTTTTTAATAAAATACAAATATTTTTGTTGAATGTTTTCTTTGGTTTCATGGTGGAATGACTTGAAAGTGGTTAGGGATAGATTTTATTTAAAAAATTTAAACTTGTTACTTGTACATCACGCTAAAATGTTGTAACATGTCTTTGCCAACATTATGAGCCTACAATTAATTAAGGTTTTTAGTTGAGATGAAAAAAAGTTAATGGCACGAGCGGGATTCGAACCCACGACCTTTGAATGTTAGTGTCCGAGTGGATCGAGGTCACGATAGCTCAGGTGGTAGAGCAGCGGCGTATCTAGCCGAAGGTCGTGGGTTCGAATCCCGCTCGTGCCATTAACTTTTTTTCATCTCAACTAAAAACCTTAATTAATTGTAATGTATTAATTGGTCAAGCAGACCACGAAATTAGTGAATTTAAATTATGAACCTATTTGTGTTATGATTGATTAGTTTTGAGCGTTGATTATTTCAGTTCAATTTGTAAAATACAATTTATGTTTTAGGACGATATAAGCAAAGTGAATAATATTTTTAAAGAACTTGGGAATATGGTTCACAATCAAGGCGAGTTTGTTGATAGTATAGAAGCAAATGTTGAATCAGCGAGCGTTTTTGTTTCTGAAGGTGCTACACAGTTAAGAGAGGCCCACAGATTGAAGGTATGCCTTTTTTGTTTTTCTTTTTAAAGATTTTAACTATCATATATTGTATAATTTTTTCTCCTTTTAATTTTCAGAGCAAGTTGAGGAAATATAAATGTATTCTGTTGTTAATCCCATTGACTTTTCTTATTTGCCTTATAATATTTCTTTCTTGGAATTCAAATTAAAAACATCAAATGGTATATTTTGTAGTATAAAAAATGAATTGCTGTTATTAATTTATTCCCCGCTAATTTCAGGTAGTTGACAAAAATTTTAACCTTTGGAATGTAAAAGTAATTTTCTCATCTACTAATCGAAATTAAAAATTAATCTGTAAAGGCAACAACTTAAAACTTTTCATGAAATGAGAAAATCTTTGTGAGAATTTTTTGCCCAAACCTTTCCTGTTGGCTGCTATACAACAAAAACTTTTTTTTTTTTTTTTTGTATAAGGCTAAAAAATTCTGTGATACAATGAAAGTTAATTTTTATTTCTTTATTGTGAAAGAGTGTATCCTTTATCTGAAAGATGGATTTGTCTCGGATGTAAAAGGTATATAAAAAAATGTCCCTTTCTCAAGTTCGATTTTTATAATGTTGAGAGGAAAACATTTTGAGAACAACATTGCTATCGAATTCTGATGTAAATATTTAAGAAGATTAGAACCGATTGTGAGCTAGTATCTTCATTTCTATTTATTTGAAGAAACCCTCTAATTTTTTTTCTTTTTAAAGAAAGACATTATATACCAAACAATGTTTGCTAAAAGGGTGTGATAAGATTATTAAGCAGATAATTTTGATACGATAAAATTATACTTTCGTCTTTGTTTTCTGTAATTCTATATATTAAATGTTGAATTAATGCTTTAAAAGCTTTTAATATTAATTTATTTAAAAAAATCCAACATAAGAAGCTTAGCAATAGGAATTTAAAAAAAATTGTTTTTTTACAAATAAAACTTTGTATTTTCTTAAAAATGAACACACTAAATCACATGTTTTGTTTTGAGCATTTTGAAAATGTTGCACTTGTACACGGCCAGAGCAAAAGTATTGGGTAAATTTATAGTTTGTTAGTTAGATATTTGTTTTATTGGTTTCTCTTGTTAAATGAATTCATATAAATTTGTATTGTTAATTGTTTTATATTCTTCCAAGGCACATAACCTATCTGAAACTACATAAAATTTGAAAGAAAGAAATGCCCATAAAGACCAAAAAACCCTGTACACTAGTATTTTTTTTATTTCAAACTATATCCAGTATTTTTTATTGTTTTATTAATTACACATACTTATTTTAATGTAAAACAAACAAAATCAGAAATTCATGAGTTATAGTAAAACTTATTATGATTTCAAAGAAAAAACAAGAAAATTCATGACAACACTGGAAAATCTTAGTGATAGAATAAAACTAACAATTTATTCTATCACTAAACGATTTTCTGGCATTTTGGTGAATTTTCTTTCAAAACATTATAATTGAATAATTTTCATTAAAATTCATTAATTTCTTATCTTGTTTGATTTATATTACAATAATTATGTGGTAATTAATATAATGATCAAAATACATTTAGTTTGAAATAAATAACAAAATGTATACGGTGTCGGTTTTTTAAAAATCTTCTATAACGGATGAATTGTCAATGTTTCTGGAAGCAGTTAGGTAATGTTAAGAATTTAATAAGTATTACATTTTTTCTATATAATCAAAACTAAACATCACCCTTCTAACAATCATTATGTTTGACATACTGCACATTTGGTCAGCTAGCTCCTTAAATTATTTATATTTAAATGCTAATGATTGGAATAATACAATCTTTAGGTTGATGCAATTTTTTTACAATAAATATTTACCCTGTTAAAATGTTAAATGTTTATACAGATTACTTAAATATCATATACATATTATATATTTATAAAATTATTTCTTTGAGTGTTGTTTTTATTTATTCAATTTTTTTATAATATCCAGTGTATTTTTTGTTATGTAAACTTAGTTATGATAGTCAAAACATTTTTATTGTAAAAAGTATATTGTACATATGTGATATAATAGAATAAATTACATTACAAAAAAAAGTTTTCTTTATGACATCTTATTAACAATTATAAATACAGACATGATTATGTTTTATAGTTGAGAGGTATAGTTTTTTGGCATTGTTTTTTAAAAAGACAGTTGAACTGACAAACAGTCATTAATTTTTTTGCAAATAAATTTTTATCCTTCTTCACAGTCAAGAAGCACAGTGTGGTGTCATTTAAAAGCAACTAATTAATAATGCTAGTTTTATTTTGCTGGCACTCTTCATAAAAATAAATAATATGAAAAACAATTAATTTCGAGATAAAAAAGTCAATGGCACGAGTGGGATTCGAACCCACGATCTTCGGCTTGATACGCCGCTGCTCTACCACTTGAGCTATCGTGACCTTGATCCACTCGGACACCAACTTCCCATCTCAACCGCACCTTTTGAATTTTCCCTCCTTTTTGCCATTTTTCAAATGTCGTGTAATCGGATTGGATTCTTTCTTTTGTCGTCGAGAATCTGATCCGATTAAAAGACATTTGAAAAATGGCAAAAAGGAGGGAAAAATCAAAAGGTGCGGTTGAGATGGGAAGTTGGTGTCCGAGTGGATTGGGGTCACGATAGCTCAAGTGGTGGCGTATCAAGCCCGAAGATCGTGGGTTTGAATCCCGCTCGTGCCATTGACTTTTTTATCTCGACTAAAAACCCTAATTAATTGTAATATATTAATTGGTCAAGTAGACCACGCAATTAGTGAATATAATATGAAGAACCTTTTTGAACCATTTTTTTTTTATAACTTTGTAGGTAAAAAGTGAGTTTAATTTATAACGTAAGAACGTAAGCTTCACTTGAACAAAATGAACATAAAAAATCCTTAACGTGATATACAGTGCAAGTTATTAAGTTAAATTAATTTCACTTGTATATAGTCAAGACATGGCACATTTATATAAATGAAGGTGTCTAAATATTGATTATATTGTGTTTAAAAAAATCAATAATAATAAGTAAAACATCACTAAATAGTAAAGTATGGCATCTATTGGAATATGAGCGGTTTGTAACCAGATGACTTATTTCCATTGTAGCCAGTAGAGATGAGAGACGACCCCCTTACTGCACACTTGGTGTCCTTCGTCAACTGACTGACTTTTCCACTCAAGACTCTGAAGTTTTTCCCGTTTTCAAGTTCCAAGCCACCGATGAAATATTGCAAATTTGAAGACAAAACCCAGACGCGATCGTTGCGTACTTTAAGCCCAGATGTAAACCTCACTGTGTCATTGTTCTGTAAAAAAGCAAAATTATTTAATGTAGCACATTTGTGACAGACTAATTAATTAAATATAAAGGGGAAGTGATAATTGTAAAAATGAAATCTTAAATTAGATTTTTTTTGCATATCCATCTCTGCCATACCTTAGGGAGACCCTATACCAGTGCACTATGCCCATTTTTGAACATATTTACAACAAACAGTGTGAATCAAATAGTATGATATTCTGTTCTTTTTTTCAGGGTAACAAAAACAGTTCAGATCTCTGTTTCAATACTTGATACATTATATATTTTAGTTCATTATCAACTTGGAAAGGTTAAGGCATTGACATGGTGCTCATCACTGTAAGGTAAAGGTTCGAGTTTTGTTCCAGCGGTCCTGCATTCGAAATTGACATTCAAAAAAAATTTTTTTTTCAAAAAACAGCACTGTGGTTTGATATGGCCTCTGCTGTTGTGAACCTATGTTTAAAAAAAATATCGACATATTATAACTAGCACAGTGCAGTATAACAGAACCTGCAGTTTCTGTGGTATATACTACAGGTAATAAGGTGAATCCTGAAGTTGGATCAATTACAATTGTAAATTCACTAACCAATTCCTGGAAAACTCCAAACCAATGATAACAGGCTAAAAATAAAGAACTAAACCATTCTGAATGACCTTACCCAGCAACGGGCACAGATTGCTCATGCGATATCTCAGACCATAAATACTTTTAATTGTATATAGATCTTTGTACCTTAATGTATGTCATACTTTGGAATAAATGTATTTATCTGCGTGAATGGGCGTTTTCCCTAAATAACGCTGAGGAGTATTGAGTACTCTGGGGTGAACGCAAACCAGACTATCATTTTTTTTAAATCTTGTTTCTCTGTATTTGCGTTATTTTAACCATAATATACAAGGCCTTGAGGTACAGAGAGGCTAGCAATAGTATAAAGAAAAGAGAGGATATTTATATTTTAATGAATTATTTATTGCATTATCACTTGCATTTCATTTACCAAAAAAGAAGTCATATTTTCTCCTACACATAATTTAAAGATATCACACCACCAGCAAGTCTATGTCAATTGCATTTATGTTAAAATTTATGTCATTTTTCAATCAGTATGCTTTTCAACAGGTCATTTGTGAACTATTATGTTGCAAAAATGTTATTTGAAAGGATTAATGACTTATTCTTAACAAACACAATAATTCAAATTATTAGAATATATAGAATGTGGTATGACGTCAGTACTAATGCCAGAAAAGTTTTTTTACTTTGTAAAGGAAACATTTAAAAAAGTAAGAATAAATCAGTTAACGCAACTAATGCGGTTTGTCAGTTTTATAAAAAGAAACTGTAAGTAAAAGGCCTAGACGATCAATTTTATTGCGCAATATTACGAATTGCGCAATATTTTTGACCGTTAGGGTTAGTATTGAAGTTTGATCGATGATTGAACAAAAGTTCCAGCGAGTTAAATTTTATTGCACAATATGTTTTAATCTTACCCGACAACTGCAGACAAATTTTGGCCTGCCATCTTGTAACACCAGGTCTTGCTCCAAGAAAACATTGACGATTAATAATATTATTATTGCGTGATAAATTGGGATAAAGATGTCGTTCAATAATTTTTTTTCTGACCGCTATCAACCCTAACGGTTATTTAAGTTTCCTCGTTCAATACTATTGCACAATAAAATTATTGTGCAATGTTGTTAGTATAGGGTCCGCCTAAGGCATTTGATCGAGTAAAAAGCAATAATAGAGCCCAGAGGTATATCATAGAGCATATAAATGTTTTATACGATTGTAGCGGTGTGTTGGAGAGAAAGTGTGTTTCAATATTTTCTCTTTTCGGCGAAACACATTTTTAATTTATTCTTCCAGACAGCTTTTGCGAACGGCGTGATTTACAGTGGTTTATGATTGGTCATGACTTATTGAAAGTTGTAACACTCACATGGAGAATTTTTTTCCTTCTTTGTTTTCCTTTTTACAAAAATAATCAAAACAAAGTTTCTTGAAGAATGGTGTATGTATCGACCACTTTTCTATTCATGAATACTCTTGATCACAGTACTTGATGAAAAATTCAGTTGTTATTGACAAGCTTTCGACGTTTGACGTTTAAGGTCATCAGAGCAGAACAATGTTAAACATGTATACAAATTGGCATAAGTTTTTCACATACGATTTCAAATTTCTTTGAAGACCGACCCTGTCCTTGGCACTGTTGGGATCTTAAAATAGGTCGAAAATTTGGAGGTTGAATTTGCTTTTTTTTCTTCAAGTCCATACCGTGATCCAGTGTTCGTTTCTTGAAGAACAAATTTTCAGTTTTGAAATGCTTCTCTTGCGTCTTTCACTAATTCTTTAATGATTTTTTCCCCAAAAGTTAGAAAAAATCTCAGAATGCTTACTGAATGGCGAGGGATGTTCATTTGAACAAATTACACATGTATGTTTACGTAACGCTTCCTAGACTTTTGTCATGAGACGTCCAAGACGCATATAAAACCACATAATCAAGATGAAACCATCAATTTATTCGGATAGAGGTAAGCTGTGGAAAGAAATTACATTTATGATTGATAAGCCAATAATTTCTTTTTCATGTTGCTTGACTGAGCGTTTTAGTTGAAGAAATGCTTAACGGTTGGTGGATGGGTATGCGGCCAAGGTGAAAAAATGCTTTTTATTTCATATAACAGATATAATTACTACGTATGACTATGTTATGAACTCCTGTTATGCAATCGTGAAAGCAATACATAAAACGATCCAGTTTTGTAAAAAAACTAGTTTTATTAACAAATACTAATTTACATATTCAAATTTTTTTCGCACAATACAATAAACAGTTTTTTTAAAAATCGGAAAAGCATAATAAATATAATTTCAAGTGCATTACACTATAGAACGTGATAAAAAAAATATTGTGTCATGAAGGTTATGGCACTTTCTTGGTGAACGTGATACATGATATTTTTAAGGGGAAATATTGAACTTTTATTTTCTAATGTTTAAAATGTAAAGTAAGAACAGGATTATAAAAGTACAAAAAGGGGATGGATTAAGAAGAAAACTTATTTTTAAATTTTTCACCGCAAGATAAATGTTTGGCATTTTTTTTTTCAGTGATGATTTTGTTTGTAGGTGCTGTATTGACTGAAACGAGCGCTGGATCGATAATTGTTGAACAACTGCTCTGAAGGGCTAGATTCTAATTCGGTGGGCCTGCATTTGGTGCCTTTTGTCAGATTTTCGATTTTCTCTGTCAATATCCTGTAGTTCTCTCCAGTCTCGAGTACTGCTCCCTTAATGAAATTCTGCAGCTTAGAAGTAAGAGCCCAGACCCGACCGTTACGTATTTTTATCCCCGATGCAAACTGCAATGTCTCATTATTCTGAAATAAATTTTTTTCATATTGTTAAAAGCATAGTTTGTTTGGCAAGAATAAAAAATAATAATATTAAAGGAAAGGAACAAAATGAACACTTTGTTTTACCCTGTTAATAAATGCGTCAACTCAAATTTTTAAAATACGTAAAATTGAATAAAAGATGAACGCACAGATTATAGAATTCATAATGAATGGGACTGAACAGAATAGAAAAGGGAATAGACATCATGATCGTTATGGCGTGTATCAGCTCGCCAGTTCTGGTTATTTGATGCTCTTCGCCTATGCCTAAACATCTCCAAGATAACCTCACTCTCAACGTAAACACACTACGTATTTCTATTTTTATGTAATGCAACTAGGACAGTTATTTCCTTGTTTAGTAACTGCGTAACTAATTAATAATTAATAGTATAAAGATTATTGTATGAAATGTCTTGAACAAGAATGAGGATGTGTAAAGGTCGAAATGCACATTTCGTGTCTTCTTTGGACGCTAGAGGTCACGCTAGTGATCATTCAAAGTATAGATCAGGAATATACTGCAGCCAGAGGGTAGTTGCTAGGAGGGTTGCAAATAGCGGGTGATGTACAAAGGGTATTCACTCAGTAGTCGACATGATTATGGGGTAGTTTTGAGTGACATTGGACAGTTGGTCACAAGTCAGATACAAATAGTCCGTACAGACTGAGCGAGCTTTGGAGTGGGAGTGTTCGACTTCGGCTTTGTGAATGTTAGTTAATAAACGTTTTGAAATGTAAAGACACGGATTACTTGTTTTATTGCTCTAATAACGGATTCGGAAGAAAAGGCAATCTTGACGAAGACATCCGTCTCTCTGTTTCTTTCTCTCTGCTATTGCCCTTTCTCAAATGTACATCAGAAGTGGGATAGGATCTACTTTTGTAAATCTACGACTTATATACATTCGATATATGTATGTATACAATGTGAGAGGTTTGTGGACTTACAAATAGCTGAAGGTATCTATGGAACTTCTTTTTTTGGTGGTTCATGAGATTTCGTTTTAAACTACAGGCCTTTGAACGTCTGGATCTTGTTACTGACTGTTTTTATATGTATGTTACGTCGAAATCCTAAAATATTAGCCTCTCGTTTCTACCTCAGTTTGTCAACTACAGAATATACACAAAAAATACAATACATATATATACGTCACCACCCGATATAAACATAGGAGTAAAATACTCGATATTCCTCGGGGCGGGATTAAACTGCATTCTCGCTAATAAATTACTTTGGCTCTCCAGACGTCACACACTGACCCCAGAGAATGCGATATTCCTCGGGGCAGGGTTAAGCAACCACATTCAAGCTAACAAATTACTTGATTAATTAAGGTTTTTTTGGTTGAGATGAAAAAAAGTTAATGGCACGAGAGGGATTCGAACCCACGACCTTCGTCTAGATACGCCGCTGCTCTACCACCTGAGCTATCGTGACCTCGATCCACTCGGACATCAACTCCCCACCTCAACCCCACCTTATGAGTTTTTTCACCTCGACCAAAAAAACCTTAATTAATCAATTTATTACTTGGTCAAGTGGACCACGAAATTAGTGAATCTAACAAATTACATTCATTCCTATAAATTAACGTAAATACAACGATATTAAACATTAAACATAGTAGTCCGGTTATGTTCACTTTCCCCAAAGTAATCGATATTCCCCAGGGTGTGGTCGAACCCACTTCATTCTCGCTAATAACTTACTCTCCAGACACACACCCCCTGATATTCTTCGGGGCAGGGTTAAGCAAACCCTTCCTTTCACGCTAATAAATTACATTCCTATAAATTAACAAACACAACACCCGATAACAACATAGAAATCTGATTCACTCCAGAGTACTCGATATTCCCCAGAGCGTAGTCGAATCCACTTCATTCTCGCTAATAATTACTTTTACTCTCGGGACGTTACACCCTCCCCCTAGAGTATTCGATATAAGTTGAGGCGGGTTGATATTATAATTACAAAACTGTATATGACTTTTATTACAAAAAAGAAGACCTTTCAATATTTATGATTTATTTGTACATCAGCGATTACTTACCGTTGACTGGTGTTTGCTGTTTTATTTGAACAACTTTAACAATATTAAAAATATGCTTTTATAAATCAACAAAAGTAAAAAAGTACAAAAAATACATATTGGTACAAATATATTAGCTCTTTGTTCATTAAAATTATTATATATTCTCTAATAGATAGTCTCAAGGCATTTCTATATATGAGTTATAAATAGTTTTTAAATACTTATTTGATCTAGGTGAACCTACTGGTAACAAATTCATGACTATATGCACTTAAACATTAGCATGCAAAACATTCATTTCATATGTTCAGTTATTTAATGCCATTGATAATAAAGTAACGATGTTAGTTTACCATTTATACTTAACACTTTATCATTTGGCTTGCCCCTTACAAAATCAAGTCTTGGTAGTGATGCAATAAATAACAGTTCGGTTCAACTTAAAATTAGTAAAATCCGTTAGCATCCGTCTGCTACCGTTTGTGCCTTTCCGAGTACAAATTGGTAAAAAGGGAAATTAGGTTAATTAGTCGAAGTATAATCCTTCAATTGTAACGGTAGAGGTAGATCGTAGTGGTATGGCACTTGAAAAATACACGATAGTTTCAACTCACAACCTACTACAAGTCGAGTATACATCCTCGCGGTCGCATAAAATTGCAATTGTAATAGGTATAATTATTAAAAGTGAAGTCTCACTATTGGTTCTCCAAAATGAATTTTCCCGTTAAAATAAGCTCGCAAGCACTAAGGCAGTATCGAATTGGGCTTTATCCATCACATCCATATGGTCCACGGAAAATAAAGAAAAACGAGAATTTAAAATGGTAGGAATTCGCTCAAAACGTTTCGAACGATTTTTAGCAGTAGGACGAGCCTTTCCATAAGGGACAAGCGGACACGGCGTCATTTGATGAATGGGTAATGGTTAAATGGTGACCAATAAGTGTAGTTGAAAACTGTCGACGGCTCATTGAAATCATAACTGTCGGCCGGGTAATGGCATGACGTTCCTTGGGTCAGCGATGACAACGATCCGACCAACACCCTGAAATTGGCAGAGTATCTGCTAATATGGCCAGATATGAAATTTTGAAATCTTGACGTCAACACCCAGAGGTGGCCGTTCCTTATCTTGAGGCCGGTCGGGAATTGCAGCTTAACGTTGTCCTAAAAATATAAACATTACTTTAGTCAATCGCTAAATTGTATTGTGGATAATAAATAAAATTGTGTGCTTTGATGTGCGTGCAGATGAAATATGTGGAACTTGCCATAAAGAACAAGTCAAATTAAAACATGACTGATGAGTGAAATTTATCTGATGCTCAGCTCTTTGTTATTATAGGGTGATTCGGAACTCGTACGACAAAGCTCGTCTGGTGCTTCAAATGCAACAAAAAAGTTCGTATGAAACATGGCCCGATGATGACCATCTATGGTTTTCATCATACATCTACTCTCGTAGCTCTTGAACATTTCAACATTTTTTTAAACAAAAACTTTAACTTAATAAAAAACCTTTTTCTCAGATATTCAACATTTTATTTTTTTTTCAACCATCTATGGTTTTCATCATACATCTACTCTCGTAGCTCTTGAACATTTCAACATTTTTTTAAACAAAAACTTTAACTTAATAAAAAAACACAAAAAAGAAAGAAGAAAACTGAAACACATAGAAAAGACATAATAAACACAGTGAACAACCAAAGGCAGAAGAATTGGACAAAATATCTACACTAATCATAGAGAAAAAAGGAACAACAATTCAGAAGTTGTAAAACCCCACTCTAACATAATAAAAAAAAGCGCAAAAAAATCCGAAAAAACCCATTTAAAACAGAGACAATAAATATAATGAATAACCAAATTACGTTGATTTTTTTCTTTTTTATTAGGTTAAAGTTGGGTTTTACAACTTTTGTATTGTTGTTCTTTTTTTCTGCGATTAGTGTAGTTATTTTGTCCAATTCTTCTGCCCTTGATTGTTCGCTATGTTTATTGTCTCTTGTTTATGTGTTTTGTTTCAGTTTTCTTCTTTCTGTTTTGTGTTTTTATATTAAGTTAAAGTCGGAAAATAAATTCTGCCCAGGACAAAAAATTGAATTACTAGATTAACCCCATTGCCTCTTTTTCACAACGTCATCACTTTTTTCCCATTTGGCATAATCTTTTCATTTTGGTTCGACGTAATTAAAGAAAATGGTTTACAGCTAGAAAGCGTACTAAGCGAAGAAGCTGTTATGAAATTTAGCTAAGTTCCGCCACGAATTTTTTCCGAATGAGGTTGCAAATTTAGTTTGTTTTTACAAATTTAAATTTTTTCATTTTTTTGAAAGGTTTAATATTTGTTTTTTACCAAAAAATAAATTGAACTTTTCCAGAGGAAATTTAATCTTGAGATTTTCCCAAAAAAGAATAGGTTAAAAGCTACGAGCAGATTTATGACGAAAACCGTAGATAGTTTACAAAAAAATACATAAAATGTTAAATATCTGCGAAAGGGTTGAGAATCAGTACATACTTCATAACAACTTTTTTGCTGCATTTGAGGTGAAGAAGAGCCTGACCAACTTAATCGTACGAGTAGCTTATCACCCTGAATAATATAGTAATGAATGTAATGAAAAGTATTACTGTTAATTAAGGTTTTTAGTTGAGATAAAAAAGTCATTGGCACGAGCGGGATTCGAACCCACGATCTTCGGCTAGATACGCCGCTGCTCTACCACTTGAGCTATCGTGACCTCAATCCACTCGGACACTAATTTTTGAAGTAAAAACAATAACAACAAGCACAACGAAAAACATTAGCAAACTGAGTTTATCTCTCAATATTTTTATTATTAATTTCTTCCATCGAAACTAATGTCTAGATAAACTTTGTTATATTTCTATTAATGTACAAGCCAGCTTTATAGTTTTTGGTCTAAAGTTAAATAATTACAATTTATTAAACTAACGAGGTGAGTGTAGATGAAATAAATGCAAGGGTGAAATGCAATGAGCGTATACAAACCGGCTGATTTTTTTTAATAAACTACACCACTTTTATTTTTTTAAAATTAATTAAATAAATTGATAAGCTTTACATAATTCTTCATGTAGTATCTGAATCGGAAGTCGAAACTTTGTATTCGACTTACGGAACTTCCTCAGGGCTGAGCAACTTTGTAGGACTTTTTAAAAAGGCCGTTTTACTTAAGCCACAGTAGTGATTGATTTTCATTGGTAAACCACAGTTTTAATTTGCGCATAGAAAGAAATCTTCAGATCTGGAGACCGTTGTGGCCACTCGTTGAACGTCGGGATGAGAGTTTTGGGACATGCTGATGATTTACGGTGGTTAGGAGGGTTTTGTGAAATTTCCGGGAACGGATTTCATCTTGAACGAAAGGAATATTTAAGTCTGTATGTGTAGTTGCGTTTGATATATAAAATTGAGAATCAAGGATTTTCCGTTGGATTAAGGATTGGGCAGTGTGCGCACCCAAACCTCAAAAGGAGAGCCGTCAGCTGTTTTGACTTCTTGCACAATGTAAACGAATATCAGTTAATTGCCAGAAATGGCCAGTAGTCAAAAAGTTTACCTAAAGTTGCATGTCAGTTACCAAAACCGCGTAAACGGCTACTGTCCGTCATTGACGTCGCCAGTGCTGGCATTCTATTAAGTACCTCAACTGGCATGCCAATAGCAACGTATAAAATCAGGGCTTATGGGTTGAGCCTTAAAGAGGTATCAATTCTTTCCTATCTTCCTATCGATCTTTTTGAATATTAGATCAAACGAATTGATAATTTTGTTATTAATTTCACACAGTGAGAGATGAAGTGAGAATAAACTAAAATGATAACTTCATTCCAGTGACATCAACACATTCTTTTTTTCAACGTTCTTCCATTTTCCAATCCTTTATGAAAATATATAACTGTGGTTACAACATTATTTGGAGATCGTGAGGTGCGGTCTGGTGTGTCGTAGGTTTAAAAAAAACATTTTCTTTGACATGCCAACGTTTCGATCTTTATTGAGATCATCTTCAGGGCTCAAAGTGTTTGTTTTCCGTGTAGATGCGTCATTCTTGTGTGTCGTGTTGAATCGTGTGGTTGCTAGGTTAATTTAAACTTCAATTAATTAAGGTTTTTAGTTGAGATAAAAAAGTCAGCGTCATGAGCGGGATTCGAACCCATGACCTTCGGCTTGATACGCCGCTACTCTACCACTTGAGCTATCATGACTTCGATCTTCTCGTTAATGAAGTGAAGTTAATTTAAACCTTAATATCTTCCTCTTAAACGAAGCACTTTACAAAAATAGTGCCTTAAATAAAACCAAATCTTAAAAAAGTTCTAGAATCGAATTCCTTCATGCAAAATTGCTTATCTTAAAAGAGTACGTTACTTCGCCCTAGAGACGTACGTCGAATAACATGTTCAACTTCAGATTGAGATTCTACATACAAAATTATGTAAGACAGTTAATAATTAATTAAAAAATAAAAGGGGTAGTTTATAAAAAATTACTCGGTATAATACTAAATAGCAGATGGCCTGAACCAGTAAGTAGCGAAAAGCATAAAGTAATGTTTCTAAAATACTCACCGTCATCCGTGAAGGCGATCCTCCTGCAGTTGATATACATTCACCAACACTATATAGCTCTACCAAAACCAATTCTATTACACTAACACTTATTTACAAAACATAACATCTTCCACCAAACAATACAACCGGGGCTGTACAACAAAAGCGTATCTTTATTATTATTTTTTGTAAATACAGGTATACGTATACATGCCGTTTGGTTGCTACACGTTCGGTTATGAGTAGACTAATTATATTATTTACAATTATAAAATACTGTGATAATTCGTGTATTTGGAATCGATGGAAGGTAAGTGAACTCTGTGGGTTCTGTTTCCTGCAATCGAAAGGAAACGCACGCAGTGTTCTCATGTGTCAAAATTACCTGGGCGACGGTGATAATGTTGTCTTTCGTGTACGAGAGCTTTGAGTTCCAACAGGCAATCGCGTTTTGCGAAAGGAGGCCGAAAAAGAGTATCCCAGATTTTGTCATCGCCTGCGCCGCGGATTGTGACGGCCTCGTGTACTGGGAAACGTGGAAAGACGAAGGTGAACCGTTGCCGTCGGTGAAGAGTGAAGAATTCCTCAGAACACTCGTGGCCACCCAAGATTCCCTCACGGAAGCCAGGCTGTGGAAGTACAGTCTCCTGTCTCCTGCGTACATGGGGCCTGCAACAAATGAAAATCCATGAAATCACCACTTAAGATTTTCACGAAATTTCTTACCAAGAGCGAGACCGAGTATCCCGTCCATGAGGTCGAAAGTCACTCCTGCGATTTCGAACGCACCGTGGAGCGGGTAAGGGTAGAAGTAGTTGTTGCTCACTCTCCATGACTTTTGATGTCTTCCATCAAAAACGATCAATTTATAACTAACAACATCGGCTATATAGGCAAAAGTGTTTTCGCACGTGGCATCTCTCGTGTCGACGACAATCGTCACTAGCAAAGACTTCGGATCGATAACATCGTCAGGAAACCGATATCTGCCTGAAAACGGAACAGTAAATATTTTAATAAATTATACTTTTGGTCAAAGGTCTTCATTGAGATGAAAAAGCAAGTGTCACGAGCGGGATTTGAACTCAAAGTTCGCAAAGTTCAATTGCTATGATTTCAGACTGGAAAACTGTAGCGTATTTAACTAAGTTTATAGACAGCTTGGTCTACGGACTCATCCCGAATCCTCCAGCTCCCGTACCTTTATCCGTTTTTGAGCTGTCGGTTTACCAGTAGGAATTGGCCTTGAGAGGTATTCCTTTGGCTCACTATTCCCTTTCTTGCATAAAAGTACCTTGCACTTATTGGTGAAGTTATATTTTGGAGTAGTGGCATCGGTTGGCATGTTTAATATGACATCTGCCTGTATTGATAATTGGCCTTCAGAGATGTTCCTTTGTCCTACACATCCCTTTCTTGTGTAAATCAATTTGAATCAACAAGTATCTTGTACTTGTTAGTGAAGTTACATTTTGAAGTAGTGGCATCGGTTGGTAACCTATGGCATCTCCCTGTATTGGTAATTGGCCTTTAGATGTGCTCGTTTAGCCCACTCTTCTCTTTCTGATGTAAGTACATCGTATTTGTTGTTCGAGTTATATTTTGTAATAGTGGCATCGGTTGGCATGCCTAGTATGGTACCTGCCTTTATCTTCTCGCTCAGTTTCTATTGTTCGTTGACATGGCCTATCTTTGCGGATGGTTATCAATTTAAGCGCCAATGAGCCGCTGCTCCTTGAATTAGAATGTGGAGCAGTGGAAGGTTTAACTACACCTCCAAGGCCGGGTGGCCATTCACCAACGCCTGTGCGTATGACCTTCGTTGCAACCCCCGAGTTGTCTTCTCTATCTAGGGAGTGCGTAGGAGACTCTGTCGATGCATTTCGACCCCTTTTTGGATATCCCTTTACTCGCGGCACACGTTTGAGTGCACAATGTTAACCCACCCCCTCGGAAGAAGCGGGAGAAGTCGGCATTACTGCAGGATGTACCGAGCCTCACGGTTAAGCAGATTTTCCGTGCGCGGAGGTGAGTCGCTCCTAATTTGATAATCTAAACGTGTGATAAGGCCTATTTGCCAGATGCGCACGCTAAAGAACTTCAATGCTAAAAGACATTGCGACCCCAGTGGGAAACAAACCTCCAAGGCCGCAGTTGGCGTTGTACTCATGGACACAGTGACACTAGGCATGCTTGTCTATGAGTGCCAGTTAACAGCCTGATCGCTTCAGCCAGTCTTGGTCCACTAAACCATCGACCCATATGTCAACATTGGTCTTATGACCCAGGCCATAGGATCATTTTAGGGTTTTAATCCTCAGCTGGTAGACAATTTTGGATATTTGCCACATTGATTAGATGTGGTGATTCAATGAGAGCCGTTGTTCTAGTTTGACCCCTACATATTTGACTTCCTTAGAGAATGGAATCGATGTACCGCTTAGGCTCGGAATTTTTAAATTTTTCAGGAATGTCTTTAAAAAATAAATGTTGAATGAAAAACTTATACAATGTTAGTTTCGCCTTCTATAATCCATCCGGTATGGTATGGTAATCAATCCATCCGGTAGTAACATATTTTTTGTACAGTGAAAAGACAATTTTGTAAAATAGACTAAAATAACCTATGAGGGTATCGTCGTTCATGTTGAAAACAAGGATTTGCGGAGGGCAGATCATTTTTGGTTGGCTCTCAAAAATGTCGATTGTCCCGCTGTCCAGGACCCACAGCCTGCCGCATTGGTCAACCTGGAATCAAAGAGGTGGTTTTAAAATTGAACATCGAACAATAAAATAGAAAACTTTTTTACCTCGACCCTAAAGACTGAGGTGATCCCGTCGCAATAGCCTTCCCTGTGCCAGCCCCAGTCGGGATAAGGCGACAAGATTCCCGTCAAACCGACGCTGGCCAAAGTTGCAGGGGTGCCTGGCTTCAACCGGGGCATCGTCACGAATATCTTCTGTGCTCCTCCGTTGAATCCTAAACATAATTATCAGTTATCAGCATCATAAAACTATCTTTCATGATTCATGAAATTATTTATTTTATTTACAAATTTTCCTCCAAATTTTCTTTTTAAGTTACCTTACACTTGTCTAACAACACTTCAACATCAGTTATCAATGTGGGGACCGGGATTCTTTTTTTACACCAAAGAAGGCTAAACTTAAGTACATATTTAAGAATTTCTTTGATATATAAAGGAATAGTCATGTTGTTTTTATTAATCACAAACTCATCCATCATACCTCTATAACAATTATCTACCACAGTTGTATCATTTATTTCTCACAGTTCTACCACATTTATTTATCATCATTACATTTTACCAAGGCGGTTTTTTGGGGGTCTCCGTCTATGGAACAGCGTAGGTTAAGAAAAAAAACATTAGTTCAATTGTTTGTATTAAGTTTAGGTTAGATTAGATTTAAAGAGATTCAGGCAGATGCCACTACTCCAAAATATAATTTGGCCAACAAGTACGAAGTACTTATACCAGAAAGGAAAGATTGGGCTAGAGGGACACCTCTGAAGGCCAATTACCAATCCAACGAATCCGAAGTCCGAACTGACTTTAAACTTAGGTAAATACCCTACAGTTTTGCAATCTGACATCATAGCAATTGAAGACTTTTCTAGAGAAATAAAAAGGCTAGGAACACATTCTAGGAAGATAGTAATTTTCTGACAGTCAGGCCGCACCTTTTGCGAGGTAAAAGCAAAAAGCATATGGAATTGTATGGAAGCCTTGTCAGAAGTCAGTGACACCGATGACCCTACCTTGGCATGGGTCCCTGGACATTCTGGGCATAGAGGCAATGAGAAAGAGGACATATTAGCTAAAAAAGGAGTCGATGCGAGTTCTCTCGGCCCCGAACCCTATTTGGCCAATATCTTGCCACAAAAAATGATATATCCAAAAATGGATCCTTAATGAGTTCAAAACCTGATGGAACAATATCCCAGGCATGACGCCTCTCTTATCCCTATCCCCCCCTACCCCAGGCATGAGTACTACCGTAAGACTTACAAAAGAATTACAGGAGGTAAGAACAAGAAAAAGGCACATGCATCAGATAAGAGCACAGATAAAAGAAACACTGTGCAGGTACTACCAGGAAGAAGAGGAGACCGCAGAACACGTTTTATGTTTTTGTGACGGTCTATGTAGGTGCAGATTTTTGCACCTAGGCGTGGAAAAGCCGCAAGGAAGACCCTACACTTCATAAAGTTGCTACTGGCAAGGCTATGGTTGATTAACAACCTGAAGCTGGCAATAATTTATAAAAACAGAAGAGCAGAATAGATCTATTCGGGTCGAGGTGCAGAAGCTTCGTGGCCGCCTCTTTTATCCCTATACCTAGGTTGGATTGCTTCGTGGTATCACTGAGAACAAGTCAGAAGGGATATGATGATGGTTTTCTTAGTCCTTCTGATAGACTCGGAATGAGCAAGGGGAGCGAGGTTGTCTTGGGCCTTCGGGGCTGAGCTGCCTCTATACCAATGCTGCGGCAGTAACACCGTCGTCTGTGGAGGTTCGTCAGCTCTCATCTTAAAAATGAAAACCTCCGATAAGGCCGAATAGGCTAGGTGCCGTTAAAGATCCTCATTGTCCTTTTAAGGACGACTGAATATACGGGAAAGCAAGCAAGTCCTTCTAGTAGTTGAAAAAGGAATCCTGGTCTTCTTTTTAGTTCTTATCTTTTTATCTAGATAGTGTGAACATTTCCGTTTTCCGTCGAGATTGAAATCAAAGCAACAAGTTCAATAGTGGTACTATTGAGGTGTATGTCTCACCTCACTGCATTTATCTCATGTATTTATGGTGGATAACTTGATAATAAGTTCTATCTTTTGTAAGTGGGATTTAAGGGATGTGTGAATGTTATTTGAAAAACTGCTGAGGATGTTTTTATTTAACCATATTTTATTGTCACTTTGCAATTAATTATTTTCAGAGCTATGAATGGTTCGTTTTACCTTCCCACACATCCACATCGATGATTGCGATGTTTTTTGGTATGAACTTGCCCGTTCTCAACATTGCATCTCGTGTTGACGAAGACGGGAAATTGAAGTCCACGTTCCGCCAGCTATGGATGACATCCATCTGTGCAGACAGACAGCTCTCGGCTGTCAGTACCAACAGAACCGCCAACAACTGAAATTCAAATAAAAAATTTCAAATTAGTTTAATGTCGGAAGCATGTCTATTTGAGTTAGAAAGAAATTTCAAGATCTTATAGCGCAAGTTCGGTGCATGAACCCTGGCTTGATTCCTGAGTATCAAACTTATTAAAAAATTCCACCTTTCTCCTATCGGTTTCAATATTAATAACACGCAATATTAAGCGTATCACAAAACAACCGAAAGCATGCAATTATATGACGACCTTTTAACTTTTATCGAAAAGTTTATATAGTTTACACCGGAGACAATCTCCTCGGAGGTTATCTACAATTTACATGTTCTATTGTATAATAGACATGTCGGTAAACCGATTATGACCGTTCAGACAAAGACTAATTACCCATTTCATTAAAACGTGAATTCATTTTCGAATGAGTGACTTTGCACAGATCTGTTAGAATTCATTAACATATCAACGGTATTCAAGAATTGTGAATGTAGTATTTATAAAATTTCACCTTTCACTTTTGTGAATGTTGAAAAAGCCAACTATTAGGCGTTACCTCAACGTATTTATGTTTGATGTCGTACTTTATGTGCTTACACAATATAACTGCAATCGATAGTACTAGTTGAAAAATCTGAAATAAAAAATGAATAGTGATGTTTAACGACCGGTGGGCCAATAGGGTTGAAATTGTGAGGAACTGTCAGATATATTAGAAAAACACCTTTTTCATTTAATTGCCGTTTTGATCTTTAATCGGGCCATGTTCAAGACCTGGGTATACGACCATATATTGATTGAGAATTTATGTAAAAATATACAAGAAAAAGATGACCGATCAGCCAACAAATCGATGTAATTTACAAAATTTAATTGCATAATTTTTTTATTGTGTCCATTTTGATTTTATGGAACTCCATCATAAGATGAGTGTAGGAAATAAATTGAGGAAAAGACAATTTATTTCGTACACATCATCTTATTTGCATAAACCGTACAGCATACATTGGAATTACATCACAAACGAAAAAAAAAGTATCTATGTAAAAAGCCGAAACCTAACAACCACAGAATTTGGCACCCGGTATTTTGATAAACAACTCGATTTCAACAACATAAACATACTAAAGACTAAACAAAACAAATACAAGTGAAACCATTTAGAAAAGGTTATAGATTAATCCTATCTATACCGCCTTCCACACCCTGTCATAATAAAAACAGCAGGATACAAATTCACAAGTCACAGCAATTTCACCACATCCATGATAGAGGATGTGAGGAAGGAAATGTGGCGTTTTCTTCTTTTTATTCTTAACATAAAGTCATATTACAATGATAGCAAACGCTGATGCTGCAGTAGGTGTAGATATGAACGGCATGCTTTGTCTCGCGCAAAATGAACTCGCCCACCTTGTTTCGCCTCTCTTTTTATTGATTTTAGAATGAATGTGTGGTGATTAGTGACCGTTAATCGATATTTATTTAGAAATCGTGAGATGCGCTCTGGTGAGATGTAGGTTTCAGAAAAACATTTTCTTTATCGTGCCAACGTTTCGATCTTTATTGAGATCATCTTCAGGGCCTGGGATTTACAAACATTGTTTACATATAACAATTACATTTTGTTTTTTGTGTGTAGGAAATACCTTGTGTTGTCTGCATTTCAGCAAAAAAGTTCTCTGATTTATAGCCGATGCGAATGTTTGTAAATCCCAGGCCCTGAAGATGATCTCAATAAAGATCGAAACGTTGGCACGATAAAGAAAATGTTTTTCTGAAACCTACATCTCACCAGAGCGCATCTCACGATTTCTAAATAAATTTAGAATGAATTACAATAACAGGCAAATGCCTAACTAGTAATACAAAACAATATAATATAAATATATCAGCTCATAATAACAATGTAAATATAACATAACAATATATTATAAATATAAAGATATTAACTTTTTCAGAATAGCAAATACTTGGCTCTTCAGAATCCTGCGGATATTATGAATATCCATGGTATGGTATGGTAAAAAAGTATACTAAGAAGCGGGGTTTGTGCTCCCCAGGCACTGCAGCCTTTTGACTTCCTAGTTCCTTAGCTCTGTGCAATATATATACAGGCTGAGTCATTTTTTGACGCACCATTGGAAAATCAACGCGGGTGCGTTTAAATCTGACTCGAGGCTTATTTCCTTGGATTAATACGTTAATAAAAGAAAGTGAGCCAATTTTCGGTGCACCATTGGAAAATCAACGTGGGTGCGCTTAAATCTGACTCAAGTCCAATTTCTTTTGATTTATACGTTAATAAAAGAAAGTGAGTCAATTTTCGGTGCACCATAGGAAAATCAACGTTGGTGCGCTTAAATCTGACTCAAGGCCAATTTCTTTTGATTTATACGTTAATAAAAGAAAGTGAGTCAATTTTCGGTGCACCATAGGAAAATCAAGGTTGGTGAATCTAATTATTACTCGGCACATTTTGTTTTGTTAGTGTCGTACCAAAAAATAGGCGAGTCACTTTTCGACGCACCATTCGCTACAAATTAGTTTTAGTAGGTTGGAAGGAAAATAAACAAAACCTTATTAAAACATTATTCAAACACAATGTAAAAATTAAAAAAAAAAATTGTTCACAAATTAATCTGATTAAGGTTTAAGAGTATTTTTTTCCGATCATCGTTTTACGATAGACTAGGCTACTGTGTTGCAGCAAATGGAGGTCTGTTCGAACAATTATTATAATGATTTTGAACATTTTTGATTTGCTAACAAAGGAGATTGGTACATTTATTTAATTTTTTTACTTTACCAGAAAAAAGGAGATTGTTACATTTATTTAATTTTTTTACTTTACCAGAAAAAAGGAGATTGTTACATTTATTTAATTTTTTTACTTTACCAGAAAAAAATACTCTTAAACCTTAATCAAATTAATTTGTGAAGAATTTTTTTTAAATTTTTACATTGTGTTTGAATAATGTTTTAATAATATTGGTTGAAGAACATGGGATTCTATGAACAAATTTCAACTACACACGCAGCTAAAAGTATTCTGAAGGACATCGCCAACAATGAGAAGAAACTCGCATCGGCTATCAACCAGAGAAGTTTTTTGCTGAAATGCAGACAACAAGGCCCTGAAGATGATCTCAATAAAGATCGAAACGTTGGCACGATAAAGAACATGTTTTTCTGAAACCGCATCTCACGATTTCTGAATAAATATTGGTTTTGTTTTTTTTTCCTTCCAACCTACTAAAATTAATTTGTAACGAATGGTGCGTCGAAAAGTGACTCGCCTATTTTTTGGTACGACACTAACAAAATAAAATGAGCCGAGCCATAATTAGACGCACCCACGTTGATTTTCCTATGGTGCACCGAAAATAGACTCACTTCCTTTTTTTAATGTTAAAATCAAAAGAAATTGGCCTTGAGTCAGATTTAAACGCACCCATGTTGATTTTCCAATGGTGCACCGAAAATTGACTCACTTCCTTTTTTTAATGTTAAAATCAAAAGAAATTGGCCTTGAGTCAGATTTAAGCGCACCAACGTTGATTTTCCTATGATGCACCGAAAATTGACTCACTTCCTTTTTTTAATGTTAAAATCAAAAGAAATTGGCCTTGAGACAGATTTAAGCGCACCAACGTTGATTTTCCAATGGTGCACCGAAAATTGACCCACTTTCTTTTATTAACGTATAAATCAAAGGAAATAAGCATCGAGTCAGATTTAAACCCACCCGCGTTGATTTTCCAATGGTGCGTCAAAAAATGACTCACCCCGTATATATATATATATATATATATATATTTTGCAGGGTGGGCGACCAAGACCCGAGGGGTTAAATGCCTGGGTAGACTCGTATCCCATCCCTAAAATGTCCGGGACTTGGTCGGCTCACGTGTCCTGCATAAACCTCTTGGACTTGTTCACAAACCCCAAGATTTTGGACCATTTAATCTCGGGGAGTGATTTGGTGATGTCCTCTCCCTCAAAAGTTTCAAATCTAGACCTAGTGTACCTATCACACTCAGCGAGGTAGTGCCTTGGCGTTTCTTCTTTTATTTCGCAAAAACGGCAAAAGGGATCTGGTAGAATACCCATTACGGAGAGGTGTCTTTTCAGTGGGCAGTGCCCGTCAGGATACCTATCAGCCTGCTAATTCCCTTCCTTGAGTTAGAGAATAGCCATTTCGATTCTGCTGGTTTGATCTCCTTAACAAACTCCTTCGATTGCCAATGTCCGGGGGATAGATTCCACTCCTTGAGGAATTGTTTCATACCCCAGTTTTTAATACTCTCTTTCGTTATGCTCATAGAGTGAGGTAATACCGGTTGTGGCCCGACAAATGCAGAATTAGAACCTTCTTTAGCCAGGCTATCCGCCTCTTCATTGTCATAGTGTCCTTTATGTGCTGGTATCCAAATAAGGGTTACCTTGTTCTCAAACCTGGAAGAGATTCTATTGATAAGATTTACATTGTCCTTCACCAGTCTAGATGTTGATTGTTAGTTCAGTGCAATAGACTCAATCCTTCTCCTTAGAAGTATCAGGTCATTGACTGTCGCTATTGCAATTTGATTTCCTAAGTTTTTTTCGTACGTTAGGTTAAATCTCCGATGAGCTGTTGCTTCGCATTCGAATATCAAATGGGTCGCTGTTTTCTCCTCCTCATTACATAATCTTCAAATGGAATCATCGTTGTATATACTCATGTTGGGTAGATGTTTTCTCAGATGCCAGTGACCACTCTTCAGAGTTTGGCCCTTTCCAATTGCAGCAATGATTTTGCGTCTTGGTGAGGGTTGTTTAATCATAAGTTTACTATGTCTAGCGCCGCTAGAGTTTATCCACGTCTCCTTTTGTTTTGTTTGGATCCATTCTGCGATGGAGTATTCTATATTTGTTTTTGTTATCCCAAGTATAGGTTCGGGGCCCATGCATGGTCTTGCAGATCTCTGGCCAGACTGTCTTCTTTCTCATTACCCAAAATTCCCGTGTGTCCTGGAACACA